GATATGTTAGGTGGTGGCAATGATCTCTCGCACTAACGTTTAAGATCCCCGGAGAGGTTTCACATCCCAGCACTCGCATGTCTTAAATTTTTTATGTAAGGGGAAAGAGGGATTGCCTCCAATCCCGGTGGCCAAAAATTCCCTCCTTGTGCTGGCGTAGGCTGCTCTCGTACTGCGGCAACTAGCTTTGCAATCCGAGCCATCGGAAATTTTGTCATCTGACGGCGAGAGCAAGATCAAGAAGTCTAATCGTATCGGGACCAGATCCGTCCGGCGCTAAGGTGGCCCATACAACCAGCCATAGGAGCCATCACAATAATACTCCATGTCAGTCCCAAACCCGTTTGATTCTCTCACACCAACTCGGTGGGGTATACCGCGAAGCAGCGTCCGGACGCATGGGCAATGGCGGACAGATGGAATGGTTAAGTCCAGCAGGTGCGGCGCAGTACACCACCGCTTGCCCACAACAAACAAGCCCAAGTCCACGCGGCGCGACGCCACAGTCGGGCCAGAACCTGATGCTCGCATTCGGTACGACGTCCGACCTCGAAGATTCGACAACACAGCCAACAGGAACAGGACGGGGACACTAACTCGATTCTACAGTTTATACCCGGCAAGGTTCAGGCTTCGATCGGACATTCGGCGCCCACGGATCTCTTGATATCAATATCAACATGCGCCGGTATGGACGGCTCACTTGCTCAAGCCTTTTCCCTTACTACATAAAGTCCTCCCCTACCACCACCGCCGTGCCAACAAATTAACTGAGTAGTGTCAGAACGCCGGGGTGTTTCACTACATCGTGTTGATTGTTACTGTTGCGCTGCAGGTTTTGTCGCCCACTATTCATTTATCTCGTTCCCTTCTCGCTTCAATACAACTACGATGTTTGTCTGCTGGCCTTCCCTGCTCTTTTGGCTTTTTGCCCACCGAGCATCGGCTAGGCTCTTTCCCCGCTCGGAGTTACCGGACTTGATCACACCGGATGCGGAGGGGAATACTCACACCTTGACGGCCACGGCTGGGAGCCCTGCCATTCTCATCCTCGACTACGGACATAGCGTCGAGGGTATCCCGGAGTTCGTGGTTGCTAAGTCAGAGGGCGACACGTCTACGTTTGAAATTACTTACGCCGAAAGCAAGGCTGCCCTGGGAGATTATATGGTACGTGCCAACCACAACGCACACTCTTAGAGTCTGAGGAGACGAGGACCAGGTATCCTCAACGGGAACGCTGACCGAATTTTAGTCAGATGGGCCACTCCCTCTGGCCGCCGCCATGAACACAAACCGAGTAAAGAGGTATACCATCAGCAGCAGCCCTGGTCCTAAAATCGTCCAGGATCGCCTCATCCAGGGCGCATTCCGCTATCAGAAGCTCAACCTGTCCTCGCCCGGCGTTTTGACCCTGCAAAAGGTCGGTGTCCGCCCCACGGTACACACCACACCCATCACGGAGCTTCCCGGAACCTTCAGCAGCTCCGACGAAGACCTTAACAGAATCTGGGCTGCCGGCGCACGAACCATCCAGATGACTGAGATCCCCGCCAACACCATCCCAGACTTCGTCGAGGTCTCGTCTGACGGCACACTAGTCAACAGCCTCGCCCCGCAGACTCTTGGCTCAGCGGTGGCCGCCCAGCTCATGTACTACGATATGACGCTCAAGGTGAAGCCTCTCACCGGTGGCTTCGGCTTTACAGTGCTATCTGACACACTCAACTCAGGCATCTACATCTCCTGCGACGTAGAGGCTCGACAGGTAACCGCTCACGCTGGGTCTACGACGCTGAATGATGTGATTCAGTCCTCTGCTCTCCCTGTCAATGCGTCTGTCGCTCTGGATAAGTGGCACTCGGTGCAGGTTAAGGTGGCTATGACAGATATCAGCGTATTGATTGACGATGTCGAGGTGTTTCAGATAACGCAAACGAAGCGCTTTTACGGCTCCTTCGGCTTCGGTGCTTCGTTTGGTCATCAATCCCTGTTCCGCGATTTGGCCGTGGCCAGTCCGACAGGTGACCTCATCTACGCACACTCACTGACGGACAGGTCATACCTAGCCGACTTCTTCATGGGGTCCAACCCGCACGCTACCGTCGTTGATGGCTCGCGCCGCGATCGCATCGCCTACACGGGCGACCTCGACATTGCAGGCGGCGCGGCCCTCGTCAGTACCCACGGCCTCGAGTTTATCCTTGGCTCCCTCGACCTCCTTGGCTCATATCAGACCACCCTCGGCTTTTTCATCCCAACGGCCAAGATCCAGCAGGAGCCCTTATCAGAGCGTATAAACAGCTCTGTGACGGGCCTAATCGGGTACTCCTTCAACTTCCTAACCTCCATCGCCTCCACCTACATGCACACGGGTGACGTAGACTTTGCCAGGAAATGGGCCACCCCGGTTCGTGACATGCTTGACTGGGCTGACTCCCAGGTCTTGCCGGAGAATGGTCTATTCAACGTGTCCGATGCCTCCTTCGGGGGCGATTGGAACTACTACGACCCCCAGCAGAGAGGCGTTGTCACTAAGTTCAATGTTCTGTACGCCTACTCGTTGCAGGAGTGCATCAGGATGCTGGGGGATGTCGGCATCAACACTACTGTATACGAGGGGCGCCTCAACGCCCTTCGCCAAGCGATTGACACAGCCCTCTGGAGCGATGACCTCCAAGCATATTATCTATCTGAGGATTTCAAGGATGCCTACGCCCAGGACGCTAACGCCATCGCCATTCTGGCGGGCGTCAACCTTGACCCCAACCACTCCACTACGACTATCCTTGCCTCGCTCCGCAAGCTCTTGCGCCCTGCAGGTCCCCTGGCCTTCTCGGGCGCTGCCATCAGCGCCGGATGGCAACCCTATATCAGCCCCTACGCGTCATCGTACCACCTCCGGGCCATCCTCCAGTCTGGCGATGCTGAAGGAGCACTAGAGCTCCTCCACTCCCTCTGGCTTCCCATGGCCCAGGAGCAAAACGCCAACTATACGGGTACTTTTTGGGAGACGCTCGATCAGGATGGAAAACCCGGTCTTGGTCTGGTTACCCGTCTCTGCCACGGCTGGGCGGCAGGCCCCACGGAGGGACTCTCCCGGTATGTTTTGGGGGCTCAACCTACTATGCCCGGCTGGTCCAAATTCCGAGTCGCCCCCCTGACTCTGGGATTGCGATCGGCGCAGGGAAGCTTACCAACAACTCGGGGCAACGTCGACGTGGAGTGGAGCTTCGACTGCCACGGCCTGCTTAAGATGGTCGTAACCGCACCGGCGGGAACTAATGGCGAGGTGTTGTTGCCTAGCCCGCTCATGGTCCCAAGAAACGAAACCATAATTATCGTGAATGGCAAGGAGCAGGCTGGCTCTAGTTTTGTCGTTCAAGGTGGTAATAAAATGGTCGTGACGCAGTCCCGCGGGTAAATGTTAAACGTGTTGCATAAGTAGACTGCGGGTCAAGGCCGCCCGGCGAAACATGGCGCTGCAGATGCTTTGATGGCGATCGTGACATGGATTGGCCCTGTCCTCAAACAAGTAGATAGCAAAGAGAGTTCCATTCTAATTTATATTTCTTTTTCTCCCATTTGTCGAATAATTGGGATCCGGGGTTCATCCGTCGCAGCTTCGGCGACCAGACCGGTCATTCCAAGGAGGTTTTTTTTTTTTTTTTTTTTTTTTTCCCTAGCGCACTCAGCGTGCAGTTCGCCGACGACGAGGCTTAGACCATTGGCGTGGTTCAGATCCAGCCAGGGCAGGGATTAACCCCACACACAATGCGAGGCCGTGCGTCTGTCGGAAATTAAAGTGATGCAAAGTGGGCTCGGCCACGGCTATGCTATCTCTCAGCTTCGCATAAAGGCGACGGTCCTCGGACTCGGAGCGAAATTCGGGCCCTCCTTGTTGGGACATGTCCCAAATGCTCCTGGCGTACTCTGTAAGGCTGACAGTCCCTTTTCTGAAAGATTGCAGGAGGGTACCACGTGGTTTTTATATGGATTAATAAAACAAAAACATGTAGGAAAGAAAACGAGAGAGAGGAAGGAAGGAAGGAAGGAAGAGAGAAAGGAGAGGCCAAAAGCTTCGGCCGCGGCCACAGCTGCCTGCCCTATCGGTGAGTTTGCATCATCCACAGGGCAGCACTTCTGCCGTCTCAACGAGATAAAAGCGTCACGATGTGACCGGAAACCTGCGAATAATCGTGTGTTTTTGTTTGTCTACGGCGGCACTTCGCGCGCGCCTGCTGGCGAGCTGTGACTAGAAGCTACTGGGCCTCTCACTTTGGTTACTAATTTTGTCCTGGTAGATGTCTATATTGTAGTCTATTTGCGATGTATGTTCTATCAAGCAACCCCCTTTTTTAGCCCATGAAGTTGAATTGCATCCTCGGAAGAGTGCAGGGGCTCTGCGTCAAATCCACTCTGTCCTTCTAAATCCCCAATATACCATACTAGGAACACCACCATCACTACAGCCATGAGTAGTGTGTCAAATATGTACAGGAATATCTCGTGAGATATTAGATAACCCTTATTCCCTTGTAAGTACTCGACGACTCGAAATATACTCCGGATAAGGATGATTGCGCTGGTCAGGTACAGCACGTTCAGATGGCGCTGCCACGCAATTCCCTTCCTCCTGGAGTCTTCCAACGGCAATTTTGTCATCCGGTAGTTGAACAGTACAGACGTTGCAACAAAAAAGCTGAAAAAGCATATTTGCACCCATAACCCAGCAATAATGATTTTCTCTCCAGCTTCGTAAAGCTCCAGTGTCCCTGCTGCTTGAACACCGCCGCCCCCTGCTTGTAGGGTGAAGGAGACAATATCGCCACAAACAAAGATTTTCGTTACCCATCGAACGGGTAGTAAAGAGAGATCTTCGGCACGGAGTGATCGGATTAGCCGACCGAGAATCATGTATATCGAGGCTGCGTAGAGCGCTGGCGCAACCAGGATCAGGATTGCCTGCATAACGAAGCCGCCAATAGCCTCGTCGTCGAAGTGGGACCATATTCTACCACAGTATCCAACGGTTTGGACTGGGGATAAAAAGGGAAAAGTCAGCTGATGGTAACTAACCACTGGAAAGTGTAGAATCCTATACATACAAAGTCCACCGAGGGCGAATACCGAAAAGTAGTATGCTCTTGCACGAAGTAGCCTCCATAGATGCGCAGCAGTCAGGACAGCGAAAACAGCGACACTCACTGCGGCCGCCGGGAGGGATGGAATGTACCGATAAAGCTTAAAATCGAATGCTCCCGAGTCGACAAGAGTGGAATTTGAGGCGTCCATTATTCGGTGCGGACGATCTCGGATCTATGAGAAGAATGGCTGGCTTATGTGAGGGAGACCTGAGAAATCAAGACTGGGTGCTCAAGGCTTAATATAAATGCAGATTCCCCTTTTCAAGGGCCGGCAGTCTCTCGCGAGTGGGAAACTGGGGCTAACCTTAAATATTACGCTGGAACGGAGGCGCGGTGCTGCAAACTCGATCCGAAAACTCGTACTCGGTACGAGGACTGAAACTTTCGGCCCCGCGCTTGATCAGACATGGGGCTATTACGAAGTAGCTCGTTAGGTCGCCACAGCGTCTTGCGTAGAGTACATTAGATATACTAAAAGAAACTCCGGGATTACCGATACGAATCTTACCTAGGCGTCCATCCAGGCCTGTAATTACCAGTATTCGAGTTTAGAAACACAGGCGGGCAGAAAAGAGGCCACCATTTTCTGAGAGCCCTCGGTGAATTTAAGATAGTGCTTGCATCTAAGGTCGATCCCATCGATCCCCGCAGAATTTGGGCCAACCCTTGGATTGGGGATTGGTACTGATTTCTAGGTCATGAACTATTCCCATGCCATGGCAGAGAGAGAGAGATGGAGATCAGAGGTGCCATTGTGGTACTATCTCACATTCCAGAGACGTTCCATCCCAACCCTAGGACTTTTGTCTACACTAAATCCCACGGGCCTTGCATATTCTTGTATCCTCGCAGTCTTCACAAAGTAGTGTACAAACTCAGATATCCCCCGGCGTGGGTTCGCATTGCACGTTAACTCATTGTTCCTCGCATGTCCCCCCACTCGGCGCCACGTTGCGTGACGAGAACCCGAGTCTCGGACCGAGTACGAGCGGTGGTCCCACAAATTTGACACCGAACAAGGGACAGACAGACTCATTACTTTCGTAAGCTACTTGTGTCCTACACCTCCTGAGAAGGGGCACGCATGAGGACCCCAAGCCACTGGGAAGAGAGAGTATGGGTCCACCTCCGGCAATTTACCAGAACGAAATCTCCTCTCTGTAATTCGATCCGAGGAAACTAGTAATCTACTAATTGCCATGGCCTGAAGGGGCTATCCATCCAATCTCCTCAATCGGCCACCTAATCCACCCCCTATGATTTGCGTCCAAGATCTCCCAGGCCCTGGACATCAAGAAGCTGCTCCATCCCCGCAGCCACATGTTCCCCTCCAATTTGTTCAACACAACACAGAAATACGCAAATATCGCTACAGCTTCCTGCGTTGGCACTTGGAGGAGTGGCATAAAAGTTTCTGCGACCGTAAACTGCCAGACAAACGCGTCCATTATGTCCAGGCTCTGGAATGAAGATGACAGGGCCAAGTTGAGTTGGCCTCGGAGCTCGCAGATGGCCTCAGAGTAGATACCGCGAAGCGATTCGTCTGGCACAGTAGACGACATTAAATCTCCGAGGCTATCGAGCACTTTCGACTCTGTAAATTTGGGGTCGTGTGATATTTCCCACCGCTTCGCACCCAGGGCCAAGATCGGCGAGAGCATACCAGAATAGCTACTGGATTGTAGTCGGTACAGTAGCTTGCGCACGCCACTGAGCAGGAAAATCCAGTCAGGGAACGCGGACTCACCGATGAGCAGTGAGGTATTACTGGTTCTAGGGCACCCCAAAGCTGACGTGGAGAAATATTGTTAGCAGCTTTATCCTTGGTACGGGTTGAACTTGGATGCACCCGGGTGGACGTACCGAAATACATGGTTAAAATACTAAAGATCCACAACGCCTCGCATTTTTCGGTTCCGTCCATTTGTTTCATCAGAGAAACGGCAGTGTGCGTCGCAGCTTGGTGCTGTAGGTATGCATGTGCAATGTAGTCATTCTTCTTCTCAGGGCGATACTGGGAGAGGTGCAACGCCGAGACGGCAAGGATAGACCGCATGACGTAGTCGTGCCTGGCAGCGTGGCGTATGATGTCCGTTTTCCATAACTCCCGGATAGTACAATCGCTGCTGAGCGTGGTGTAGGTTGCAGTAGTAAAATTATGTAGGAGCTCCAGGTCAAGGAGGTTCAGGGGAGGTTCAGCTCCGGCGGGTCCCGCAGAGGAGGGCGTATGCATTCTCGCATCCAGGAATTGGCAAAAGATACCACGCCTTGTACAGTTTTGACAAGAGGGGCGGCGCTCATCACACTAAGATTAAGACGGGTTACTAACAGGCTGAGAAAACGGCAGCGGCGTGGAAGCGGGAGTAGCCACGATTCGGCAGGGCGATGGAGAATAGGGACGAGTTCGAACCTTGATTTTTCGCCTCTTGCAAGTTTTACAGCCTGTCCTTGTTTTCTTGTGGGTGTTTCTGATGGGTTTGTCGACTTGATCTGTAGTAACATCTGCAGTAGCCGAGACTGCCAGCGGAGCTGAGTCTGTGGAAGGCAAGTCATCAGTCCGGGGGCCTCTTCGCTGAGTGCGGCGGGTTGGAGTGGACAGTCTTACTCTCGTCCATTCCTTGCGGTTGCTGAAATACAGATTAGTGGAATTATAAAGAGAAATTGCCGCTATGCCAATGATGATAAAGTTTCCACAGGGGATTTTCAGGGAGGCCAAAGACTCCTTCCGCGTCGAGAGATTCCGAAACTCGGGACGAAACCGATGACTGGAAAGGTCGACTCGTTCTCATTACAATTTGATCCCGGTCATGTGAGCTCGATGCCTCCAATCAACATTATTAGAATAAATATTAGTCACCAAGGTCACTTGGAACGGCCTTGGGCGTTTTTCTAGTACAGTTATAAGTAATTAATCATAAATGACTTTTTTTCCTTTTTCTCTTTTTTTTTTTTTTTTTTTTTTTTTTTTTTTTTAAAAGAAAAAAATAAAGTCAACTTAATTCATTTTATAAAAATACAAGCTAATAAAAGGTTTTGTTGTTGCGGCGGCTGCCGGCGGGTAGCAGCTACTGATTTGGTGCCATTGCGGTCATGACTGTAACAATTTAAGAAATGACGTCGGGCCCCAAGAGACGGTAGATTTCTTCAACTCGCTGGAAACGCGCCATTTCTCAGGGGGCAAGCCATGGCAAGATGGGCCTTTGGTCAGTTTACGTGATGAATAAAAGAAAGAAAAGGTTTTGGTTCTGATTGAGTACTTCATCGGAGGTGCTTCTAAAAACGGCCGCAAGAAACCTTGCAGCTTAAAACATCGCTGTTTAGTTAGACCTTACTTCCGTCTCAACGGGTCTTCATCTATGTTTTGGAAGAAGGCTAATGAAGTCTATCATTGAACGCGTGGATGCCGCTGAATTATATACAAACTCAAGTAAACATTCTCAGCATCTTGCCCCATTTAGAGGAGCAAGAATGTCAATTTATATTTTCCGTACCATGCAATATCATCAGACGATCCGTCGCATCTCGACAGGTAGGTGTTGGTAGCTATCCGTATCACTTTCGACATAGGTATAGGGACCTAAGCCCTCACCTTCGGTTTTGGTATCACGGGACAAGTCGGAACTATGCTCAAGATCGCCGACATACCAGATGGCGAGGATGACCATGACAGCAACCATTAGGAGGGTATCGAAGATGTAAAGGAAGGCCTCGTGCGAGATCAGGTAGCCGCCATTTCCCTGGAGGTACTCGATGACGCGAAAAATGCTTCGGACTAGGATGAGGAAGCTAGCAGCGTAGAGGACGTAAAGGTGACGCTTCCAGCAGGGGATGCGGGACAGGGAGGGGAGACTCGGGCGGACAACAACATTGCGATGGAAAGTGAGGGAAATAACGATGAAGATGCTGAAGACGACGATTTGCACGAAAAGGCCCACAATGATGATTTTTTCACCAAGTTCGTACATGTCCAAGCTGCCAGCTGATTGAATGCCACCTCCGCCGGCCTGCATGACGAACGAGATTACATCCCCGGTGACGAAGATCCTGGTCATCCAAGCACGAGGGATAACGCACAGGGCTTCAGCATCGAGGCCATGGACAAGACGGCCGAGAATCATGTAGATGGAGGCTGCGTAGAGAGCGGGGACGACGAGAATCAGGATCGCCTGGATGATGAACCCGCCGAGGGCCGTGGTGTCGAAATGTGACCAGATGCGGCCGGTATAACCGAGAGCTTGGACTGTTGTAGCGTGGAACAAAAGATGGAAAGAAAGGATTAGCTTAGGGAATGGGGAAATGAAGGCGTGCTGTCTGCCGAACGTACAGAGACCGCCTAAGGTGAAGGCTGTGAAATACAGAGATCGATGCCGCAAGACCAGCCATGCGTGGTATGCGGTGAGGGCACCGAAGAGGGAGACCGCGATAATAGCTGCTGGGAGCGACGGGGTGTATTGATACAGGCTAAAGACAAACGTGTCATGGCCGGCAGCGGATGGGTCAAACCCGTCGGTGGAGTTGGCTGAATTCATGGTTTGTGGAAGAAGCTATGATGTTGGTATTCCTATTCATTTTTTCGAACCTGAAGGAAAGCGGCATGGCGGGTGATATAGAAGATGAGCTGGCAATTGATCGCAAGAATGGGAGAGGATGCGAGACCGAGCCGAGTACGAGGATACTGCGGTGGCCGCTCAGAGACGAAGGCCGAGCATTCGGAACAGGCGCTGAAGCGGAAGAAAGCCTAAAACGAGACCTGGAAGTGGAGGGACACTGTACCAGCACGGATACGACTTAAACCTGGATGGTGAAACAATCCAGCACCACGGTCCTCAACTCGGTGAATTATAGCATTGCTAGCCTCTAATCTGTACTTTACGCTGACCTTGTACGCGTCCCCTCTCCATATGCCAATCGACCTTGGTTTTCCTGTGTTGGGAAGAGCCGCACACCAGGGGCGTACGTCGTCTCATTGGCAGGACCGCACACAGCCCTGCAGCGGGGCGAGGATTGAAGGATCCAGCGCTCACCCCCTTGGTCAGGGAAAATCGAGGACGGAGCTTTTTATCGCTCTGCCCAATCTAATTCCACCGCCGCAGACTAAAAACTAAAGACTAGAAACTAAAATCACAACCCTGACCGGTCTATTTGCTTCCATTCCTTGGCAATCAGTAGATTTCACAAGCCGCTAAGCACATGAGGACTTTCTTGAATCTACCCATCCCGTGCATCGCATCAGAAATTGAAACCGTGCATGTTGGGCCAACTCAAACCCTCGAAGTTGTTCATGTCCTCCCACAAAAAGTTCGCACCGGCTGGATCGAAAGCGTTATGAGGCTGGTTAAGAATCTCGATGATCTGCTCATCCGACATCGCCGAAAAGGTCATCTGGGGCTGGGTTTGCGGGTTGAGGTAATCCGCGTCTGCGAGGGGGAGACTTAGGCTTACCCCGGGTGCAGGTACTAGGTTGAATTGGTGGTTGTTATTGTCGCCGCTGTTATTATTATTATTATTATTATTATTATCATTGCTTCTGCCTTCACCACGGTTGCCGCCAGTGATGATTGCAGCGGGCGCAGGGTGTGGGGCGGCGACAGGAGCCGTTGAGTGTCCATCCGCTGCCGTAGCTGCCTTCTTCACAATGATTCGGAGATATCGACCGTAGAGCGAAGGCAGTCCATTCCGATGCGGCGTCGTGTTTCCGACGCGTTCAAGCACACCTGCCGCTTCCTCTATCAAAGTCCTGACGCTCGGAGCCAGGTTAGAACTCCCACTCGCGTAGGCGCTTATCGTCAAGGCAAAGCAGGCCGCAAATGTGATCATGATGGCGGTGTTGTTGGGCATCGAGCGCAGCACGGTTTCGCCTCTAATGGCAACACGTAGGACCGTGAGAGCCGAAGACATGCCCGCCGTCCTGAAGAACTGCCTCACCTCGATCGGCGCGGTGGGATGGTTGATGACGCCGCTGTAGATGGACAGCCTTGTGTGAGCCACGAGGATATTTACGTACGGGGGTAGCTCCCCCTGCGGACCGGACCCGATGGACATGCCCCAGTCCGCATGCCACTGGTCGAAGAATCTCTCAATTATGCCCTGGATAGACTGCGCTATGAGAGAGCTGTCGGAAGCGTTGTTCTTCTGCGAGCCGTCACACATGGCGCGGACTGTGGCGAAAACCCCATCGAGATCCCGGCGCAATACTGCAATGGACACAAGATGGCTATCCTGCGAGTCGGCAATGTCGGACCTATGCCACTGGTCGCAGTCTCGTACGGATCGCGTGAGGGGAACGGTAAAGTTGCGCCCGCGAGCAAGGGACATGCCCCGCTCGAGCACGAATAGGGCAATCCAACATCTTTCCCTTCGTCGGAGTAGTCTCCGCCCGAACTCCGAGGCTGGATCAACCTGGCCGAACCCATCCATGGCCAAGGCCGTCCGGGGGTCGACGCAATCTCCGCGGGTAACGTCCGCAGCCGTGGCCGGCATGTCAGCGGGGACCAGGAGCTTGTGTAAAGAGAGATCTATGGCGATGCTAGTGGCCATGGCGGTATACCAGGGCGTCTCGTCGTCACTACTATGATGGCCCGGGAACATCCAAGGCACATTCACCATGAATGCGAGTACGATTTCAACCGACTTGTGTTGTTGGACCACTACCCTATGGGCCAGGTTCTTTGCGTGTCTCGACAACCTCTTGGACAGAGCGCCGTCCTGCAAGCGAAACAAAGCCGAGGCAGCCATTATGGAGGTGAAGAGGAAGGCGGAGCGTGAACGCGTAAAGGGGACAGTATAAAGCTTGGGGTCCAGTCCCCATCGCGTATGGGCGAGGTTCTTGTGGAAGCTAGTGTGATACGTGAGTATGAGTACTCATATACGATGGAATCTTTCATCCTACCGCGTTAGACTTACTAATCGAACAGTTCCTCCGCCTCGCGTTCAGTCACTAAGCCCATATCAATTGGGTCAATATCCTCGCCGGTATCGAGGTTCACCCGCACGCCCGTGAAGAAGGACTGAATCTCCGAGTCGCCGTCATCCTCGTCGTGGGGCTGATTCCTAGCACCAGGATGGACCAGGGAACCCGGAAGACCGGGCGAGTTGCCTGTTCCACTGGCGGTGGGAGACAGCTGCAAGTTGGATGCCCGAGCAAGAAGCTGTAGGGGGTTTTCGGCGTCGTCCACTGTGAGGCTCCCTTCGCGGTGGTGTGCAATAACGAATGGTTGATGTTCAGGTGAGGCATCAGTTTCGTCTTCGTCATCTGAGTAGGCTAGATTATTTGCATCATCATCAACCCGAGATGGCTCATTAGACTCAACTGCTACCGGGTTGAGCGGCCTAGCTGAATAGGTGCCCCCAACCTCGCCTAGGAGTTGCCTGAGAGCTAGAATTGTTTCATTATCTTCGGAGGTCTGCTTTCCTGACTGGACTCTCCTGACGGCCTGTTCTATTTGAAAGAGGGCCTTGTTAGAGCCTTTTAATTTGCTGGTCACAGTTAGCCTTGCCTAGGCCAGAACAATCCATTCGGGGTGGGCTCACTTCTTGCTGCCTTTTCGCCTCCCCGCGGTAAATGTCGGCCTGACGCATTCAACTTCGAGCTGGGCGCACCTTTTGCACTCGTTCCGGTCCAGAGACCAATCGCATTTGATCTTGCTCTTGCGGCATACGAGACAGGCAGCCTGCTTAGGATGGCGGAGCATCTCGGTTGACGGGCCAGTCGCAACGCGATAGCCCGACCCTGCTGGAGGTTATCAAACCCCTCCCCGCGGAAACGGCACGTAGAACGACGAAAGACTACAATTCTTAGATGCAGGGTGTATTGAGATCTATATTGAGATGATGCAGCGTCTGTACACCGAGACTTTTTTGCCACACGAAGGTGAGGGGGAATGAATATTCAAAGTGAAGCTCGAGAGGATGAAGTTTGGAGGTACGAAAGCAAGAGCACGAGGTTGGTTTCGATGCGCAAAATTCTAGAGGCTAGTAACAGTCTTGGTGTGGTTTCAAGATCGATTTGAGAAATCCTTCTGCGGACATATGCGGTTTCGTCGCCGGCCGGTGCGACAAGGAGAAAGACGAAGTTGGGGACTGGGATTGGATTGGAGTCATTGGACTCATTGGAGGTTTCAGACCTCGGTGAATTTAGCTGGCGTCGATTTCACCTCGGGACGCCTGTCCACAGGTGGACAGACTTGACTGGTCATCTGCTTCGCCACGTGACAGTTGGTTAGGTCCGCCTCAGCTTCGGCTAAAACCCCTCCAACTTTCGAATTTCAACTACTTCACCGAAGTTCACCGAGTTTCACCGACCTAAGAACTTGAACAGCAGTTTCGCAATATCAGCCCGGGAGTTCAAAGGCGTCCCAGAGACTACGCATAAAGGCCTCACACCATCGCCGGATCGACTATGGCACTTAATTTTATCGCCGGAACCTGGGTCCGAAATACGGCCTTGCAAATAATCGCCCGTTGGATTAGCGCCGTGGCTTGAGAGCTGAAGCAACGCGATGCACTCATTGGCTGCCGGCAGCCTTGTCAACGCACCCCTCTTTTTGAGTAAATAGAGGCTTCGACGGAAGGAAGAGAAACAAACCACTTATCTTTTGAACGCTCGCATTTCTAATATACCCGATTTATTGATTTCTGTGTCCCGCTCTGGCCCCGAAAGCAGTTGTGTCAACTTGTGACAAGACATTTTGACAGCGATTTCGTTCTGCTAACCCAAGTTTTTGCCATGATCTTGTTGAATTTTCTAGCTTCTCTTCTGCTCGGTCTGGCATTGGTCCCTGCAGGGCTCGCCACCACAGGAGGGGCTGAGCCGTCGAGTGTGCTGACCCCGACGCCTGCCGCGGAAACCAGTGCAGCAGAGGAACCGTGTCAATTTTCTGACCTTCAGCAACTCGTCGACCACTTGAACATCTTCCCTACTCAAGCCGGTGAAGAATTTTACCGAGATGGAGACGATGGGAATACTTGGGTGTATAACTATTCGGCTAAGAACTCAAATCCACAACGAGACAGAATCAACTTCCTCGTCCAGGAATGCAACAGCATCTGCGTCCTTGTCTACGGCACTGGGAACCCAGATCTTTCGGGCATCGGCGTAAGGCAAACCCATCAGTCTTGACCATACAGGATTCTCACTCATTACACAGGCTATGGTATCCTACGTCCTTCAGGGAGTTGTAACAGGGGCGCTGGGCCCGGCCCTCGTGCTCGGGACTCTCCTGAAATCGAACCAGCAATGGCCATTCTACGAGGTTCATGAAAGGCGTTCTAGAGTACCCGCAATTGTCCGCGAACTCGCAATCCACAGTCTAAAGGTCAATTTCATCAATGCGATGGCTGTAAATTTTACCATCGCAGCACGACGAACTGCGGAAGCCCCAATTTTCGAGGCTAGCTTTGGTGGCGCCTTGGCGATGTATCAGGTCTGGATCTGCCTCGTCAGTCTTGTATCATGGCATACCTACTTCAAGGTCAGCTCTTCATCTCCATTGGCGGGCCGTAAGTTCTTCCACGCAATATGGTTTATCGTCATCCTTGTGTGCTTCCTAGTCCCATTCTATCCAAAGGACGACGGGCCCTCATGGTTACGAGACGATGTTGCCGCGCAATGCGAGATTCAGAGGGCATTCCCCCGTCCCGAGAGCTTCAAGGCGCAGGAGGTCCTGGTTCTAGGCATCTTGGCGGCTATAGCCCTTTTTATTTTTATCCTTTACGCTTTTTTTGGGGCTTTGGAAGGAATTAGCTATATTGCTAGGAGTATATTTGACCCTCAAAGGCTCGTGGCGTTAGCCTATGCGGCCTACCTCACTGCCGCACTTTCTTATGCCATGATCACATTGTTGCGTTCCATGTTCCGTACCAGAGCGCAAGCCAAAACGTTCAGCAACGATGCGTACGAAGATGATAATTGGGGATTTGGCCAGGTTATGGCCGTGGTTTTGTGGCTGGGGTTTCTCAGTGATGCAATCTGTATCATCAGAGGTAAGGAGGTGTATGTATATCTCCTGTATGTGGGTGTCGCTAACCAATATAGATGCGGTGATATCCATACCCTCGAAACGCCCTCAGCCCCAGAAACGGACGTCTAAAGCAGCAGGAAACGGCAGTCGGAGTGTGACACCCGTACAGCAAGCCCCAGGAGGGTCAACAGAAGTCATTAGCCAGGTAAGGCAAGGAGAGCTGAATTGCCGTAACTTGAAGTAGTTTACTAAAGCTCGCTCTCCCTTTAGCCTCCCAATCAGCCTTCCAATCACTCATCGGGCATTGAACTTCAAGACGTGACTCTACAACCCAGACAAACCTGGCCGAGAAATAACAGCGAAACCTATCTGCCTGCCTAATTGGCTTTGGCTAGGCAGTGAACTCGGATCTTTTTTTTTCCACCCTTCAGCAATGTAGCCGGCCGGTGGAACTACGTTTCTACTTGAACCAATACAAACAACTTGCGTTATCCAGTTACAAGGCTTTGTATGGCCGGCCATCAAAATATATACTTCCAGTAACTGACGCAATCTCCCGAGGGACGACGCACTAAGTTAATTGATAGTAGAGTTGCTGATTACAAGTTGCTGAAGTGCATATTTTCTCGAAGCTTGTATAGGCTTATTGAAACGTTGGGTAACGCAGTCCGAAGCCAGCCTGCTCCAGCCCAATATCCGTCAACGCAGATCAGAAACCATAAAACGGGTGTAACTCTTGCTTCGCCACAGCTCCACCTCCGTAAGATGCCAAGATTCGGACGAACACGACAAATCAATGCTGACGCGGGCACGTTTATAGACCGACCCTCCCCACACCTGACAAATCAGGAGGTGATTCAATGTGCGGAAGGATCAAACATTCAGATGTGGCCGTGGTGAGAATATATTGAGAGCTATATAACTGGTGAAATTATATAGCGCTATGGACCTGGTAGCTGGTCGAGGAGCATTCTTCCATTTGGATCAGGCATCAGCATTCCCGTCGTCGACACAGTTAGATTCCGTCATCTCTGAAAACGACTTAGACATTCAGCACTACCAACGGCCATGTCTCATTTACAGTATTTCAGCTACGAAGGCTTCGGAGACCGGGTGAGGAAGGACACTCACTACAGTCAAGCTGTCCGAATCGGAGACGGGATTGAGATTTCCGGCCAAGGTGAGAATTCCGCTTGACGTTCCAAGGCTGTCTTCCGAGTCTCAAAAAAAGCATCAATCATACCCCGAATTCGCTAACACTGCCAACCTTCAATCTCACAGGCGGCTGGGACCGCATCACCGAAGAGTTCCCTCAAGACCTTGGGCAGGAAATTGACCAGGCATTCGAGAACGTGGAACATACCCTGAGAAAAGCCGGCGGAAAGGGCTGGGAGCAGGTCTACAAAGTTCGAGCCTACTTTGCGCCCGCCACGCCAGAGGCTTTCGAGCACTCGATCCGAAATCTACGGAAGTACTGTCCCAACCACCAGCCTCTATTAACAGCGGTGGAGGTGAAGTGGCTATACAACAACATGAGGATTGAGATTGAGGTTGCCGCGCATCTTGGATAGCCCCGTTTAGGATAGATGTATTGATGAGCAGTCATGTTGTTTCAGTAAGAGAACTGTACGTTTATTTGCTCCGGCGGGGGCACTCCTGCCCTCGTGCATCTACTCTGCATCTACTTTTCTTGTGACTTACTGTTTTAACTTGGGTCGAGACAAAATGGCCTCCGTCTCTATTTGAATAATGTACATAACTCCGAAGATTACTTAGACGCAAACACCCTCGATTACTCCGTGGGCCTTACTCCACTGGCAAAAGACATTCCCCTTCTGGTCTATGTATTGCACGGTCCATGGGAACTTCCTCCCTATGGCACCGTCCCTTTCAATCATCTCCCTAGCAAAGTCCATATCCGAGTCATCCTCCTCCATCTCGCCTTCTTTCTCTATTTCGCCCTGGCCCCCTCCCTCCTCCTGATTCTCTGTCTCTCCTTCGTTCTCAGTCTTCATCTGAACATCTCCATCGCCATATTCGCCCAGTAGAACTTGAACAACTTGAAGGCCGGTGACCTGCGCTAAGATATTCTTAGGATATGACCCGTATGAATACTCCTCCCACGGGACGAGAAGCCTCTTAATCCTTCCCCAGCACTCGGAGTAGTACCCTTTCAAAAGCTCAAGGTCGCCATAACCGTCTGTCATGTCGGTGCAGAGCCACAAGATGTCGCGGCTTGGATTAAGGTAAAACGAGCGGCCCAGCTTCGAATGCGTCATGCGGACGTAATGTCTCAGGGTAACGGCTCGGGATTCACGGCAAATTTGAAGGGCGATGGGGTCGAGGCATTTCTCGATGGCGGGGTCCTCGATGATACGTGAGCCAAAGTCGTGGTTAAGGAAAGTTGATATAGTGCCGCTTAGCCGCAGGGCCATGTACTCTGTGGGCTCGTCGCCGGACTGGACCTCCCAGTCTTGATTATCGTAAAGGCCGACTTCGACAACTCGGCCCTCGGGCCAAGTTTGCTCCCACACCATGAGACGTATCTCCGGCAGGAGGCGATTAAACGGGAAGGTTTCAGATGCCATACTAGATTTTAGGTAGGTAGAGTAAATGAAGGGATGGTGGGCTAAAGAAAGAGAGAAAGAGTATGGAGGACGGAGGTCGAGTGTAGGGGGGGCTTGACTGTTCATAAATAAGCACATGTGTGTGCTCCTCGACGGCGCAATTAGCCGCAATGGTCCTTGATCCTCCCTCGATTGAAATAGAATCAGACCACCCACCTTTACAAAGCATGAGGCCCCGGGACTCGATCTCAATTTGAGGGTGATGTGATGCAACTGGTCACCAGGCGCTTATTGCGAGTTTTTGATTGGAGATTTGGGCGGCTATGGGCGGGTCCCTTCACGCCAGACATTTATTGGTCACACCGCGACAGGAAACGCCGAGGTTAGTGGCTCTTTTGCAACGAGAAACCACAAGATGAGGCTTGCTTGGTCCTCGTCAGAGGCCGAGTGTGACCGTCAAACTGTATTCACCCAGCAAGTGAGGTAGATCTCCCAAGGAACGGGCTAACCGAATGGAAGACGTCATGTGTCCAACTGTCTTCCTTGTCTATCATTGGGCCCCAATTTATATCATGGCTAGCCCTTCAAGTTAATATTAAGTATGACCTAAGAATATCTTACAAAACTTGTTCATTTTTATTTGGCAACCTCGTGAAACAAGGATACATTTACATGATGGGCTGCCACCCCGTCCTAGTATACACAATTAACCCCACTGGGACGATGGCGTCTTCTCGATAGACGACTGTTTCATCGTACAGAACTGCGCCGTTTTCAGCTGTAGTAGCTGCTGTGACAGATTCATATCCTGGGCTGGGCGCAGTCTTCGTGTAATCTGGCCCATAGAGTTTCTCTGATTCGCCGACAAAAACAAGACAGAGAAGCATGATGTGTTTATGAGAATGGATGCGGGAATTCATCACATAATGATCGGCCTTTGAGGAGGTACTCGTAGTGTAAATCCCACGGCCAAACATCGAATATGTTCTCATCGTCCTTGTACCTGATTCCAATTAAGAAACATGATTAGTGAAAAGTCTTCACCGGCATGAATACAAAGACTAGAATACGACTAACCAGAGAATTGAATCCTGAAAGAGTCACAAAGGATGCGGCAGACGCTGCATTCCGCGGTGTAGCATGTCCCTAGCGCGGAGTTTGGATCCTCTGCAATGTAACATGCCCGCCGAGTTCCGTGAAAAAGGTATTTGTATCCCGGGCGATAGGGCTCCGTTGCATATTTTCGATGGAGATATATTGCCTGGACGGAACCAGTCTTGTTGGGATGAAGCCACATGCTATCAAAGTCACGCTTGAATTTTTTGTAGGGTTCACTTCCAGTGTCCAGCTTTTCAAAATTCCTCAGTCTTGCTGACGACAACTGCCACTCAGAGTGTCCTTGCACTTGGTGGCTGCTCATCGCATGCACAGAATGGAATCTTGTCGAACAACTCCAATTGTCACAGACGAAACCAGGCGGCCAATGTTTTCTGCCATACATATGTTGTACTACGGCGCCCTCGGAATCAAAGTTTTGGCCGCAGGTTTCGCAAGGAAAGGTGGGCGCCCAGTGGTCTTTGGCATCCATGTGTTGGTTTGCCGCGTTTTCCGAATCGAATTCTCGGTCACAAGTCTCGCAGGAGAAGGTTGGTGCCCAGTGATCTTTGGCGTCCATATGCTGATTTGCGGCATCCTCTGAGTTGAATTCACGATCACAAGTCTCGCAGGAAAAGGTCGGCGCCCAATGATCTTTGGCATCCATGTGTTGGTTCGCCGCGTGTTCCGAGTCGAATTCACGGTCACAGGTTTCGCAGCTAAACGTCGGCGCCGCCCAGTGATCTTTGGCATTCATATGCTGGTTCGCAGCGTCTTGGGAGTTAAATTCGCGGTCACAGGTTTCGCAGGCAAAGGACCAGTGATCTTTGGCGTCCATGTGTTGGTTTGCCGCGTTTTCGGAGTTGAATTCTCGATCGCAAGTTTGGCAGCCAAACGTCGGTGCCCAGTGATCTTTGGCATCCATATGCTGGTTCGCCGCATTTTCGGAGTTGAATTCGCGGTCGCAGGTCTCGCAGAAGAAGCCACCCATGTTTTCAACGTTCAAAACCGAAGCTTATGGTGTCCCGTTAGTCCAGTTATCAATCACGGCTCTTGTCATCGACAGCGGCCAAATCGGTAGCTGGATCTAGAAGCAGGCTAGCTCCGCAGATATTTCGAGGAAGATTTTATCCGTTGAACGAAATACAAGAAAATCGAGAGGGCGTCGCACTAGCCAGGGCCATCTCAGCTCCGCCTTGGGCTGCATACCGGGTTGCTAATTGTATTTAATTGTATTCGACAGGAGCTGCTCAGCCAGCCTGGCCAACAGAGGAGAGGCCGCTTTGCAGCAAATCAGAAGCAGCATGAGAGCAAGGGACCACTGAAAGTGTAATTCCTTCCGCAGTCGTTACAGCTGGCTGCGCCACAACGCTTCAGCTTGTTATGTCGTGGGCCAATACATGGAGTTCGGAGACTGACTGACGTGGCCCACAACGATCTCTCAAACATCGATCCTATTAGGAAAGCCGTAGGTTACCGGGCATCAGAACAAAGCATTGGCCGATAAAAAGGGATTTGGTCCCAATGGTCCTACAAGCCGACCCTTCAGACTGGATCTCTGACCCTAACCTCCCCCTCAAATTTCACAGCCTCCTTCTCCAGTTCATACAACTTCTTTTTCCGAATATCCACCGGCGTACTTTGTATGTGTTTATTTCACCTTTTCGGCCTAAATATGTCTCTCTTGCCATGGACGGCCATCTCCCTGCATAGCACTTACCTGATCCAACTCTGTAGGGCGGCGACTGTTTAACGATAAACAGATCAACGTCATCACACCGTTTTACCTGAGTCTCGTGGACGCGAACATGGAGGTCGATACGATTGAACGAGAACTGACCTGCCCGGTAAGCCATATCATGAATCCACGTCAAAATCTTCCGAAATTCCTCTAACTGTGTCCAAGGTATGCCAAGGCATCTTCTACCATCCGGTAGCCCTATTAAACTGCCTTCATACCCTTTGCGGGTCATGTGCGAAGAAATGGTTCGAACATCAAGCTCGAGCGTTCGAGGATCGCCCGACAGCGCCAGAGCCTGGCACTCCAATGTTCACATGCCCAGTATGCCGCGAAGAAGTGAGAGGTTCAAACCGCGACACTCGGGCGGTCAGCTTAATCGACTCGTTGTTGGCGCAGTATCCGGAGAAAGCTTGGTCGGAAGAGGACAAACGACAATTGGACGACCAATACCGACCTGGTGATCAAGTCTTACCACATGTTCCCCAGCCAACACTTGAGGATAGACTCGCAGCTGAAGAGGACAGGCAGATGATGGAGCGCGTTCGTGTCATGAGTTTGAATGACGTGGCTGTTGGCGAATCTCAGCCGACACCCACGAGTCGGCAGGGAATTGAGGTGGGACGAACTGGAGCAGCTCGATTCAATGCGAAGCTTGCGGCCGCAGGTTTAACTCGGAGCTTGCAGTCAATCAACATATGAACGATTCGAATCACCGCACAGCCAGCACACACATGAATGATGCGAATCACGAAGCGCCGCGCTTCCGATGTGAGACTTGCAACCGTAGGTTTCACTCTCAGCATGCAGTCGACCAACATATGAACGATACGAATCACGGCTTGCAGAGCGCGGCAGATCAACGTATGAACGATGCGAACCATCGGGCGCCATCCTTTCGCCAAGGCCATAATTTTGCCGGTCAGACTGGAATAAACCCGCAGGCCATGCTTACGCGAAATAGCGGCCGTTCCATAATGTGCGACTTAACGGAACTCCATGAACGAAGCCACGTCTATCAGGCGGTCCACCGCATGTTCGTGGATGGATGGCTCCATACAGAAAAAAGCGGCTCTATCCAGGCGATCTACCTTGATGCAAGACACAATTTTGCCTTGCAGGATGGATATCAGTACCTTTTCCACGGAACCCAACGGGCTTGTCATATTGCTGAGTCGAGAAACCACCTAGAACCCTGCAACCATAGTGCGTGTTACCTTTGCAGCATTCTCCGGAACTCTTTTAAAATCCAGTATACAGGTTAGTGAACCACGCAGCAGCTGAGTTGTTATACGTGATTTTTAATTTCATTATTATAGCATCGTCGAGCGGTAGGCCACGCATATTCGGCTCGGGGATATACACAACTCCAGCCTCTTCGAACGCCGATACCAATGTGAAGAATCACCATCTCCGGTCTCGCATACATGTGATGCTCTTATGTCACGTCTTTACCGGTCGATCCGAGAAGGTGTACCGTGAAGATTACAACAGGATGGCTCCTAGTGATGGGCATGACTCGGTTGAGGCCGCTACTAGGCGTGAGGGAGGAGTAGTCAACTACCCATTGACAGTCGTCTACCGAGAAAGCCACATTATCCCAGTAGGGTTGATCACATATACTCGCGAAGGGTGGCAGCCTAGGTAGTGTACGTTGTATACAGGTGTGGACGCATGCATGTCGTCGATGTGGTTCAAAACGGAGAAGGGAGTATCACTGCATACGGCGTCTACATTACAAGGGCAAACTGAGGTAGCGGTATCATATTGTCAGACTAGGTGGAGGTGATTTAATCACACGTCGGCGGCTCTGCAGCGGTACGCGGGCATGCGAAGTACAACTAAAACGAGAGCCGGTGAAGTCGGTTTGATTGGCGTAAGCCCTTACGCAAATAGTTGAAGTTATGAAACCTCCAAACAAGCAGAAATATGCCCCTGGACTTGGTGTGATTTGAATTTCTTTCATGGTCCTATAAAATGTGTTCAGCAACAGGTTCGGGCCTGCAAGCGGTCACGTCCTGGCGTCGGCGGCACACCTGATGTCGCTTTGATATCTATCCTCGCACCGGGCCGTAGCTGCCTGGCTTCTGGCATAAAACTCCATGAGCATCACCAAGGATTGCGCTTTCCGACCGACTCGATTCGACACCTCAAGTTAATCCGCGGTTGAAGGCTCGTCCTCAGGGGGGTCCAAGGGATTGCTTTGGTTTGGGATACTGTTCATGGTGTACCTCTCAGCCGGTGAGCGGGTATACCAGTCCTTCTTGCCAAATACCCGTTTGTAGTCTTCGCTTGACATGTCGTCACATTCAGCACCCTCCGGCTCATTCAAGCTAAAAGAAGCATATTGCTTGCTCCGAAGCGTATCCAGGGCGTCTTTCCAGGTACCACTAAGCAAGCGGACCTCATTTAGCCAGAGGAAGTCCATTGATTGCGGTAGGCGGTCTAAGAGGCGGACCATCCCCGAGTAATCCACTCCGACGTGAGAAAGGTTAACGTGTCTGAGCTTATCTCTTGCCCTTGACCCCAGGATTCGCCCAACGTCTATTCTTGTCGGCTCAGTCTCCTCGTCATCTCCACAGAATACCCGCAGGCACAGCTTTTGGAGGCTGGACGTGTCCAAGCAGGCGGAGAGGAATTCGTCAAGATCATCAGCATCTAGCTCATCGAGATAGTTGTCATATTCGAAGTCGAATTCTTCCAGGCATTGCATCCCGGACGAGAACTCTGATCGAATATCTGTAGATGGAACCAAACTGCCAGACCGTCCCGCCATTAACAGCTTAATTCTGATGCTATTGAGCCATGTGTTGGCACCTCGGATAGCATCTATCGTGTTAGGAATCAATTGATAGTCAGGTGGATCAAGGTCGTATTTCTTCACATGAAAAGCAGTCATCGGCTGGAGCAGGACTCGATGCACTGCGTCCCAAATAGCGCTCTTGATATTTAAGTCACCATCCATCATCAGTGTGAAATGCTTCGTAAGTGAAAGCTCCATATCGCGGACGTCCAGCCTTCGTACGCCCGGCATCCTTGCAATCGCGGAACCAAGAACCCGGGGGAACCTCCCGCTATGGAGTAGCGACTGTTGTTTCTCGACGCGGTTCAGATATTCTGAGTGGGTCTCGGCTAGACGTACCCGATGACTTTCGTCCTCCTCGAAGTATTCATCGTGCTGGCGATCTGTCGACGCAAGTCGACGAAGGGTCTCGAGAACTGCACTTCCACTAGCAAAGGCCTCCGATATGTGCTGCTCGGGGATCTTAGAAAAGATTGTCAGTTGAAGAAGGTCAGCGCCTTGTCCTAATAGGTCGGCTGGGTACGAAATGAACCAATTAAAATCGGCCAAGGTCTCGCTGTAAAAATGAAGGACGACTTGGATGACGCGAACACCCTTTGAGATAGTGGGATGGCGAGAAATCTCCTCTAAGCGCGCAAGCGATGATTCGTCAGGAACCACGCGCACGAAACGGAGAAGCAACTGCGAGCCGACGTTACAAAACCGTCGGCAGACTAGGCGGACGTTCTGGATGTCCTCTTTACCAGGACTGAGGAGCTCGAGAAACGGGGTCGTGAGGTCGAGGTTTTCCACCCGCTCGAAGATCATGAGGAGAATCTCGTCGGGCAAGTCTAGGATGTTCAACTTTCCCATATACGGGCGTGATAACTCGTCGATGCAACATCGAAGAGCACTCCGGATACCGTCCAGCTCAGCCTTTGAGGCGATCATCTTCTCCTGCTCTTGTTCGATATCGTCCACCAACTTGAAGCCCCAACCGGGGCCGTCGAACTTGGACCAGCCCGGCTTGAGCGTACCGAAGTCCCCGGTGAATTTGAGCTCATTTCCAGGGACGCGGCCCGACGATTGAGATTGAGGGGCTGAGGGTATAATCCTACGAAGAGCTAAAGCCCAGATCTCCCTGTCTAAATCCTGATGCAGCCCGTCTATGGCTCGAAGAGCATCATAAGCGGCGTGGAGGGCCTCCCTGCTACCAGCAGTTGTTGCCTTTTCGGAACCGGGAGACGCCATCCGAGCGGTGCTAAACCTAGAGAAAGTAGTGGAGATATTGTGATGTGGAAGGGTTCCGTTCGTTCCAGTGGGTATAGGTGGGAATGATCCTATCAAAACACTAGTTTCTTAAACAGAGGGATCGTTTCTCGGGCGTTCTGTTTTGATGCAATGTTCTTGATGGAATGAGGAAGAGTCTTTTCGTTTGCCGATTTGACTGACTTCTTCATGAGCCAATTAGCCAATGTTTCTGCCTGATATTTCAGGCCAAATATAAAGAAAGGATTCAACAGATCGCTCTTTCTTGGTTAGCTCCCGGCAAAGCCAGCATGAAGACAGGGTCACGGGACTCAAGGGGGAGCTAGCCGAGAGCTACGAGGGAGAAAATCTGAGAAATTATTGGCCTTATTTACACAGAAGGTACGATCATGTTGGTTTGTCTATTCAGGAATTTGACCAGAAAAACGTTTCTACTTATCCTTAGTCTCTCTTAAAAAAAAAAAAAAAAAAAAAAAAAAGGGCCTCTATTTGGCCCAATTTCCTTCCAAAAACACTACTGTAACCGAAATCAGTTCCCTTGGCTTATTCGGTTTCCCCCATCATTACCGACGTTGGTGAGAGCCCTATTTAGTCTGGTCTTTGATTCCTTCTTGCGAAACATATAGCAATTGGCTGATCTCTCCGCATAGGCCCTTCGGACAAATCATCGCGACGTACTTCCCACCAAATAATTCAACAAAATCGAGTGGATCATCACTCAACACATCCGATCTTGGAAACCCCAATAAGAATTTGTCAGGATCGAGGATACCTGTCACCAAATCGACAAGCTAACCGTTTCTAAAGGAACAGCAAAGCACGAGAAAATAAAGTAACGGGGAACAACAACAGCCAGTCCAAAGGGAAAATAGTCGGAAGACCAGTTGGGAGGGGTAACGTATATATAGATTAGATAGAGACACGCATGGATGTGCCATTTTATGTCCAGCGCAAGGCCAATGATGGAGCAACGTGAACATCGTTTTGGACGAAGACTATGAAATATATCGCTTTGCTGTCGTTGCATGTTGGCCATTGGGGGTCAAGGGACACCAACCTGTGGGTTTGTCTTGCACAAACCTAGTAAAAGAGACAGAGGTCTACGTCGCGCTTTGGTAGGAACGGATTGTATCTCGATACTTGAGGGTGGATGAAGACTTGCCAGGTTAAAGGCCCAATGCAATGGCTACAATGACGTCATGCACCAGATATAGGCATCAATCGATCCAATACAACTCGTTGGAATCAAAGGTAAACTTACTCTCCCTTGACTCCTTACCCGATTTAGGTAGGCCGACCGGGTCTCTCTCGTTCTCAACTCTATTCAAGACCGAACTGGCCTGACAACGTGACATGCAGGTTATGCTTCGGTGAAAGATCTGGGGAAAGGAACTCGTCGCGTGATCACATCCTAGCAAGTTACGACCCCTTTTTTCCGCGAAGCAGGACTTGAAGCATGCCGGCTCACGCAACAAGTGAAGCCGCCGCGATACACTCGAGCTTTGTGGTGACCTTCTTGAGCGCACTCCAAGCCGCCGCCTCTGTGCTGGTGACAATTGGCGTCGGAGTTGCAGCGGCTCAGTTCGACCTGGTGACGCCCGAGTCGGCGAAGCACATCTCGCAGCTTTGTGTCAACATTTTTCTTCCCTCGCTGCTGATTGCCAACCTCGGTTCAGAGCTACACATTGAAACTGCACCGAGATACATTCCCATTCTGAGTAAGTTTGCAGAAACTCCCTTCAACAACCGGGAGACTAAAGCCTTACTTGGATGATTTAAATTGCTAGTCTGGGCTACCTTGTTTTGTACCATCGCCATCTTCGTCGCTCGAGCCGTCGCTGTGTTGTTTAACCTTCCGCGCTGGACAGTGGCAACAGTCGTCTTCAACAACACCACGTCCCTTCCTCTATTCTTGATTCAGTCACTGGAAAGCACCGGAGCGCTCAGATCCGTCGTCGGAGAGGGGAAACATTCGATGGAAAAGCTCAGGTCGTACTTCCTCGTCTACGCCGTCGTCAATAACATTTTCACCTTTGGTACTGGAAAGCGGGCGGAACAGGGCTTCTCAGAGGATGGATTCCCGTATTCGAATTTGCGGAGATTGAGGGAAAGGGCACTGGGCATGTGCGGAAAGGGCTCCGTGAATTCCAACGACGAAGAGGCTCACGGCGAGGGAGAGGGCCCCGGGGAGAACTCGGAACAGAGTCGACGGGTCGTCGACTTTGAGAACGGATCGCCCAGTCACCCGAATGGAGGAGACTCTGACGGGGAGACGACTCCGCTGCTACCCGAAAATTTCATTCGGTGGGAGCGGTCGACGAAACAACGCGTCTCCGAAAGAGCTTCCAAACTCATCGAACCTCTCCCCGAGCCAGTAAAAAAGTTACTCCGCGTCGCCCGATCCTTCGTTACGCCCACTGCGATCGGCGCTCTCCTCGGAGCCATCATCGGTCTGGTTCCTGCCCTGCATCGACTCTTCTTCAGCCCCTTGCAGGAAGGCGGGTACTTTAACGCGTGGCTCACCATTGACCTCAGGAATGTGGGCGAGCTCTTTGTCACGCTGCAAGTCATTGTTGTTGGAGTTGAGTTGAGCCTCAGTCTTCAGTCCATGAAGAAGGGAGAAAACTCAGGAGATGTCCCGTGGGGAGCTGCTGTCTACGTTATTGTGACCAGGTTCCTCGTTATGCCTCTGTAAGTTTCCTCATTTGTACAGTCTAATCCGCCATGCAATATCCGATCCTCTTGTTGACGCGCTGTGAAGCCTCAGCATCCCCATCGTCTGGGCCCTAGCCTGCTACACTAACCTCCTCCCGAGCGATAGAGCCGTTTGGTTCGCCATGATGATCCTGCCCGTCGGGCCTCCCGCCATGAAATTGATTGCGCTCGCCGACGTGAGCCACATTCAGGAAAAGACGAGAATGTCAATTGCAAAGCTCCTCACGGTAACATCTCTTTCACAAAGGACCGCTTCTCTACTGCTTTCTAACGTCGATTTAGTTTACGTATGCCGTGACACCGCTCATCTCTCTGGCAGTCGTCGGAGCTTTAAGAGCAACGGAAGCCGTTCATCGATGACAGCCTAGATATGGTGGCTCAGCCGGCTGGCCATTCGTTTGACTTTGTTTAATACAAATGAAAGAGTATGATACACGCTAAACGATATTTTCCACTCCACCGCTCATAATATAGATTAAGCCTCACTCTTAGCCTCCCTCTTTGGCTCTTTAATACCAAACGCAGACCTCAGCGATGCTCGCAGCGGAATATCAACCTCGAATAACGTAAATATCCCGGTGGCACCCGTGATCGCCGCCGAAATAATCCAAGTCATCCTCAAAGCAATCGTATAGACCTCCACGACACTTGACTGAGCCCCCTCTGGAAAAGACAAGACGAAATCCCGAGCTGCGAAGGCATATGCGTTCCCATTGTCTAGAGCAGCCCTCACCGCAGGGTCCGCAATCCTCCACAAATTCTTCGAAAATATGTTATTGAATACCGCTGCGGGGATGGCGACTCCCCAGATGGCACCGTAGCTGCGGATATACGCCCACGTAGCTGTCGAGCTGGCGTTATCCTCATCGGTGAGACCAGCTTGAACGGCAGGGAGAACTGAAGTAGCAAGAATTCCGTTACCGAGGGAAGCGACGAGCTGGAGGATAATCCACAAAGCCGCGTGAGATTCAGCTTCTAGGGCGGCGAAGCTTCCCATTCCACCAGCCATGAGGACCATCCCGACAATATGGAGGAGCTTGTATTTGCCCGTCCGCGTGAGGTATTGAGCCGAGATGACGGCTGCTGGCAACATGCCTAGGACAGTGGGGAGGATGCGCACGCCGGATTGGCTGGGTGTGGCGAGCTGAACGGCTTGAAAGTAGACGGGGAGGAAGTAAAGGGCCCAGAGCGTCGTGAGGGAGTGGATGAATGTAATGAGGAATGCGATTGACGAGGTGCGGTTGCCGAATAAATGCGGGGGTATCGTGGGATATGCGCAGAACTGGGAGGCTTCGTAGCTGTGGAAAGTGATCAGCCCAAGGACTCCGATAATCAGTGGAGTGAGAACACGTGCATCTGACCATGCATAGTCCGTCCCGGCGTATGTTAGGGCATACAAGATAGAAGTCGTGGAACCCAGCACCATAATACTACCCAGATAATCGATCCGCTTCATCTTCTCCTTGAACGGCGCCTGGACATAGTTCACTCGCAGAAAGGCAAACAGCATCACCAGCGCGACACCTCCAACCGGCAAGCTAATCCAAAACACCCATCGCCAACTGGTATTCTCGATAATAGTGCCGCCGATAAATGGCCCGACGAAGAGACCAATCGCGAAGAACGCATTCACGAGCCCGATGAACTTGCCCCGCTCGCGCCCAGCAATGAGGACGGCAGCGTTGTCGGCGCCGCCGCAGATGCCGCTGCCGAGGGTGAAGATGGCCACGCTCCCGATCATAAGCCAGCGACGGCCCCAGGAGTCTGCAAGTTGGCCGATGACGGGGAGAAAGGCGGTACTTTGATTCAGTTAGATCGTCAATGGCTACTGTGGGATAAGGTTCGACATGCCTTGTCAGTAAGTAGACGTTGACAATCCAAGTATAGTTGTTTCTGATGTCTAGTTCGTGGACAATCGTAGGCAGTGTGGTCGAGATCACTATTCCCAATTGTGAGTGATTTTGGCCAGGAGCTCATTTACTTCGGTCCTCCATTGACGCACCAGTAACTTCTATGGCTGAAAGCAAAGTTGTAAACATGAGGGCTGGGAAGATGGCCCAAAACCTCCACGACTTGCCCTTGCCAAACTTGTCCTCACCCAGTTGCTCTTCGACCACGTTTTGATCCCCGGAATCGTTGCAACCATGATTGATTCCCTCGCCAGGGTAGTTCCCAATGGCTGTAGAAGGATTTTTCATATTATCGTTCGTCATTGCGACTGTAGACGGGTTCAAGGAGTGCGAGATGGCGGCGATGCGTTGTGGTGATCAGAAGGAGGAGACGAAGTTCAAGGGCACTCAACCAGCGGAATATTTCGTGAATATATTGACTGCTTCGGTGACTCGCCGTCAAATTGTCGTAGTTTCCTATGCCCCTTGAATTTTTAAGTACAAGCTGTCTCCTGTCCTCTCATAACGCCGAATGTGCTGCGTAGGCAGAATGTTCGGCGTTACAGACCGGTCGCTGGCGCCGAATCGGCGTTTTGGTCAATCCAAACTTTAAGCTTGGCGCAAACACAACCTCGTTCAGTCCAGAATCTACACACCACCTCCTCACCACCTCATTCCACCTGCACACCTCGTCCCCAATATCCCCATCCAATGACGCGAGAGTCTCAACCGCAAACCCGACTCGCATGCGACCGATGCCACGCTCACAAGCTGCGCTGCCTGCGCCCAGACGGTCAGGAAAGTTGTCAGCGATGCGCTCGGGCGGACGCGCGGTGCGTGTTCAGCCCGCGTCAGCGCAGAACGGTCGCCCCCAGACAACAACCAACGCCGCTATCAGAGCCAGAGGCTGTAGTGGCTGACACCGAGGAAGATGTTGACCTCGAAATCGAAGACGTTCTTACCAGCGGTGAGGCGGTAAACCCAACCTTGATGAACCCACGTCTTCTCGACTCTGGTGAAATCGGCCACGGTGCACTCGCCGAATGGCCCTTGTTCGGCGCGGAGTTCGATAGTTTCGACTCATTCACATCAAAGTTTAATTTCCAGCCGACGGCTTTACCACTTGGTCAATTTTCCAGTCTTGCTCACCCCTCCGTGTCCCATGACACAATCGGAATGGACACCGAACATACCTTACCAGCTCTTCCTTCAAACGCACCCACACTCACCCATCGGACTCCTGATATCGGCGACGTGGTACGCAAACTGGCGACCCTTAACGTCGAACTGTACCAACACAACAGCACTCTCCCGCCTACATCCTCATCCCGCACCGACAGAACCCCCTCCGCAGAAGGAAGAATCTTCGCCATCGACGAAACCTTCCGCCTCACCCAGTCCCTCATCGACACCCTCCGAATCCTCTACCCGTCCGTCGGCCAAGACAACCCCGAGTTCGTCCCGGACCAAGGCACGCTTTTGCTCATCATGTCGTGCTCGACCCGTGTCTTCGACATCTACGAAGTCATCTTTGCGCACATGCGCGGATGCATCCAGCACAGCCTTACTCCCGTGACGCCGGATGGTAGTACCATTCGTCTCCCACCGCTTCGTATCGGGTCCTTCGCGCCGCCTACGCCGTCTGCCATTGCGATGCATATGCTTCTTGTCATAATCATGGCGTCGCAGTTGTTTGATCAGCTGCAGGAAGTCCTTGGCTCTTGGCACCGAAGCAGGGCACGTTCTGAGGCGAGAGTTCCAGGGTTCACGAACGAGGCGGCGGCGGAGATGGTGAATCGGGCGAGGAACGTGGCTGGGGAGATTTTGGCGGCTCGGCAGATGGTGTTGGGTATTCCGGGGCTGCAGTTACCCGTGGAGAAGACGTTGCCGGCGAGTGTGCAGCCTCCTTGAGACCGTTGGCTAATGGAAATAAACTCTAGATTTTTGGTCTCACTACGTGTACTTGTAAAATTTCTTGAGCAAATGCTTGCCCATCCTTCCGCAACGCCCAGGAATTGCCGTCCTCGAAGTTAAAGTCCCCCTCCCAATCCAGCCCTCAGAAAGCCGCCGGGTAACCTATGGGATTTTAATTTTAATGGCTGTCAGTAATCATAGCAATCGCAAGCAATAGCAGCGGTAATACATATAGAGAGAGAATGACGAATATTTTCTCTCTACATATCTCGATAGGAATTGTCGTGCATCAAGTCCTGCCCCCGTCAGCGGAGGTGGCGCTGGGTTGTTCCACTGCGGGTGAGTTCAGGTGGCGGTGAGTTCTAGTAGGTGCTAACACTGACATCCTCGCAATGACTATATATTGGATTCTTAGAGAAACCTAGTGAAACCGTCCAGCGGAGCCTAACCGCAGCATCACACGTAAACAGAACCAGAAGCAGAAATGGTTGGGCCACTACTTATCGTCCAGAACTCCCACAAAGCTGCCGCAGTCATCTACGAGAACTAACAGACGTGGGTTCGGCTGATCAACCGGAAACATAGATGGGAACATAATCATGAACTTCTTATAGAATGGAAACATTAAGCGGAATAGTAGTGGGAATTTGTACGATTTCCCTTGATAAGATATATAGACTGGAATTCCCAAGAATGGGACCCGGTGGCGGACAGAATTAGAATGGAAGGTAAGCTAAAAAGAGACGACGACTTGCATGAGGCTGCCATATCCGCTTCTCTGGAAATTGATTAGAGATATAAGTTATCACTCCATTAAATTGAAGCTGGTGAAGAGCTGATTCTCGTTTGCGAGTCTGAAACTCTGAATACGGATGACGCTTCCCGTGCGATGACTTTAATATGTAGTCCATCTATTCACAGTGACTTTCTTAGGGCCAACGCAGTAGATGGAGGCCAGCTATCCCGGGGGTAGGAGATGTATGTACATGTGACTTCTGCTCGATATCTAAGCTTCCGTGGCGCGTCCGATACGAATCGACTTACGAATCCGAGACCTTGCAATATGTCATCGAGCTGCGTAAACCCAAAGGATCGGTATCGCTAGGCACCAACCAGCCTCTTAGATTAAGGGTTCTAGGGCCCATTTGTCGAACCTTGTGTGACCACCCGAGTCGGTCCTCGCAATTCGAACCGATGGTTGCCTGGAGGCAGTGAGACTTCGTCTTCGGAGAATACGGACTTAATGATGACGCTATCGGAGTTAGACCCGTCGTCAACGCCTCAAGTCGCACAATGTCCGATAGAAATGACAAACTCCCATCCCTCTCATGCAACGAGCTTAGCAATTTGCGGCATGGCACCCACCACACCTCGGAGTGAGGCAGGCGAATGACACCATCTTGGGCATGGATTCACGCGACCCAGGTTTCCTGCTTAGAAATCACATCAACTCGAATGAGGGTCGATTATGCAAGTCAGAATCACATCACAGACGGTGGTATGAAACCATCATCGAAAGCACCGTGGACATTGGGCACCGTGTACTGCACAGCAACATTGTCCATATGTTGGAGGTCGTATTGCATGATATTGTAGATTAAGACAGACTGGGCTGTACATGATGTGCTCGTGTTACCATTGCTCTTACAATTGAACTGCTCCCACCAATTCCTGGATAATCTATAAATACTTGAGAAGGCTGACGGTTGAATGAATGACTGACTTTACCATTCAACGAGCAAGTCCTCTATCAATCTCAGTCTTAGTCTCATCTGTATCACATCATCACCTATCAAGAAGTACCATACATGTACTATTATCATGTCCCACATCACCGCAATCGTTCCGGAAGCCAAGGCCCCGTTCCAGTTCCAGGAAGTCCAGACAGCTCAGCCGGGACCCCACGAAATTCTCATTAAGAATGAAGCCATTGGCCTGATACCGATTGACGCCAAGCTCGCAAAACTCGCCATCTTTCCGATCCCGTACCCGGCCATTCTTGGTTCGGCATACGGCGGCACGGTCACAGCCGTCGGCGCCGAGGTCTCCCGTTTCAAGGTCGGGGACAAGGTGGTCGCAGCGAAGGTCATCGCACCTCCGGGAGACGACAAGTATAAGGTGTTCCAGGAATACATCGTCACGCCGGACATCACGGCCGGTAAGGTTACGTCGGACGCGGACCTCGACGTCGCCGTGAATTTGGTCGGAAATCTCAGCACAGTGATTAGCCTCATCAACGTGGTTTTGGGCCTGGATAGGCCGGACCCTGTCGCCGACGCATCCGAGAAGAAGGGAAAGAAAATCCTCGTCTACGGCGGGACCTCAAGCTTCGGAAGCCTCACAGTGCAGTACCTCTCGCAGGCCGGCTACGACGTCGTCACCACCACCTCCCCGAAACACAAGGATCTTGTCGCGAAGCTCGGTGCCATAAAAGTCATCGACCACACACAGGACCGCGATGACCTCCTCAAGGCTCTAATTGCCGAAGGCCCTTACGACTTTGTCATTGACTCAATTTCGCTACCGAACACGGCCGACATCACCGCTGGGGTCGTCGCGGCTCAGGGCGGAGATAAACTGTGGGCTCTGCTGCCTCCATTCGGGCCCGAGACTCTTCCGGGAGGCGTTGTTCGGGACTACCGCCCCTGGCAGTCTGTCTTGTCCGAGGAGGAGAATCAGGAGCTTTTGGCCTGGGCGTTCAATACTTACTTGCCGCAGGCGGTTGGTAATGGGAGACTCGTCCCACTTCCGACAAAGGTTTTTACTGGAGGGTTGAAGGGGCTGCAGGAGGCTGTTGATGTTTTGATTCAAGGTGTTAGCGGTACCAAAGTGATCGTCAAGTTCGACGCCTAAGATTGACGCCTGTGGTCGCGCAATCAGTCTTAGTGCAATTATGTGAGTTTGGTTTTAAGGTCGTGAGCGAAGGCTTCAAGCTCAAGGCCTAGCAAGGTTAGCTCTCCACATGTTTGCTGTTGACACTACCTTTTCTCGGGGTAGCTAATTGTCGCAATGCAATCGTTACTGAATATTGTGCTTTATACCAATAGTCTCTTCCGTCCTCTTATAGACACGGATGATGTGGAATATGACCAATAGTGTGATAGAAGGAGGATGTAAACCGTCCGATCAGTGAACCTAGGAGATTGTGACTGACGATTCTTGGGGGGTACAATGCTTGAGAAATTGCCTGGTTACATTCCTGGCTTTCTTCAACGGAAGTACAACGCAGGCACGAGGAAGTCTTCGTCGGCAAAAGGCAAAAACAGACTATCGGAGTTGAATTGGTGATATTTTCAAGTAAACTGACAGTATCTTGGTCTAGTCAATCCAATCCCATAAACACATCGAGCAATTTCTGATAATCCGGGCTTCCTAGTCCCGTCGCCGCATCCCAATCTTCCCCAGCCCGGAAGGCCTCGTCGATACCGCACCCAGAATTTGATCCCAACACAATGTCATTAAAGGCCCCCGGGTTCGCGTAAAGCACGGGGTTGATGAATCCAACGGAGGACTTCCCAGCCTTTAGCCGCGCGTCGTTGATTTGGGCTATCATGGACCCGAAGACGGGCGCCGAGGCAGAGGTTCCGTAGACGGACTTTTGCTTTCCTCCCGTCATGACTTGGTATGCAGAGGCGAGGATGGAAACGTCGGGGTATCCGCGTCCAGAAGAATTAAACTGATGTTGGAAGGACTCGAGATGTTCTCTTTCCAGACCTATGTACCGGGCCGCCGTCCTTCTCTGGTACTCTGGTGATGGGAATCTTGTACTGAATCCTCCTCCACTGCTGCGCTTGGCCTTATTCACAACGCGAGAGTAAGTCACCTCGGTGATTAGATATGGCGGGGATCCCGTTGACGGTTGATTGCGCCATGCCACGGCTCCTTCGTTAACCACAGACAGCTGCGTGCCGCCCACAACCGTCACCCAAGGGCACGAAGCCGGCCACGCTGGTGAGAACGCGCCGCGTCCATCCTCGCCAGACTGCGTATCTGTGGCAGTGCCCAGACACGTACCTTCAGGGTGCTTCGCGGGGCCTGAATCCCCACTTGAGACAATGACAGTGACCCCTTGTAACCCCAGCTTTAGAAACTCGAGGCACTGTCTTTCAAGATACTCGGGAGGAAAGTCGGCTTCATTCCAGACGTATGATATTGAGATCACCTTGGGCGCAACCACCGTTCCGCAGTCGAACGATCCAGAATCCGGCAGTGCGTCTCGGTCAGGATCAATGGACGGGCAGTAGGACTTATCAAAGGCCGCGAGCATGGTGTTGAGATTCCCAGGGGCGTCTTCACTGCCGACCTGGATGTTTGTGACGGGGAGGGGATAGGATAGGCTCATGGCGTATTGGAAATCGAGGTTGGGCTCTAGATTGAAGGCGTCGACATCAGCATCGAGTCGGCGGTAGCCACCGTTGATCTCCATCATGAGCGGTCTTTGGCCGTCGAGTTCGGGATGGAAAGCCTGGAAGAAATCGTCCAGGTCGGTATCTCTCCACGATGCCCAGGCCGGTTGGAAAATACCGAATGAGTTGCCCGGATGCGAGTCGTTGTATAAAGGCATCTTGTAGCGATCTCTGAGACATTCTGGTGTTGTGCGGGTGACGCAGTCTCCGTTGCTGTTTCTTCTGAGAAGAGGGCCACTCCTAGGACGAATGGCGCCGACTTGATCGCGGCTTCGTTCCGGCTGAGGCCACGGGATACTCGACGGAAGTATGTAGTCAACATACGCGGCGATGGATGAATCTAAGACGTACGTATCGTAACCGAGAAACACCTCACCACCAGCAATGCCCGTATAGGAGTAGCAGTTTGTGGATAGTATCATTTCAGCCTCCGCTACCGTGACGTTAAGATGTAGTGCGCTGGAGCCCAAGGAAGTCACATGTTGGCTTGGAACCCCGGACTGGTAGAGCCACTGAAGCACTCTATTAGTGGCCTCAGCGCTTGCGGAGAACACTTCTGCGGTCTTGGAAGCGGCCCAGTATTTTCCATAAGTGGGTGAATAGGGATTAGACACCACCAAAAGAGCATTAATTGCGTCTCCGACGTTCTGTTGTGAGATCGCGATCACTAAAGGCATAGATAGATCCGGGTCTGCTCGAACGCGTGTCTGTCCACGTCTCCCGAGCACACCGGTCTTGAGCGTCCGCTCATACGTGGATGCGACCGGCGAGACGAGAAGCAGCAAGTTGAACGGAAGCCACTCGTTGAACCTCATGTCTCTCGAGGTTGTGTTGGCGCGGGTTCTTTGGCGGGGTGAGTTTTCCGAGCTCAGGAAGTATCTATGGTCATTCAGACGGAAATCTGATACGGTTAACATTTAGCAGTGACAATAATACAAAATCCTAGTACATATACTATTAGATAACCGAAGCTCTTGTCGAAGAGTCTCGTGGTGCGGTCCTTTCTTAGCGCGCCATGTTGTTTCGAGAACCGCTTTACGGCCGCTTCCTTAAACTGGACAAGGATACGCATAAAGGCACAACCGACACACATTGTTGAGAAGTCTGGTTATTTCGGTCCGAGTTGGTGCATCGTACGGCCGTGGACAAATCAATTTGGGATATCTTGCGTCGAGGGAACCCCCACGCCTCGGCGAGCAGGATCGTCAAAGCAGGATTAGAAATTGAGGCGATGAAGAATACCGAATACCCGCAGATCAATGTAGGGTGGTGAAGCTCTCCCGCCCCGCCAAGAACTTTCTCCGGGACCGAGTTTTATTTACGCCCGCAATGAACTCCTCGTGAATCCTACGCCGAGATCATCATGAATCCCACGCGGAAGTCATGACGTATCCTCTGCGGCACAGCCCAAGCCCTAGGCATGGCCATGCGGAATCGTGCCGCCGCCCCTCGCTATCCCCAAGACAATTAGGGTAACATTGCGACGACAGCATGGAGGATTATATGAATATGCATAGGTTTATGCTTCGGTGGCCGTGCATTCGGCCGTAATGACGAGGCGGATAAATCTTCACGCGGGCGATTTTGATATCTTCAGCCTTGGCATGACTATTTCTGGAGCAAATTCTATTTCACGACAGTGATGGATCTTTTGCCGGGTGGTTTTCCATGGGTCGGATGGTAAACGTGCCACTTGGGTGAAGCGAGAGGCGACGTTTCGCAGATTGGACATCTCTATGGGCAATGCAAATTGTCGGAGGTGAGAAAGGATGTAGGCAAGTGGTCGTGGAAGAGGAAGGTGGACGCGAATCCGGTTCGGATACGATTAGAGCGATGTTGAAGGGGTGGAAAGATATATAAACTCTCTTGATATCCCCGTCTTGTCTCTTTGTAACTCATCATCATCAGCACAATCACCATCATCCTCTAGACCACTATCACCAAGCATTCCCCAAATCAATCTTTTCAAAGTTCAACCCTCGTAATCCAGTCAAAATGAAGTTCTCCCTTACTGCCGTCTCTGCTCTCATCAGCCTCGCTGCTGCTGCCCCCACCACCGAGGGACAGAGTGATATGGCCAAGCGCGTAAGTTGTACAAAACTACGCAAGAGCTTTAGAAATGGATCGAAGAAAGACTAACTTTCCCTTCCTCCTTCATTAGGCGGACGAGGTAAATAGCTTCAGCGTTTACCCCCTTTAAACCTCGTCTAGGACTAATACAGGAAACCCCAACAGCAAGCCTGCGTCTCTCAGTGCATCCAGAGCACACCGTCTTGCGGCTTCACTTGCTGGACTGCCTGCCTGGTCAGCTGCCTCCACGCTGGTGAGGCTGATGAGGTCCAGAAACGTGAGATCATGGATATTGTCGCTCGTGCCTTCGACAATTAGAACCATGTATGTATCTTCGTTTCGTAATGGATGAAAGACCTCTTGTTAACTAAAGCAGGCCCAGTTGAATGTTGATAAAGGGGATGGCGGCCACGAGAAGGTGCGCATCTTTGAGTAGGCAGGAGGGCAATGTTCGGTTTCGCTCTATATTTTGTCTGTGTTGGAAGACTTATGCTTCCACCATCCACTCCTTGAAGTGTTGGCTTGTGTGTGATGGAAGATTGCCCGTTAAGTAGCCTTGCTGTTTAGTTTCGAATATAAAGGATCTTAAAGCTGCCAGCGGATAGACGAGGCAACCATTCGTCTCCCTCAGAATCATGTTGCGTACCCAATCCGTAACCGGATCCTGCTCCAGGGTTTACAGCTACTTTCCGTAGACAGTAAAGGTAGCGAAACAAATAAGCTGAAAAAAAAAAAAAATGGAAATGGAAATGGGAAACGGAAAAATAGAGAGGCAGGACAAAGCGAAAAAGGATATGAAATAGAAAAAAAATTAGTATCTGGATCTGCTTGACCAAGTGTCGAAATCGGCAGAAAAGTGCGGTGAGTCGGGATTGAACCGACGACCTTCAGATAGACTGACCCGAAGTTTTTCTTCAGTCTGACGCTCTCCCAACTGAGCTATCCCCGCCTGTTGGATTGTTGAGTTTCTGGAGAGTCTATTTGCTCACATGTTTGGTTCTGGGGCTTCCGGGCTAGCCGAAAGTGGGAAAGCAAAACGAGTCCTCGTTCCACAAAGTTGTGGGGAATGAGAGATTTCGTGAGAGGATGTCCAGGATCATTGTAGAGGTTGTTATCGCAATGATCGCTGGAAAGAACTGGGAGAGCGCAAGGAATGGAGAGATGTTGTTACGTCGATGTCAAATCCGGGGCCTGTGACTTTACAACCAATCTCTAGTCTAGGTTACCCTGTTGAAATCGCTGACTGCAATCGAAACTGCGACACCCCCTTGCACACGTTAATAGGTATATTCACATATCCCAGGCTCGAAACGACTTTGTTCGTGTGCGAAATGGAATTTATACAGGCTCAAACTGGATATCTTATGCCTCCTGCTAAACGTCGTACATGGTCTCATAACTCGACGCCCTCCTCGATGTTAGGGGATACGGTGTGTTAAACAATCTATCAAACTTTTCTTCTCCTTCGCAGCCAATTTCATGTAGCTACAGTCGGCAGTGTTGTCAATGAAGCATTCAACTCTCTCGTTTCGTGATGCGAACCCAAAAGTTTTCGATAATCCAAATTCCCTGGAGCTAGTTAGTCTACGGACGATATTCCGACATTGCCAGAGATATACAGCTACACTTACCGCATTGGTTATCTCAGCCGGCTTCTGGGCGTTGGCAAGTTGGAAATCGAACCTCCTCAACAGCTAGTCAAACAAGTCAGAGCTTGCCACACAAAAATAGTCAAGAACCAGCTCTTACCTCGACAAAAATCTTGTTAAACTCCATCAAGGCAACAGACTTGCCAAGACACTGATACTTCCCAGAATGGAACACCATATCAACCGTGTTCGTCATCAAAGCAAGCCGCTCACCTTCCGCCTCCAACCACCTCTCGGGCCTGAAGATGTCGGCATCCTCTCCGAAAGTCGCCTTAGAGTGGTGGATGCCGAACGGAGACGAACCAATCTGTGTGCCGCCAGGAATGAACTTGCCATCTATCACGTCACCCTCTGGTGGCACGGTCTTGTAAAAGGCACCACCTGCTGGAGGTAGAATGCGAAGTCCTTCCTTGATGACGGCTTGGAGATACGGCAATTCGCGAGCTTCGACGTTTTTGATGGGCGACGAGATCTTTCCTGTAGCAATGGCACTGTCGATTTCGTCCCGGAGCCGCTTGTACGCGCTGGGGTTGGTCAGGAGATTGAGCATCACTGCGCGGATGGGGGTTGCCGAGGTGTCGCTTCCGGCAACGACTTGGAGGAGCGCTTCTCCGGATGCTTCTTCTTTGTTGAGGCCGTGGCGGATAAAGGAGCCGAGCATATCATGTTGTTGGGGGGCATCCGGCTTGAATCGTTCAGCCACAACCCTGTTGGTGACTCTGCAAAGCTCAAAGTTAGCATTTATCCGAAAAAAGAATCTACTAGAGAGTGGTAATGGAGGTTATCTTTCTTCCTCACCCGATAAAAGCACCGAATCCAAGCTTGTCGCTCTCCTTCGGGAGAAGTCCTCTCATCAAGCGAGAATGCAGAAGCCTCGCTAGCGCCGGGATATCGGCGAGGAGGAGCATGATGGGAATAAACGACTTTGTAATCTTGAGGTAGTCAAAGACATCGTCATCTTTGTCCATAAAGCCAAATGCGTGGCCAAAGGCAAGATCGCTGATAACGTCAAGCGTAAAGTACTGTCCCTTCACACCAAGGTCCATCGGACGGTAGTCGTGAGCCGTCGAGAGGTATTTGGTCTCGATCAACTGCACCAGCTTCGCAATCTGGGTATCTATCGTGCCCTCCATTGATAAGTTCTCCTTGCCCGAATACTGCCGAAGAAATTCTTCATTAGTTCTCACATTCGCTATTTTTAGAAGGGAAAACAACCCGTGACGCGGGATCTCTCTACTCACCCCGGCGGCCATCTTTGCACGGAGCTTTGTGTGACTGACTTCATCACGCATTGAGAAAACGTTATCCCTTGCAGGATCCATCCGCATGGCGTCGTACCCTAGAATTTGTGTTGGTCCATCCAGTCAACCTTCAAATGCGCTCCCAACCTCGGTTGCAATTGTTTGCTTTGTTTCTGCAGGTGTTCAAGCAAACTTACAGGGTCCCCTTGTGTACTGCGACCGAACAGCCATCATTCGACGCATTACCTCTGGATCGCTGGTCACCAACTCATTGGGTCCGATCCGAGCAAGCGATCCTATCACGGGAGACGAACTCAGTTATTATTATTACCGTCCGGCCATTTAGCCATCGACGCACCAGCCACCAACCTGCTTCCAATGATGCGATCCGAACGAAGGGGGAAAACACGTACCATATTTGTCCGTCACCTCCTTGATGGCAATGGGCTGCCTTCCCCTCATCGACTCCCTCACAATCCAATACTTGGACCAGCCGGCCAAGGCCGGGCCGGGCACATGTGAAAGCCTGTACCACCGATATGTGACACGAACCCCGCAGACTGCGGCCAAGAAGCCAAAGATCCCCGCTGCGACGGTCGCGTTGCTGAGGTTCAGCTCTTCGATCTTGGCCAGCAGCACGGCGAAGCGCGCCGCGAGTGCCTCCACGATGTCCATGCTTGTGCGTTTCTACGCCGTTAGAGAAGTGGAGAATATCGGGGGCAGCTTGGGCCAAAACTCCGAGAACGCTTCGGCGTGTTGCAGAGGCATGCGCAGAGAGGGAATTCGGATGGTTGGGGGGCCAAAGTGACGCCTTGATTTTTCTCTACTTTTTTTTTTGTTCTTTCTTTTTTCTGTCCCTTCCATGCTTCTAACCCAACGAACCACCGTTGCCAATTGAAGGGGGGGCTGGGGGAGATTGCAGATGTCCACGCAACGTGACGAAATCACCTTCTCCCCAGTCCTCTCCCCCTTTTCGTCAATGCTTAGATTCTCCCATCAACTATTGGCCCCGACTGCACCCACCAAAAAGGTGCATGCTCCGTGACCATGGAGCCATCCGTGGGGTGGCCCAGCTTCTTCTAAGAGTCGTGGTTCGTCAACCTGGGCAAGGTAGCGGCGGGCCGTCCGCCCCGGCCAATGGCGTAGCGTCTTCAGTTGAGGATAGCGTGTCCGCGCTGTTCTTCTTTCGGACAGGACATTGTGAGCTGTCGACCCCAAATTTGGTGCCGAAAAAAGTACGTACTCTGTACGCTAGTGCAGAGGAGAGAAAGGGGGGGACGAACTGCCACGCCACTCCCCATCACCCCGGTTTCCGCGTGCTCTGCCTCACAATTTGAGTTTCGCTCACATTCACAACCGCATCACCAACACACAGAACGATGGCCAACAAAGAAGGTTCCAAGAGCCCCAAAAGCTTATCGAGTCCCAAGCCGGCGTCGGCCGGCGCCTCTCCTCGGGCCGGCCCAGGATCCCCACAGGCCCCTGAGCCGGCTCCCATCCTTGAGGCAGATGTACGTCCACCCCCTCCTTCCTTCGCCCACTTCCCCATGCCTTCGCTTGGAGATTCCCACCCGATATCTGCGACTCGGCCGCCGATCTAGGTCGCAGTTACGCCGCTGACGCATATCGTCAGGAGCTCGAAGAGGAGCAGGTCTTGGACGATGCCGATTCGGCTATTGGCAGTGTGAGTCGCGTTTTTAGTGTCTTTTTTCTTGCTTCTTTTTTTTCTCTTTGCTTTTGTTCTCGGTCTCCCTTTCCCACCCATTTCAAACCAACACCAAACCAACCCCGAAAAAATCGGAATGAAAATAAGAGAAAATTAAATCGAATTCAAAACAAAGAGATTACCCTCACGATGTTCCCGGCTCTCATTCCAAGTCTAAAATTTTCCTTCTGCCTTTTCCCGTCACGCTAACTTCGGGCCGCGGCACACTAGTTCCAATCGTCAACGGCGTCGATTAGGGAGGAGATGATCCGCCAGAAGCAGGAACATGGACGACAATATCAAGGCTATATGGATGCGAGTAAGTGGAAATACGAATGAACCCCCCACGGCATGATCATTGCTCATACATGTGACACTAGAATATGTCCTTCCTATGGACGAGGTAATTCTTGCAAAATAATATGAAAATGCCTCCAACAGTTACCCATCGCTGACCTCCATCTGCAGCAAGAGATGGAACGTCTAGGTATGATGAGACGATGACAACTGGGAGTGGTTATTGCGCTATTATCTAGCCGGGTTCTAACAGTTTCTAGACTTCCAATGCCACTTGGTCTGGCTCACCCTCGGCCGCCAGCATTTCCATGCTCCTATCACGAACCTCAACCGGGTTCTCGATGTCGGCTGTGGAACGGGCATGTGGACGATAGAATTCGGTGAGCCCCCTTTACCTGCGCTCGCCAGAGATCCTCGAGAACCAGAGGGACTAACTCTTGAGTAGCGGATGACCACCCCGAATCGGAAGTCTTGGGAGTAGATCTCGCCCCAGTTCAGCCCCATTCGTATGTTTCATGGAGGCAACAGGAGACGTGCAGATAAGATGGGTTGATGGGTTGGCTAACGAAGCAGTTAGCATTCCGCCCAATCTCGCTTTCGAGGTGGACGACCTAGAACAGCCGTGGACCTTCACGCGCAAGTTCAACTTCATACACAGCCAACTCATGATTGGCGCCTTCCAAGACTGGCCCAAGTTTTTCGACCAGAGCTTCGAGTACGCCTCCTTCCCATATCCCCAAATAACCAAATGATGCCCCTCTAAACCAATCCCCAAAATCCAGATTCCTCGAAGACGACGGCTACCTTGAAGTACACGACATCGACTTCGTCATAAAATGCGACGACGACTCCCTGCCCCCCGACTCCGCCCTCGTCAAGTGGCACGACCACATGCACGAAGCGGCCGCCAAGATCAACTTCCCCCTCGATGTCATCTCCCACGTGCCCGAGATGATGGAGGCCGCCGGCTTCACCGAAGTCCGCGCCAAGCAGCTCAAGTGGCCCATCAACACGTGGCCCAAGGACAAGCACCATAAGGAGATCGGCACGTTCGCGCTCGAGAACTTCCTCTGGGGCTGCGAGTCGATGAGCTTGGCGCTGTTTACGAGGGCGTTGGGGTGGTCGGCTGATGAGGTGAGGGTTTTCATGGCGCATTTGAGGAATGATTTGAGGAATAGGAGGTTTCATGCTTATTGGAACTTTTGGGTCGTGTATGGGAAGAAGCCGGCTGCCGCTGCCGAGGCGGAGTGACAGGAGGTGACGGAGGAATGGGAGAGATGGGGAAGATGGGTGCCGAGCGTGCTACGCAGAGATTGAAGGTGGCTGGAGACATCGATGGCTTCATTGTTCCCCTGTCTACTTGAGTGACTGATGTTTCTGGTTATGTAATCGATAACATTAAAGTAAACATTGAAGTCTCTAACAATTGAAGTCACCAGCTCCTCCTTCCAAGTCATTAAAAGAACAAAATAAGGAAAAAAGGAAAAGACAGAGAAGAAAAAAAGAAAGGAAAAGAAAAGAGCAACAAGCGGAAAGAGGAAAGAAGAGCAAAAAGAAGAAGGAAAGAACAACAAGAGGAAGGCAAGAACAAGCCGGAAAGAGAAGAAGAAAAGAAGAAAGGAGAAGGAACAAGAAGAAGAAAAGACACGAAAAAAGAAAGGAAAGCAAAAGAAGGAAGGAAAAGGAAAGGAAAGGGAAGGAGAAGAAAGAAGGAAGGAAGGAAAGAGCAAAACGAAACAAACAAAAAGCAACACCGCGCCGTTTTCTCTGATCAATAGTTATACATAGCCCCGCCGTCCCTCGCCGTCACGCCGTCCCCTCACGCAAAGCGGGCGACCAACACCCAAATCACGCCCACGCCCAAGGGCGCGAAAACGGCGAAGCCCGCGCCTCTCTGGTCCTGGATGAGGACCCAAGCGATGCCCGTGAAGACAAGGTTGACAGCCAGCAATGCTGGCGTGGCAGCAACGACGAAGCGCCCCTAACGCCCCGCCAACCGACCGCCACGACCGGAATCGCTGGCCGGCGCGGCCAAGCTAACCAGCACGTCGAAACATGCCGCCACCGAGAGGGACAAGACCACCTGCATCATGTAGTGCCCGATGCTTTGCGGGGTGGTGGGCTTCTCCGGCCGGCTCAGGCCGCTTCCCTGCCCTGCGATCAGGGCGAACCACAGCCCCACAATCACCCACCGATTGTCGACCGGAGCCCCCGGCTCCCCCTTGCCCCCCTCTCCTCCCTCCTCTCCAACCGGCCCAGGCGGTCCTTGGCCTTCCGGTGGCCCTTCCTCGCCCGACGGCCCCTCTTCTCCCCGCGGTCCCGGTCGACCTCGCCGTCTTCGTGCTCTTCGCAGCGCCTCCCGTCGGAGGAGTCCCAGCCATCTGCCGGAGGGCGGAAGCCACGCATTGACTGGCAGGGCGGGGGCGGGTAGGGTGGGCAGGGCGGGCGGGGCAGGCTCGGGCTGGTGCTGGTGGTGTTGGGGGTCGGACTCGGACTCCTGCTGGTGGTCGGGGTCGGACTCGGGCTGCTGCTGCTGCTGCTGCTGCTGGGGGTCGGACTCGGGCTGATGGGGCCGCGGCTGGGCCTGCGAGGGCTGAAGCTCGATGAGAGAGTCGGCCATTTCCTCTTCCTTGTTGTTGTTGTTGTTGTTGTTGTTGTTGTTGTTGTCGTTGTTATTGTTGTTGCTGCTGCTGTCGCTGGCGCTGCTGCTGCTGCTGTGGTTGTTGGTTGTTGGTGCTGCTGTGTGTTGTTGTTGGTCGTGGCGGTGGTGTTGCTGCTCTCGGATTGCTCAAGAGCTCTCTTTTCCAGTTGTACCAAAGTCCAGGCCTGTTGTACCGGGAATACGACTACAGAAGGAACAAGACATGAACGTGCTCATCCGACGGAAGGAGGACAGCATCGTGAATACGTCATAGGTGGAGGAGTACCTAACATCGGTATGTGGGACTTGTCACTTGAGGAGCAGGACTCCCCTTCTCGCTCATCTACTCCGGGCATCGTACATACTACATAATTACGCACCCCTTCGTTGCAAAATTAAATGGGCAGATGCCGTTGGTGTGCATTGAACATGAGAGTGGTAGATCCTTGCTGTCTCACGGTTGGGTTTGAAAGCATCGATCGGCTATGTGGTCGGCTGCTCGGATTGATTTGAAAGGCACAAGTGACGAGTCACACAAACGGCATTTATTCCTCATTCTTCCAGAGGGGACAAACGAGCATCTTGGGCCTTAACTTCATATTTAACACAAGAGCTGATGCATTTGTACCCTCGATTGTCCCTGGATAGTGCTTTCTTGACCGGTGACTGGGGCGTCCTGTTTCCTTCCATGTTCCAGCCTTGTTATGATTTCCAACCGTACCACCTTTTCTCTCCCCCAGTCACGGCATTTTCCACCCGACTGAAGAGGAAATCGGCAGGAACTGCGGCAATAGACGGGTAGAACTTCAGAACTCAAATGCCTCGCCCAGAGGTCGCTCCTGACCCGGCTCTGTCCCTGGAGCCCTGGACACATGAAAGAGCCATACGAAGACATCCGAGCTGCCTGTCAATTGGCAATTGATCTTGGCGTCTCCTATGGTCCAAGGCTCACCAAGGTGTGGCTTCGCAAAATCCAGCAAGCCAGCACATTGTTGGAACAATGAATGGAGTACACTGATTGATGTATCTATTTAATTTCAATTCGTGTCGATTTGCAGCTGGTCCGCGTGACGATAGAAACTGACTGAGACAGATTGTTGGTGAACTGTAGCCCAAGGTGGTGGTGACTCTTGGTAGATTAATTCTTGATGAGACCCGAAAACAGGGGTATGGGCATAATCGGTTCCGCCCTTATGGCCAAGCGGTAAGGCGTTTCACTCGTACTGGCGATATGAAAAGACCCTCGGTTCGAATCCGAGTGAGGGCATGTGTTTTTTCTTTCGCCATCTTTTTTTCATCGCACTGAATTTTCGACCTCACTCGATTTTTATTTCCTCTTACTCTTTTTTCCCTTCTACCTTGTTCATTTGTTTGACTTCTCCTTTTCTAACAAGAACGATAAACGAATTTCAGCTAATACTAAGGGCCCGAGTGTGTCCCCGATATAAACTTTTTAAAAATCTTTCCTGCATCATCTTCTCGTCTGATCTTACCGGGCTGATCGTGACTGTATCTATGCGCACGCCATTGCAAGTCGCCAACGGTCTCCCCACGGCCAAGATCATGCCACGACAGCAGGACAACCACGCCTCTCCCGGACTCAGCCTCATCATATCTGTACACTGCGAAATCCGTAAAGCAATAGTCACAGGTTTCGATACCGTCTAGTGGATTGGGCACCCACGGACAAACAGGCAGGTGAGAAGAGACCCCATCCGAGTGGTGACAGTTGACGTGGAGCTGCGATCTCTTGGCTCCTTTGTCCTTTTCAGCCCATACCATACCGTCGTATTCACCCTCCCACTGGTAGTGCTCGCATAAATCGCTCAATTCCTCGTGGTTGGCAAATATACCCTTCAGCCAACGTGAATCGTCCAAACCTTTGGGGCCTTTTGCACCAGAGTAGAGACGTGTTTCTTTCTTGACCACCAAGTGGTTATCCACGACTTTCGCAGATAAAAAGGACTCTACCTTTGACAGCCACTCGTCTTGTATGTTATACGTGACTGGCGTTGTGAGTATCTCGGTGGGATATATATCCCAACCATGGCGGGCGGATCTTGTCAACGCTGCGATGGTGCTGAATGCGAAGTGGACTGGAAATGTCTCGACTAGGGTTGCGCATGGGATGCGTGGTTGGTGCCAGTAGTCGACCGCCGGGCATTTAGTCTTTTTCCAATCCACCCAGTACTTCGGTAAAAAGGGCAGATGAAATTTTGTACAGCTCCGGCAGAGGATGTGCGACGGGAGAACGCCGTCCCGTTCTAAACGCTGGAGAAGTTTAATCCGGAATTTAGGTTTGAGTTTCAAGGCGCGACGACCGATCTTTTCTAGCATCCTGTGACTGGTCAGTGCCAGTGATGCCTGGCAGGTTTCCGAAAGCTTTTCGGTGATGTATTTTGTCAACCTTGTCGGGAGCGTCTCGAGTGTTGGACGGTACCATGGTTCCGTTGGAGGAAGCAACTCCAGCCAAGTTGATTGCCTCGGAGGGCTGTAGCACGGTGGGTCATCGGGAGGATAGCCGCCGTCATCCTTTTTAGAATCGTTGGGTCGGGACGTGCTGGCCGGTTTGTTTTGATCCTCTGCTTCGGCGCGAATCCACCCTCTCAGACGTTCCTCGAGGTAGGTTCCTCTTAGGTACCCCTGTTCCACGTCCCCTCGTTCTCTGATGCGCTGAATCCGGCGATTCAGGAGCTGCACGAGCAGAAAGTCCTGTGCCTTGGCTGACAGTCGTCCGAAGGACATATGCGCGAGTCAACGCTATACCGAGCAAGGAAAGTGGTGACTTCTTCGAAGATGGCTTCTGTTGGTAGACGACTCCGTAGCTTGGCAGATGGGCATTAGTGAGACCAACTGACGGGAAATTGGACCCCTATTGCGAGAAAAGCAGAGTCTATTTATAAGAGGATGAAAAGACAAGGCATGTGATAGACTCAGCAGCACCCGTTTTGCAGAGGACTAGCTTACCTTTTGAGGTAGTCGAAGTTGACCTCACGGGAGTGCAGAGGGCCTCAGTTTCATTAGTTGTCTTGAGCTTCTATACTTAATCGACCCAAAACCACCTTCTCGATCCTCGGTGTTTCAGCAATTGCTTTGAGATACTTCGTTGTTGGCGTGAAGCCAAACAATATAAATGTCCAGTTGACACTCCCACTTTCACAACTTTGCGGTTGTAACACAGAGTATTCATTACGAATCGACACCAATACCCCCTTGACTCATATCTTTCCTTAACGATGGAGTGAGCTTCTATCATCTTCTTCGTTTTAAGATTTCTCTACCCTTGTAATTCATGACGGTTTCTATCATCCCTCTTCTTTCTGTCCGACCTTTTTGAAAATACCACACCACGAGGCAGTATATCGTTATGCGAATCTCCAGGATATGGCGGTCAAATAACACCAGTCAATCATATCAACTTGTTCCCGTTTTCACAACCCTTGCGGCTTTTCCGTTGCTTTTCCGTTTCCAGCAACCTTAACCCTCTAAATAAATTAGCAGCTGGTAAAAGGCGCGTCAGCTGCCCATGGGACCATTAGACTGCTTGCACGGTACTTTGGATGGTAATTGCGGCTTTATGTTGCTGCGCATAAGCGTCCTGGTCTTCTTGGAGGTTTCGTCAACGCCTCACGTGTACGGATTTTGGGTCCTTGTTTACATCCACTTGGCATATACATATGTTGCGGTGTCGCTTCCTCGGTTCCTTCATGTTACCCAAAGCCAGGCGAGAGAAATATTGGAAAGTTATGTGCTGGGCCTTGGTCCCTGGTCGTCAAGGCAAGGCAAGCCCAACAATGCTTCAGACGCGTGATTAAACTTATTTACCCTCGGGGATAGCGCTCCGTAGCGCCAACACCTTATAGGGTCATGGCTTGATGTGGCTAGAGGTTCATGCGAGCTGAATCTTGGGACCAAATTTGGGTTGGTGGCCCACCGACCAAAGCCTCGTAGCGTCAGGAATGCCCCATCGAACTATCGATTTCGCTTGGGAGTGGCTTGCGTTGACGAGAGCGCAGAGAAAAAGGGGCGATTCTGCTTGAGAGGAGATGAGATAAACTACTGGTCTTGACTATCGGGACTAGATCTTAGCGTTGCCTGTTTTTGTGTGGTTGAGGAAGAGATAATTAACGGTTTTTTTTTTTTTGCGATGGACATGAAATACTTCTAAACCGTCGCTTTCCCTTTCCTCTGCACCTGTTCGTTCCCTTCGTTTTCGTTCCCTTTTTCTCGTCGTGGACTGTCTCCGTAGACCTCGGGGTTCATCGACACGATAAATACTTCTGGCAGATCGTGCCTGTCCACTCGTTTCAACATTTACACTCGTTTAAACTTTGAAAAATATGAAGTCCCAGTTCCTTAGCCTTTATGGCCTTGCGGCCTTGGCATCTCTGGGCGTAGGGGCGGCGGCTCGCACGGCGGAGCCCACTGTTGTCTTGTCCGCCCGGTCTTTCAAACACGAAGCGTGCTGGACCGACGAAGATGCCCTGTCCGGCCCGGGATTCTCCTCCCCTTCGATGACGGTGCGGTGGTGTGCTCGCTTCTGTCGAGGATACGAGTACTTTGGCCTGGCGAACGGCGATGGACGTTAGTTTCTACGATAATAGCCCAATAATGTGTTCATTCCTCCATGGCGACTAATCTTTTTGGTGACAGGCCATTGTGGTAACACGATCGGCGCCGGAACCGAAGCGACGGATCGAAGGTCGTGCAATTCGCCTTGCGCTGGCAACAAATCGCAGGTTTGAGGTGGATCTACGAGGCTTAGTCTCTACAAGGCCAAGGAGGGCGGCACGTGTCATGTTCGCCCTTCATCGACCCGAGCTCATTCTTCCGAGTCTGAGATCATGACGGAGCCAGCCACCTCTACCTCGGCTTCCGAGCTGACTTCGGCCACGATCGAATCTGCGCAGACGACCGAATCAATCACCGAGTCGGCATCGGCAACTGAATCGGAATCGCCCACATCTACCGAAGAGGCAAGCGAGTCGACTTCTGAGTCAGCCATTGAGTCTGATACCGCGCCTGTAACTGAATCTGAGACATCGAGCGCAACATTGACGCAATCGCAGCCCGAGACCACTTTCGACGTCACCACGTCGACGTCTGAGTCGGCCACTGAGACTGACGCTGCTTCGACGTCGGAGTCGACGGTTGAGTCGTCTAGCGAATCGGCCACCGAGTTATCGACCGAGTCGGAGCCTGAACCGACGACAACCGCAGAGCTCGAGTCAACGACTACTGAAGATGCTGCGCCGGCAACCACATCTGATTCTGAATCATCGACAACTGAGGAACCGGAAACGACGGTCACCTCTGATGCTGAGACGACCACTACTAAAGAACCTGAAACCACGACCGTCACACCCGACGTGGAGACAACCACGGCCGAGGAGCCGGTGGCGACCACAACTGAGGAGCCCGAGACTACGTCTGCTGCAGAGACAACTACAACTGAGGAATCCGAAACCACGTCTGCTTCCGATGTTGACACGACCACCACCGAAGAAGCATCAACAACCACCACTGAGGACCCCGAGACCAAGACCATTGAAGATACATCTACGTCAACGACCGAGACCCCAACCTCAACTCCAACCCCCTGCATCGACTGCCAGAACCTCCCCGTCGCCAACTCCGCCTAAGAAAACGGCGTCCTCGCCTCAGGAAACTACTACGCACCCACCAAGACCGGAAACTGGCTCCTCGCCTCGACGTCCACCGGATCAGGCATCCTCGAGCTCCGCTACGATAGCGCCGGCGGATACTACTACGTATACAACGAATGCCCCGCCAGTCATGGCGGTTATTGCACCGTTTACATCGCACAGGTGATCTCCGTCGAGGCCGGCATCACGTATGATTTTGCCATTCAGTACCTCATGTCCAACGTCCGCAACCAGGCCAATTTCCTCCAGATTTCTATTTCGACGTTACCCAGTAGGACCCGGATATTCACCGAGTATTTCTCCTCGGGCAGCACCAACGGGTGGACTGACTTCAGAACTAGCCCGTTCACTCCGACGGTGTCAGGAGACGTCCTTATCACGGTTAATTGGTTGAACGACCCCAACAATGCCCTTGTACTGATTAGGAACATTGTCATGCAGCCCACGGAATGCCGTAATCCGCTTTCGGAGTTGACATGTAATACTGATGTAGAGGTCCAGGTGGTCTAGAGATGACGGCGCTGGACGGTGGTCCCGAGCTGAAATGTAGATATGACAATTACTGTCGTCTCAACACTTGCCCGGGATAACCGTAATGAGGTAGAAGTTTCCAGGCTTCGACGAGGGTTGAAGGGCGGTTTGTTTTCTATTATGTATATTTTAAATATATTGGATCACCATCCGTCCCTTTTCTAATGTTGGTTGTTGAGTTTCAAGAATGCGAAAAGACTCGAGTTTAGACGGATCTGTTCCACATATTGGCCTTACGCTTTCGGAGCAGAAAGACTCGTCGTTCATGGAATTTTCGATATTCAGAGGCTCCTTTGCGGGACGATGTGTAGTTCGATGCTGTGCCGTATGGTCTCCCTCGTTTCAAAACTGCTCCAGGTGCGGAAGACCACAAGACCTCTTGGAGCAGCTCACGATGCTCGCCTCGGATCTAACCAGCTCTTAAGGTGAAGTAAGTTACCCTGATATTGTCGAAGCCGTCAGTTCTTGCAAAATGTATGGGGGTATTTTGCGTTGTGTCTCACGGATGTCTTCTGAGCATAACACAGCAAAAGGTTGATGTTGATAGGAACAAAACCCTGTTCATCCAACCACGATTCATTTAAATACAGATTCTATCGCAAAATTTAGCACCTACGACCATAACCTGGAGAAAACACGCGATCCAGTCCGCTCTCACCTAGTTAAGCTCCAGAGTGTCAGACTAGTAGTTGGGTCGGTGACGACCAGCGAATCCCTGATGTTGTATGTTTTTCCTTTTGCCGCCTGATACTATTACTCTTTTTTTCTTTTTCTTTTTTTTTTTTTTGGTTCTGGATCCTACCCCTCTGCCTGACCGTCGCTTAAATGGCTTATCGAGAGGTGAAGAACGAAGAGTTTCGTTTGCGACTGTGTGGATGGTCTGGGAGATACCCAAGAAGGAAAGACATCTGCGACTTGAAGTTCTCTAATGTAAATCAGCTATAGCTAAGAGAGTAATACCAGGGACGTAGAATATAGCGGTTCTGTAATTCAAGCATGCGCACCAATGATCGTTCAGACGTCGGAGAAAAGTGCCGGCGGCATGAAGCATCCTTCACCGGGATGCAACGGTATGATGTATTATCCAATATGTCAACCGAAGCCGTCGTCATTGATTGTTGCAGTGAGCGTCGGTTGTCGTGCTTGGACCTTGCATCATTTTTACCCTCTCTTATACGCTCCAATGATGTTGTCTGGATGGCGAATTGTAATAATAAACCAGACCATCCTCGAATAACATAATACCGTTTGATGGAATATGTTCTCCAGGGTCAGCGGAGGCTCAGGTGTTGGCAATTAATGGTGAGATCTCCCGGTGACCTTCGATCCTCGCACAAAGAAGCCTCCTGTGCTCTGAAATACAAATGAATCCTTAGATATGGCGCACTGTAATATGTCTTGCATAAGTATAGACAGGATCCCCTCCGCCGGATCCGAGAAGCAAATTTCCCATTGTAGGTGTAACTCTCAGCCGAAAGCGTCTGGAACGACGAAGTTGTAGTTCCAGCGAGCATGCGCGCCTCCGAACTTTCCCTCGTAGCACTGCTTCTAGGAGCTCAAGCTAAACAGAACGCCTTCACTAACCTCGAGGGCGATGACGCCGACAGCATCCTCGGCCCCGATAAGGATGGCAAGTACTGGATCTATGGCACGGGAATATCCGCAGGCTTTGTTCCTTACGGCGCCTCCATCTCAAACTTCCTGATCAACGACAAACACGGAATTGAAAGGGACATTGTCACAGGTTTTGACAACGCTACATACTATACGCTCGATAAACAGCACGCACACTTTGGCGGTGTTCCAGGCCGATATGCGAACCGTATCAGGAACAGCACGTTCGAGATCGATGGCGTCGAGTATAACATCCTCCCCAACGACAATCCCACGGATGGGTACCCCGACGGAGTAGATACGCTACACGGAGGACCCAATGGATGGGACTGGAGGAACTTTACTGTGGTCGCTCATACAAACAACAGCATAACATTTTCCATCTTCGACCCTGATGGCGAGCAGGGATTCCCGGGTGATGTGGTCTCGTACATCACTTACACCCTGAACGGGATGAACTGGGACTTTACCATGGTGGCGTTACCGACGACGAAGAAGACGCCAGTCATGCTGACCAGCCACGCGTATTGGAATCTCGATGGCTTCGCGAATACCGAGACGAACCTTGCGCTCAACCATACTGTCCACGCGCCGTATAGCACGGACCGGATCGGCGTGGATAGTATCCTCATTCCCACAGGAGAGATACTTGCCAATGAGGAAGGATCTGTCAACGATTTCTGGAGTGCTCCAAAGCAAGTTGGTGCAGATTTTGAGAGCGAGAATATACTGGGTAACTGCGGGGAAGGCTGTATTGGATACGGTAAGAGAAGCCTCCTACTTTCTCCTTCTTGCCAATGAGTCCCGATGACCCTGGTTTAATTCTTCCATCTTCCATCTAGACAACTGCTACACCGTAACCCGCGATGAAGGGAACCTCCTCAATTGGCGCGAAAGCGGCTACGTCCTCCGTCTACACTCCGCCTGGTCCGGCATCCGGCTCGATGTTTACTCCGACCAAGAGGCCGTCCAGCTCTACTCGTGCAACTTCCAGGATGGCACTACGCCTCTCAAGAAGACACAAGGCCTGATCGATGAACCCGATTTCCCTAGGACTATCCCAAAATATGGGTGCGTCGTGGTTGAGGTGCAAGAGTGGATCGACGGCATCAATCATCCTGAGTGGGGAAGGGAGGAGAAACAGTTTTTTGAGCCAGGCGGGCGGCCATACGTATTGCAAGGTAGCTATAGGTTTAGCGTTGATGAGGATGAATAGGGTTGAATGGGCTACGGAGTATGCGTTGAAGGTAGGAGAGCGTGCAGGGGGACTTTTGCTCTGTATCCAATCGATTGACGGCTTGGAAATTTGGGTGAGAGTGGTTCCTAGCCCCCTTTGTCTAGATAAATGAAGTTCAAGGCGACGACGGTTCCTGAAAACTCGAGGAAGCCTCGTTGAGAGTGGATAGAAGGTCATATCTTTCCCAGGTGCTCCGTTGTTTCTACACTTTCAAGCAGAGGGGGATTTCTATGGTGGTGCCATTTCCACTTTTGGGTGCGCGGGTTGGGACACCACTCACTAAGGGGAACCGATCTTCCAGACTTGCAAATTTACTTCTCGCAAAGACCGATCACCTACGTGAGCTTAGTTCCACATGCCTGGCCTCATCCACAGAGCGTCTCCATGGCGCCTAGCGTGTGAAATACCGTGCCATATTGAGGGGAACGGACAGCTGTAATAGAAGAGAGGCCCGGAATTCAGAAAGGGAAGAGGCAGCTAAGGGATTAGAACCAGCCTTCCGGTGAAAGAAATGGGTGCTTGAGATTGCTTGGAAAAATAATATTAGTGTACTGGCGTTCCCGAGCAACGGTTCCCACATACCAAGGAGCAAGGAGGGAGGAAAGTATGCCGTCTTGGCCTTTGCCCACTCGGGTCAACACTACCTACCTCCACTACCTTCCAACTTGGAATCAGATGCCGAAAAGGGAAGCTTACCAAAAGCTCAAAGCATCTACGTCTGCGTCTGTTCACTGTTAGAGTGTCCCTGCCATTTCATCGATTCATTCGGTCTGGCTAGGGAGATGGTCGGGAGGAGGGGCCCCGTGACAGTGGCCGCGCACCCACTCGGCCCAATTTGGTGAAGGCATGGAGAGAAAATACCGCATTGAGAGTATGACGGCATCTTAGGATTGCGTGAGGTTTTGAACTCCCTGTTTTCGTTTCTGATGTAATTGCGCAAAGGGCGTGTTGGAACTGTGAAGGAAGTTAGAAAGCTCTCTTCATGCCTCTGATTTCCTATCCATCATAGGTTTTAGAGTGGAGGCGGACAACACTTTGCTACCATGCCGAAGTTCGGCTCTGTCTCCTACTTCCGAGCTGTGAGGACGGTAAAGTTCCTGAATCTTAAGATCTCGCGAGTACTGGCGGAACCTGGGAGGCTACTGTCACGGGTTTCGAAAGATTGCCCACGTAGCACGTTACAATTTGACGGAAAATTAAAGGAATGCGATGAGTGGGAAGGGAGCAAGAATAGTCGGTGATCTGGTGTTCAGAATAGAAACAACTTCGTACTCACGAAGAGCCACGGATGTCACCAGTCTTTCAGTCTTGAAATCTTGCAACGCGGGTAGTAGGGTGTTAATGTTGATAATCATGCTACTGTAATCAAGAAACTCGCGAGGATATATTCATTCTGAGAGGGCCGAAACACAACCCATGCGAAACGAAGCAGGTTCCCGCCCCATCGTTCTTTCTCCGAGACATCTACCTTCTCCATCACAGAAACACTAGTTCAAGACCAGTAGTTACATTACCGAGGGTACACACGGACAATTTACCAGTTAAGAGTGACGGTCGGGAGAAACCTCGCGGACCTCCTTGCGGGCGGGAGCCTCGGCGTCAACAGGGGTGGACTTGCGGCGACGGAAGACGAAGAAGGCAACACCAGCAACAATGGCGAGAGACGCAACGATGGTGCCAACAGCGATACCAGCCTTTGCACCGCCGGAGAGACCGCCGGAGGAAGAAGAGGAGGTGGAAGAGTTGTCAGAGTTGCTGCCAGAGCTGGAATCGGGGGAGGAGGCGGGGGGGTCGAACTCGGAAGAGGTGACGTTGAAGCAAGGAGGGTTGATGTCAAAGTCGGCGAGTTCGACGAAGGTCTGTCTGCGTTAATTTCGCTAATACATCTCGAGATAAATAATATGGTAGTATGGTGACTTACGATATCGGCGCAAGCGTAGAACTCCTGCCTCTCGTTGTTGTTCTCGCCCTCGTAGTCGGCCCAGTACTTGAGCTGAAGGGTGGCGTTGGTGCCGGCGGTGACGGTGCTGGGGACGTTCTTGAGGAGGTAGCACTGGTGGCCGGCCTCAATCTCGGCGATGTTGGAGACAACCTGAGACTGGAAGGAGTTGATGGAGATGGGATCTGTGGGAGGTTAGAGCTGTGGAATTGGGCAAACACGACGATGAGTGAATTCGCTTACTCTCGTCGACGGCAAGGTAAAAGGCTACGTTCCATGCGTCATCGGCAATCGATAGCGAGACGGTTCCCTTAGCTAAAGTGGTGTGAGTTCAGACATCCGGCATCAGCGAGGGAAAAACAAGTTGTCGATTCTCACAGATAGGGAAGTTGGTCCTCTTGGTGACACCAGAAGGGCTACCACAGGGCGCGATGTTGTCTGTCTCGGCGCTCCACGGACGGCTTGAAGGCCACATGAAATCGACGGGACCCATACTGTTGCCCAGCTCGCCCTCGCCATGGGCCGTTCCCGTGGCGGCGGCGATCTGGGACAGGGCGATTACAGTGGAAACAGCAGAGAAACGCATTTTGATGATGGGCTGACTGGGGAAGCAAACGATCAAAGGGCAAGAAAAGTGTCTTCCGAGGGGAAGAAATTCTTTCGATCCTCTCTTGTTTTCTTTAGGCACGGGAAAGATGGGGGGTTGGCGAAATTAACTGCAAGTTTCCTGCGCTTCGTCTATCATGGGATAATATGTTCCTTATATGCCGTGTGAGGCGAGCCGGAAGTGCCCGGGTTTTACCAAGTCTACGAGGTGGTGGGCAGTGACGGCTGGGCAACAGAGCGTGGGAAAAAATTAGAACGAGGACGAGAAAAGATGACGAGAAGAGGGAGGGACCCATAACCCGGGCACGAATGCAAAAGGTCCCGGAGGTCCTGCCAAGTCCCTCACCATCCGCCACGGCAGCAACAACGAGAAGAAACCTCCGTCTTGGGAGTGGGGAGGAGAAAGACCATGTACATAATGTAACCCAATTTAGGAAACCTGTGGTCACAGCTACAGGGAAGGTGGTGCATGAGTGCAGCTAGAGCAAGCGTCGCTCTTGTTCGGTCAATGGAGGGTCGGCCTTCAAGAGGGGGTGTGATGTGGATGATGTGATTGATTCGGTTTTCTTGGCGAGACGGGGTTTTAATCAATAGTTTTGTAATGCTTCATGGGGGCACCTAAGATAACGGCAGAATTGGGGTGTTCTTGAGAGTTGAGGAGATGGAAGCAAGGATGATGATGGTGGTGAGGGTACACCACGCCATCAAGAGGACAGGACGGTTGGGGCCGTGGTTCCTGAGTGCCGAAAGAAAGTAGCAAAGACAACTCGACTGTAAAAAATGTTTCAAGTACCGGCAATCACAGTCTTCGCTCTCACCGTCCGCGGAGCTATCGATGTTTATCAACCGCCAAGAAGCCAGGACCCAGACTGGAAAACTAGCGGGGGTGGCTTGGGAGATTCTCAAAGAATAAGACACCGTTTCGGTGAACCAAGAAGATGGGACTCGGGTGATTCTCCACCAGGCGGACTGTTTTCTTCCCATTCTTACTTCGTACTCCGGGAGTCCCAAAGCAAGATAAACTTACGGGGTCAAAAAACGTGTTTTCTCACGAGGCCATCTTGGAGGCCGGAAGCCGGCTAAAATCGAGTGGAGAAGAAGCTTGGACTGGACTGGGATAGCTCCAGCCAACGGTTGGGTGGTGCAGTAAGTGGAGAAGCCCTTGCCTTCTTCTTCGCTCTTTTCTCCGTCCTCGTCCTCTTGCTCCATCTCCCGCTCTGTTCCGAGTGATCCCAGTGATCTCAGTGATCCCCAGTGTCTACAAACGGTCCGGGCACAGTCACTTGCCTCTTTAGGATTAGCCGGACAAGACCATTAAACAACCTTTACGACACTAGAGCCAATGAGGGATGAAGACGTCGTATCTGAAGCGGGGGTTTCGCAGTTGGCGTGATCTCCGAAGTTATCTGATTGATAAGATGATCAGATAAAAAGCAGAGAGGCTCACACTGTGACTTACCCGGACCCCGGGCTTTGTCTGGCCTTGATGAGCTTGGGTTTCCGTTGTCAGAGTATCTTTGAGATGAGCCAGTCTACAGTCCACCTCCTCGTTAGCTCGTATTACTCATTTTCTCACAGAAAACCCCTTCTCTTGGCACTGCTACGCGACCCAATGGTTTGACCCTTCGTTGCCGTGCGTCCCAGCTCCTGCAACCAACCTTGCCGACTACGAGGACCCTCGCCGAGGAATGCACGCCGATCATCGGAACCTGGAGGAATACGCAAAGCTCAATTGTGTCCTCGGGACTACGAAACCGAAAGCAAAGAAACCCGGTCACGTTAGGAAGCAAGAAACTCCATTCCATTTCCGGGCTCTTGCAGCCCGGAGGAAGCCATTAATTTTAGCTATTGAACCCCTTCCACCCCTCTTACTATGTAGAGCAGCCGCCAGCCACCCGAGCACCAGACACGAGTGGTCACTGGTCAATGCGGGGAGTGATCTCTGCTTCGTAGGCTCAACCAAGTCGCCACAAGGTCCTCAAGACGCAGGTGGTATCCTGTAATCCTACAATCCTGGGATTGTTATTAAGAAGTAGGCATGCACGACCGGCCACCGACTTCCGGTCCAGCTGTTTCCCGAATTGGTAACTGCAATCTCCTCCCTTTCCCATGGCTTTTCAATAACAGCTCCATGCTCCAATGACCTGACTTGCGCGTCTCGGCTGCAACCGTAAAGTCCATTTCCCAGTCGCAGACCAACTGACCGAAGCTATCTATAAAACCAACGGCAGAAGTGTGCCTCGACACATACCTTTTCTCTTTTTCTCCTTCCTCATCCAACCGTAAAATCTTACCGTAGTATCAACCACATCACCCTCTATCTAGATCTTGAGAGATCCCACAAAAAGTCACTCGTTTGTTGTCTTGTTTCAGATCAAGTCATCCGCACCACCCATAACAATGTACGCCCGTCAGCTTCTGCTCGGCGCCCTCGCTGCCGCCTCTATCGCTTCGGCTTCCGCCATTGACGGCGAAGAGCTCTTTTCTGTCCTCCTGAAGCGTCAGGAGCCCGGCACTCCTGCTTACAATTGCCACGACAACTGCGGTAGGTCCATCGCATCACAGGGCACAGATTGCAGCCCCCAAAGTGAAAAAAAAAAGAGAAAGATCCTCACATGAATTTGGTACTAACACTCCTCAAGGTAACGCCATTCGCCAAGCCCGCGAGGTCTCCGACGTCTGCGACAACAAGGCCTTCCAATCCAACTACGCCAACTGCCTCCAGTGCGCCGGCCCCGACAACTTCGACATCTGGAAGTACTACGGCAACTCTGTCTCGGCCGCCGGCACCAAGTGTGGCCTTAGCACTGAGCCCCTTTCCGGCAAGCAGCCCGACGTCGGTCCCGCGCAGAACGAGGGCGACGCTGGTGGCAGCGAGCCCACCACTTCCGAAGGCACGCCTTCCCCCACTGATACTGAGCCTGGCAAGACTGCTGAGCCCACTTCATCCAATGCTCCTGAGCCCTCTTCTGGTGGTGATGGTGATGCCGAGTCCACGGCCGAGACGCCCTCTGCTACAGGTTCTGCGAGCCCTACAGGTGGTTCTGATGCTTCTGCCACCGCCTCTGGAACTTCTGCTGCTCCGTCCTCCACGGTAAGCCTCTTCTCCCCTTGCTTCCCCCATTCTGTTTGAAATCCACGCTGATGTCGGGAAAAGTCCTCTGAACCAGTTCAAGTCAACGGCGCCGGTGTTCTCCAGGCCGTGGGAGTCTTCGAGGCTGTTGCCATCGGGGCCCTCTTCTTTATCTAAATATGCGACGGGCTTAGGTATGGGCATTACGGGTTGTGGCGCTTCGATGGCCTCTGTATTTCTAGCTAGGAATGTTATATCTGTATCCCCGCTCGGTGATGCCCAACTGAACATTCTAAGGGATTCCCACAGCAGTTGGGATAATTAATATTAATATCCATTTCATCACAATGATGACTCTCATGTGAACGTTGTCGGGGAGTGCCACGCAATGAAAGGTCGACATCTTTCGCTGAGATTTGCCCTGAGCCGTTCACATACTTGGTGGAGAAACTGAATGTTGCAGGGATTATAATACCTCCGTTGAAAGCTCAGGCTCTTCTATGATTCTCTTCTTCTTCTTCTTCTTCTTCGTTGTACTGGGAGCTGCCCAAAGTGAATCGCCATCTGCCGCTGCAACTAATCCCGGAGTATATTCTCCCTTCTCCATGAAAACAGTCGGCGGTGAGGGCTCCAAACGACTGGGTTGCGAGACGCTTCTCAAGGTTACATCATCGGTCTCCTCGCACTCATCCGCGTCGAGAACCTCATCTGCGTGAAATGTTAACCCGGTTTTCGGGATGCGTGAGAAAGACGCATACTTACACGGACCGCTCGGAGAATGCCGATCCAAGAGCATGAGCTCACGTAGCCCGTCCTCCAAAATAGCCAGCTTGTCCTTGTATCGGCGCCGTTCGCTTGCGCTCTCCTCGCTCTCTGCAGCCATGCGAGCGACGTCGCTAACTTCCAGGGAATCAACCATCTCAGGGCCGAAGAGCGATGGAAGCTTGCTCACCAGGCATTGTTCAATGGCCAGAACGCTCACATCGTCGACGAATTTCTCCAGAGCGACCTGTCACAAGTTTGGTTAATAAAGAGGTAAAGCAGCCAAAAGTTCATTCTAGCCGTCCGGGGGTTTCACACACTTTGTAGTACGCCTGCATGTAGTCGACAGCCAGCTCACTTGCATAACTCTCCATGTCGACCTTTTCATGTTCCACAAGCAAATCCAAGAGGGCTAGCGGAGAGACAATCTCGTCAAACTTCTGCAATGGACCCTTCGACCCAAACAACTTGACCAAGACTTTTTCTAATCCAGCCCGACGTCGCTTGTCCTGGACTTCCTGGACGTTATCTAAGAGACTCTGGTTGTATGTGATTGGATGACCATGAAGATGAGGAGCAAGTAGGCTTCTGATCTGTTGGTCCATGACCGTTCTCAGATCGTCAAGCCCGCGTCCGATTAGTTGGACTATCCCGCCAGCCGTTTCTGCGACAGCAACGTGGCCAAGAATGGCCCTTACCGTCCGATAAACTGCTTCCATGACAGAATCTTTTGCTGCCGCGGCGATTCCTTCCCAAGGCTGGCACTGCTCCGAGAAGAGTTCCCCAATTATGAGTGGGTTGAAGGTCCCTGGCAACTCGCAGCCTCTGCTCTTTCGCACTAGGTCCTTGACCTCTTCAATGTATTGCGACCTCAAGACTTCGCCGTCGCCTAGCGGACCTTGATTCGGCAGGGCCTCAACAATGGTCCTCATTTGCCCCTTGGCTTGCATCTCGTCTTTGAACTTGGTGAGAGTATTCTGAACAACGGCGCGCAGGCGGTTCTGGTACCCTGACTCGGTTTTGGCACTGCCGAAGAAGGCATCCTTGTAGAAACCATCGACCGCGGCCGTCATAAGAGTGGAAAACTTCCGACTGACTTGCAAAAGATAGCGGCGCTGAGTCTCGAACGTCTGCCTTTCCGTCCCAAGACGCTGCAGACGGGACTGACAGTCATCAATCCCAGACTTAACATCTTGGAGCAGGTGCGGGAGCTGTCGCAGGATTTGCTCCTTCAAAACGTTGCTCAGGCGAGGCCTCAAGCTCTTCACGCCCAGACTCATCGGGTCAACCGATTGCCAGCTTCCGCTCATAAAGAACTGTTCTTCGAATTCGTCTCTCTCGGCGTTGGAGGTGTTCCTCCTGGCGTAGTCTCTGTTTATGAGGACATGCCAGCCCAGTCGGAACACCACGTCCCTGTTTTGGGCAAGTTTAATGTACGCCATCTCGCTATCTGACCCGAGGTCCAGCGTGTCGGGTTTCGTGATGATGCCCATCGTACGGACGCCCTTCGGATCGAGTTTGCGCGCGATCTTGGTAACTGCTTGAAGGTTGAAGTCGTTCTTGGCCGACACGACAGCCAGGATGATGCTCCTGGGCCTATTCATGTAGCTTTGCACCATGTCTCCCACGGTGGCGGCGTCAGTTTCCGATTGATCTGTGTTCCCGGCGTGGAAGAGACCTGGCAAGTCGACAAGAGTCAAATGAGGTTGGGTAGGCCCACAGAGTTCGACGTGGAGAGCATCGGTGCAAAAGACTTTTGTTTGCGAGAGGCCCATTTCTTCCTTGGCCTTCTCCGTGACGAGTCCGAGATCGAGGCTGGCAGCATCATCCTCGTAGCAAAATCGAGACAGGCGCTCTTTCTCTTCCGCCGATCTCTCGGCATCGGCGTTGATGGAGACTTTGACGATGGCCTTCGGGGCTCGGCGAAGCACCAGCTCCGTGGGGAAGCGCGTGCAGAGATTGTCCTTGGTCGGGAAAGACATGCCCGAGATTGCCTCGAGGACGGAACTCTTGCCGGCGGACTGATCACCACACACGATGATCTCGGGAAGGTCGACATATCTGCCGATCCCTTTGGAGCGAAGCTTGTCGATGACGTCGAGGAGCTCCCGATAATCTTTCGACTGGAGGGGGATTGGGTCCATGATGGTGGTAGAATAATTGGTAAGGAACTAACTAGGTGAAAATAGGCACTCAGATGAAAGGGGCCATGAAGACGAAAGAAAAGGAGAGAACAGGAATATCCTGCCAGACAGTATCAAGATTGGATTTATATAATTCCTGATTTGTCCGTGTTTTGTAGGCGTCACATCCCCTCACCCCTGAAAGAGCCCCAGCAGCTGTGACGATTCAAATGCACATGGTTCGGGTTCGCCAGGAGTTGGGCACACATAAGCGCAGACTCATTGCCAAATGAGAAGAGACGTGGTTGGCCTGCGGCATGTCGACCAGCCTATGATAATAAGAGGCGGCTTGCTTCGTGTGTCGGGAGGAAACGGGCAGCTGAAATCGGAGACATGAGTCTGAGGGGTGAATGGCATTGGATGATGGACATGGATTTTCAAGAAGCAAGCTGCAAGCTGCAAATATTACACGATGCTTCGGGCTGCCGGGGGCCGGCGGTGTGAAGGAAATCATTAACGCAAGATCGGCCACCGAAGCCCACCAAGACACATGTATGTTTCGAGCAGGAACAGGCACACGTTTATGCAGCGATACCTTTGCTATCGGTGGTCTATACCCTGATTAGTAGTGAATACGGAGGGGGGGACCAAAGCCTCGATGAGTATACTCTAAGATCAAGTAGGGTTCGCACACAGAAGGCCCAAATAATAATAATAATAATAAAGCTCTTCTAATCTCATCCATCCATCATCTCAATAAGACAGGCAAGTTTGCCATGACGCTGTATGCATGGGCATTCTTTCCCTAATCATCAAGGCACACTGCCGCCAATAGCGCCACCTCATCAAACTTGAACCCTCTCTCCTTAACCTTTTGGGTCTCTGTTCGCTGGGACCCATCCTGCAATCAAACTTTCGATATTCAGTCTCTCTCCCGCTCCCCGACTCAGATCACACGCGTCAGCTGTCACCTGCCGGCATGCGACATCATGGAAAGCGCTGCCAGGCAAACCTGATTGACGATACATTTCCAACGGCGGATCAAGCCGCATCGTTATCTAGGAAACTTCGGCCATGGAAATTCATGCCTGTCATTTACATCCAAATTGTACGGGTCCCCAGCCGCCATTCCATGGTTCTGAGGCGTGGGATGAAAGTGGGATATGTAATCGGCGGTAATCGATGCAACGATCCAGGGCCTGAGCTCAATACCGACTGAGTTCGAGCCAACTAGGTACTTGGCACCCGGCGACTGTAGGCTAGACAGGCGGAGGAGAGCCGGGACAGGAACGTTTACCTGCTGAGGGTGGCGAAAATCGGCTGCCACGACCCGTCAGTAAGGTTGATATGCCGCAAGCGGATAGCCTGAAGAGTTGGATGCTTCCTGACTCCTGAGGATCCGCTACCCTGAGTCTTCTCTGATCAAAATTCCACTGAGGTATTGACAGTGATTTTGTATCATGCTAGCTACGAATGTCTTGTATGATGTCCCTGTCAATATCTTCGTGCGGAGGTGGAGGCCAAGAGAAGTGAGTTTCGGTATGAGCTGCAGCAGTCTCAAAGTACCCACGAAGCTAGACTCCAGTCACAGGGGGAAAACAATCCAGAAATGAGCTGAGTGCTGGTCTCTGCTTGTGTCACCTCCCATTTCCCTATGCCTAGTCCAGAGTGACTCTAGCCAAGAATCCCATGAACCCGAACCTGGCATAAGAACTGACGTTCCGTCAACAATTAATCCGACTTTTATTACGGCCGACTTCTTGGCTAAGCCATTTGACATATCCAGATTCTGTCATGCCCATCCCTATTCAATGTGTTTGATGGGACATTCGGTCGCAGTTCTGTACCAAGGCAGCAGACAGCATCGGATAAAAAGTCAGAGAATCAAAGATGAATGCGGCTCTACACCTTCAGGACGAAAAAGGAATCTCGCCAAATAACATTTGCACTATTGGTAGCGCAAAGGGGAGTACTGAATAACCTCGCGGAGGCTTTGGAAGGTACCCATCCTCAACAACTACTTCCCAATGGAATGGGCCGATACAGAATGGTAAAAAAATACTCTAGATTTCCTATTCAGGAGCCAATTCATCAATGTGCCGCAAGAAACTTCCGCTTACTCCTTCGTGATGATCGCTCATACCACATTCTTTGTTTTCTTAGCAATGCATCTACCGAAAAATAAATAATAAATAAAATCCAGCATCCTTCCCAATGAGGAAGCCGCGACTCCTCACAACATTGTCTTTCCATTTGTATTATATCGTCCAACTTCCCTGTCACAACGACACCTCCGTCTTTCACAGAAGGAGGTGTACTCGAAGATTCCCACCAAGACACGGCGGAAACTGGAACAATGGCGCGCCTCGAGCATCTCATGGCCTCATCCCATAGTCTCATCCCATGCCCTTATTACGATTCTTTACGAGATTGACACAACGACTACCTACAATGTTTCTCTTGGCTGCCTCTCCAGATTTTGTGGCGATAATCTGAGTCTCTCGCTGTCGGCTAGATCAGACTCACCACCGCACACCACGCCTCGTCTCGACGCGTGATGTTTAACACGCATTTCGCAGAATCACACATGCTACTTAATCCTACCATAATGCCCACCGCCCTCCCATGGGCCTGGACTCGGGGCGACGACGACGGCCCCTGGCATCCACCCGAGTTTCTCTACGGCTGCCTTTTCCATTCTACATATGAAGACTTCTCCCTCGGTGGAGGCCGCTTTTCCCGGAACCACATCAGGGATATAAAGGCCCACAACCCTAATCTCGCCGTTGGGAAGTATTCGCTAGCCCCCCGATTGAAGCGGTTCGTACCTCTACTCACATTTATCGATGGTGCAATACAAATTGAATATTTTGCTATTAACTGCTTTTAATCTGCGATAGCCTTCAGTGTGGTAATGCCTACGGCCAACAACTCCACGGAGGACAGTACGATGAGAATGGGCTGATATAGATAGCATTCGGTGGTTTTAACGTGAATGGCCTGGAAGGAGCCATTACGAGCTCGAGAGCAGGCGATGAACTGATGATGGCGGGAGAAGGCCAGTGTGCTGTGTTTAAAACAGAGCTCGCTGTCATGTTTCTCCAACTCGTATATAAAGTGGAGTTACGAGAACTCACCCGTTCAAAACGTATCTTGCCGCAAGTATACATTACTTTCCCCCTTCTCCTTTTCTGCCCTTTCTATAGCCTCGTCTCTCTCTTATTGGCGATCGGAGCTAACACATTACCTCAAGATGGTTGTTATGAATTTTACCAGCCCATACGGGCGCATCATCCAAGGCGCTCTACTCCGCCCTCGAACAAGGAATGGGCGGTTCAGCAATGGTGGAAGCAGCTCTGCACCATCACCGCCGGACAGAGATGAGAGGAAAGCATTGCAGTGATGATGACAGGACCAGCGGCTATCGTTCTTCGGGGGTTTGGGTTTTGGCGTTAGGAGAACTAGGTAAATTATACTAAATGGCGTTTCTAGGATTTTAGAACGTTTAACGATGTAACATAACAAGCCCACTAGATCAATAGACTTTACGCCAACCGAAAACTAGGCTCTCAGGTAGCCATTCGGACTCTCAATCCTCACTCGCGTCCGATGGCGCCTCCTCCTCGGATATTTAACCTTATAATACGCCCCCTTCTCATCCGAACCCAACGATGCGAACCACCGCACGATATTCGTCAGCTCCCCCGTCCATAGTAATCCTAGGAAGATGACTACGACCGTGACGGGGACGGCCACGGCCCAGTAGATCCACTGGCTCTGCGGCATGTCTCGCACATCGACCGTGTTCATGCCGAAGATGCTCGCGACGGAGCTGAGGGGGAGGAAGATGACTGTGACGATTGTGAAGGCGTAGATGGCTCGCTCCTGTCGGTCCTTGGTGGTGTCGATTTGGTTTCGACACTATTGTGGCTAGGTTTTAGCTGATGAAACAAGAACAAGGGAAAAAATTACGAGGTAAACAGAGGTCCAGAAACACGTACAAACTCCTCCAGGTCCGTCGCTTGATCATGCGTTTCGGAAATCATCCTATTCGTCCGCAGCGACTGAGATATGCATTCTCGTCTAAAACTCTCCCGGAACCCTCCGATATCAGAAAGAACGGCATTGCTGAAGAAGGGATCGGCGGCCGGGCCACCACCCGCATATCGCGGTCGACCTGGTTCGTAATGTCGGGAAGCAGAATGTATGGGCCGTGGTTCGAATCGGTACGCGGGGGTGTATCCGGGTCCTGGGAGGTGTGGGAGTCGGCCAACGAAGTCGAGCTTGTCGAGCCTTTCCATGATTTCGTATTGCGTATCGAGGGTATGTTGGATTATGGTCGTTTCTTGTTTGAACATTGCGAGACGGCGTTCGTAGGTTCTGTCGGAAGGATTTGAGGATATCTCGGCTTCCTAGAGGTATCTACCATTAGAATTGAAGGCAAAAGCTCGGGAAGAGCAGATTTCAGATATTTTCTATCACGGTACTGCTTTTGGGGGACCTTACGAGAGTGGACAAGTAGTGAGAGTAGGTCTCGGCAATATTCGGTAGCCCAGGGTTGCTGTTCTTGATCAGCTCCAAACAGACGAGCGAAAAGAGCTCCATGGGAAGGACGACCGATTTGTCAACGAGGTCAGTTTCGGACAGGGACATGACGATGATTCTCAACCCGTCATCGAGAAGGGCTTCAGCGTCGCAAAATATCCGCTCGGATCGAAGCCGATCAGTTGGCAGGTAGATGATACCCATGAGTAAATGGATCCAGGCTAGGGTGAGCTCGTCGGGCGCCTTGATTCTGGATAGGTCTTTTGTGGTGATCGTCTTAAAAAGATCGGTGAATGATGCGAGAGTGATACACAATCCTCTCAGTTGGACACGGAGATCGCGCAGGGACGGGCGGTCCCGGGAACCGAAAGGTTGATCCGGCGGCTGCGTGACACTGTCAGTCCCGTTCTTTCATAAATTGGGCATTTACCGTCTAGATTCTGGTATTCTATCTATGGCAAGTCAACTTACGTCAATGAGCCTGTCAATCGCGCCCCAGAACCTTCCAGTAGTTGGGATTCCATGGTGCGTAGGGAAGAAAGCATCGAAGATGACGGCGGCTGCGCTGACGACATCGATGTGCTCCTCGTACTCGGCCTGCTCTATGCTAGCCGCGTCCGCGAGCTCCGTCGAAAGCTTCGCACCCCGTATTGCGAGTTTGCGGTGTACATTCGCGTACGATGAGCCATGGCATCGACGGTATGCCTTACGGTCGCTGAAGGTTGTCCCGGTCATGAGATAGTCTCCGACATTCGCCAAGTGTTGGGTGAGATTGGGCCGATTAATGGTCCCCGTTTTTGCGTTCCAGACGCCTTCCAAGCAGCTGAAGATTGAGAAACCTGCTTCCTTCTTTTGAGGAGCCGGCCGTGATGGCGCAGGTGTGGGAGATGGCTGTGTTTGTGGATCATCCTTGCCTTTCGCTGCCACGGGCGGTAACGGTTCGCCTTCGACAGACCCTGAATCATCTTCGATATATGGACTTGGAGGAAGAACGCCCACTGGCGGTAGCTTGGGAAGGGGTCTGCAGATATCATGAGTTAAAAATTCGATGCATGAGAAGAATGAGAAGGAATATGCCATACCCTTTGGTGAGACTGAGGATAATATTTCCTCGGGCGGCTCTCTGGCGGACAGTTGGCCATTCCTTTGCGGTTACTACCTGATTCTTTTGGTAGTGGAAGATTAACGGTGTAGGGAAAAGCTCTCGGAAGTGGGCGGTAAACTCCTGCATCGGCGTCAGCGCCAAGCGTGAAGGATTTAAGTAGGACAAGGAATGGCGAAGGTTGTGGGTGGTCTTACGAGCCAAGTTTGGGCATGTTCCAATGGTATCTTCCACAAGACGGCATCGGAGTGGCTAACCAAGATATGCCCTTTACCCTTAGTATCCGCGATCTCATCTGGCGACTTGACGGTTCGTTGGATTGACTGGCCGTACAGAGCCGACTCTGGTAAACGGCTACACGTGAACAGAAAAGCTTGAAGTTTTGAGACCATGTTAGCCAGCGCCTTTGTACGTCCATATCGGCAAGGATAAGATGAGAAATCTTACAGTTATCCAAAACGACACACCAGATCTGCGCAATATGAAAACAATACCCAGGCGGGGCCAACTTGTTCTTGCACACAGCTTGCTGCATGTCCCGGCCGCGCCCGCTTCGGGAGAACTGTGCCTGTAGAAGGGTCTGGATGGGGAATAATGCGTCGCTCTCTAAGCCGGAGTACTTCTCGAGGCTAAAGTAAGGCAAGGAAACCCAAGTTACCGTGCGAGGTCTGGCCGAGAGATCCTTGGTGCTGCCAGCGGGCGGGGGCACGGTGGATTGGATGATGTTAGGCTCCATGAGTCGTACGGTCTTGGAGTCGGAGATTTGGATCGGCTTGACATATTTGAGCTTTACGTCGTTCATTAAGGTAGATAAAGATCTTTTTTCCGAGGACGTCAGGTTGGGCACTCGCGACACTTCTTCCTGGGAGTGGGTTAACAACGACGAGCGTTAGGAGGATTAATTCGTAATAGGGTCTCCTACTGCAAATGCGTCAAAGTCCATTGATGGAGAGGTGAAATGACTGCAAATTTCATTAGTGAGGGAGCTCAACAGCTGGACGGGTTTCTGGAAGTCTCACATCCATCGGAATAATGGGCGAGCATGAGCATGAGCCCCAGTCATCACGGTAACAGTAGCACTCTGAACATCTCCCCGGGGCCCCTTGCCGGTATATTCCGATTCGAGCACGTAAGACGTCGTAATCACCCTCGCCGTCCGCTTCAGAGGCGAAGCGGCCTTATCGCCATCCAGGGTCGAATCCTCCTCGGCAGTGAGCGCGGAGCCCGTCGTCGAAGCAGCGGGGGAAGACCGAGGCAGGGAGAAGGAAAAGTACGGGTGGCCCGCAGGCTCGCCCAGGTCCGCCAGCCTTCGGAGACGGGATTCGGCCTTATATCTTTGTCCTTCTTCATACTCTCGTTTTACTTCTTCCAATTCTAGCTTCATTTGTTCCAGCTCTAGCTCTTTCTGCCGTCTGTCTGCTGCCCTTTCCAATGAGCGGAAGCGGGCCCCGGACTCGTAGCCCATCGGGCTGCTCACGCGAGCCCGAGCTCGGTGATTCCGGGCGCCGAAGGGTTCATACACCGGAAAGTATGCATATTCCTACATTCGTTATTTATTTAAGGGCCTTATCTTCCGGTGCATTGCATTAATCGCCGTATATTTATAACTTACGTCTCGGAAGGCAGGCCGCACGCGACTTGGAATCTCGTAGTAGCCACGCGATTCGCGTACGCCGGGGCGTCGCGCCCGAGGAACGCCGGCCGAGAAACCACTCGATCGTCGACGTGGGAGCGGGAAAGGCGGTGATAGCGATCGAGACCGAGACCGAGACCGAGGCCTGGACCAGGACCTAGATCTCGACCTAGATATCGATCTCGACCTCGATCGGCCTGCGTCGGACGTATCCCCATATCGCGACATTTTCCACGATGCTGGCTCAAGATGAAAAAAAAAAAAAATCGTTCAAGGGGAAATTTCAGCCCTGCGTCCCGATCCTGCCACCTCAAATTCCACGCGTAATCCCGGCATTCGGCACCCACTGACTGCATGCAGGGATGTCATCAAATATCAAATCCTCTGTGCGGGGGTGGTGCAGGATGATCGTCCCCAGCCCCCATCATCGACTTGGACCGACTCCAAACAGCTCATGAGCTTCGACATTTTCGAAACGTACAGCAAAAGGACTTTTCTCTTTAGAGGCGCACTCTACTTGCCCCTCTCGCAAGGAACGAATAACAAAGATATCTTTTCCGTGTTCACAAAATTCAGTCTCCTTTCCTTTGTACCCTACTTCCCTCCCTCGCTCAGCTTCGACCAGAGGGGAAGAGATCAACCTAGCCGAAAATGGGATATTGGAATTCGGATAAGCTCACGTGATTGCGGTCGTCTCATCTCGTATCGCTGTCGAATCATGGTTGGCGTGAAGAATCCTCTGATGCAACCCAATGCAAGTCGTCCGCCCAATGATCCGAGGACAGAGAGGACTGGCTCAGGGCCTCCCGGTTGTGTTTCATCTAGAGATGGGAGAGAGTGGTGAAGCGCATGCTTAAGCCCTAGAACCCCCTGCAGCTGGCTCCTATTAATAACGTATCTAAGACCCATACACAGCCCGGAGAAGTACACCACTGCCTCCTTCATCTCCATTCAGGCAATGGTCTGGCGAAATGAACCCCCACAGACAGCGCCGTCCCAGAAAGAACACATCTCCAATCGCGGATCGCGCGTGCACATCGAGCTAGAGCGGGAGATTTTTCTCCTTTCCTAACGGGGTCTAGAGAAAAGTTTCTAGCCGCTTGACCAGCCCTAAATTACCCCTTGAAGCTGTCAACGAGTACCTAATGTTGGAGGCGAGTCGTCTCATTGGTACGACGCACACAGCCACTGCTGCTCAGCGGGGCGAAGATTGTAGGATCCGGCGCTTACGGTCTTCATTCGTTTCAAGCCATTCCCAGGACGCCGGGTTCGTCTTCTTGGACGGCACAATTCCTGTCCATGTCCAGTCATTCTAGGACTTAGGACCCTGGTTGTATAGGTTATAAAGACCCGCTTTTAAGGCGGATGCTGTTTTCCGCCAAGACCCTGGCCTGATCCTCCACAATCCTTTTCTTTTTTTCCCTCCCAAGTTCATGGAGCGTCTCTCCCGTTCAAACACACTTTTTTCTGGTCAGGGAGCCCCCAGAAAGGAGGCCTTTTGATCATCCTCCCCAATTTAAGCCTCCCCCGCGTGGGTCCCCGGAGCGACATTCCCAGGCCGGCATTTCCGAACGACGACGCCAGAGTCCATCCGCCCACCGCCGCGGATCTCACGGGACAATGGAGCCTCCGCGGGGTCATGACGATCCTGCTCCGAGCGGCTTCAATTCCACAGCCAGCTTTGACACCTCCTACCAGAGCGGTTACGTCCGCCAAATCCCAGAAGGATCTCCCCCGCCACCGGCCCGAGCAACACAATATGCTGCGGACAAAGGCGCCGCATACCACACAGTAGGAATGGTCCCTGACCCCCCTGCGTCGCGACCGATTCACAGCCGATGGCCGCTCCCCGCGTGGCTTCTCGAGATCGGCTCAACGCTACTCAGCATCTCGGCGCTGCTTGCGGCGATTGTGGTGCTGGCCACGCAGAACGGCAAACCCGTTACGGACTGGCATTTCCCAGCTTCGATCAATACCGTCGTTTCGGCCCTCGGCGTCATCTCGAAGGTCAGCTTGGCGTTTACGATCAGCGCGTGTTTGGGACAGCAAAAATGGAACTGGTTCAGGACGCATCAGGGGAATCTGAGCTTATTCGAGATCTTTGACTCAGCGAGCCGAGGACCCTGGGGCAGCTTGGGTTTGCTTATCTTTGCAAGAACAATGTAAGTGGTAAAATGCACCCCCCTCGGTTTTAGGCTGCCACGAGAGTATGAAGAGAATTAACTAATACTTGGGTTGCGATAGAAATTGGGCTATTCTCGGCGCACTAGTTACCATACTGACGATCACCTTCGACCCCTTCCTCCAAGCCACCGTGTCGCTAACGGGCGAACTTACTCTGAGCCGATCCTCCACGGCCAACTCTACCATCTCAGTCGCTGAGAACATGCGCATGGGGAGCCTGGCAGATGCTGGCGGTACGGCTGGGGTCGGTCTTTTCGCGGACGGCACAATCATGGACGTGTTCGACCTTCGACCCGACTTTGGCCTCACCAGCGCCATCTACGACGGCTTCTTCCTCGGCGCGAAGGACTCCACCGCCCGGCCTCCTCATGTCGCCTTCTCCTGCGTGACGGGGAACTGCACCTGGCCAGTTTTCACGAGCGCCGCCATCTGCAGCACCTGTAACGACGTTAGCTCCACGGTCGTGCGGAAGCGGCGTGAGGGGTGCAAATCCCAGGACGCCACGAACCAGGAACTGGGTGTAAACGTTGTAGAAATTGGTCCCTGTACGGAATATATAGCGCCGTATGCCAACATCAAGCAGTTTGATGGACTTGCAGAAGCTCCAGACGATCTCGGGGACTCAGTTCAACCTGCCACCTCAACCTTTGTCGGCCTCACAGCTAACACGACGATGGACTATCGATCCACTATCAGCTTGCAGGATCACGACACCTTGTTCCATTCCTTCCTTATGCTTCGTGCGCCGCAAAACTTCATCGCGAAACAAATCTCGTGGGAGGACGCAAGCATCGAGGCGACAGAGTGTGGGCTCTATCTGTGCGCCGCTGCGACCAAGGCGCAGGTCAACAGTGGTGTCTTGACGGAGGAACGCCTCGGCGTATGGTCCAACCGCGTGCAAGGTTCCTGGGACAGTCTCGCCACCGACAACAAGTCTCGAAACTTGGTTGCCAATGTATATCCGTCTCTAAAACCCATCACAAAGCTCCGAAGTGACATCCAAGTGTCCATCCCAGTCAATGAAATCGAGCGCCTCGGAGCCAACGGATCGTCCGTCTTCAACTTTACTCAGGCGAGCATCATAGGGCTACAGGAGACTCTCAACTTGTTAACGCTCGGTAACAACCCCACAAACGAGTCTCTTCTGGTGTATCCCACCAACTCCCGCAACAGCGAGATATCCGCTCTCTCCCATATCCTCGGCCAATCCGACAACCTCACCCACACGTTCGAAATGCTCGCCGAGCGCCTCACGGTCCACATCCGCGACGGCGGTAGGAGGATCCAGGAGGGGACCACGGACGAATTCATCCTCCTTATTCACGTGGATTGGCCCTTCCTCATCGCGCCCATCCTAGCCGTCCTCGCCGGCTGCTTATACTTTGCCGTCATCATGTTTCAGACATGGAGACTTGGGTTGCCCGTGTGGAAAGAGAGCGCCTACCCGACACTCACGTATGGGTTTGATGAGAAAACGCAGTCGTTGTTTAGAGGGGCTGATGGACATGGTTCGGAGGCGGGAACCGCGAAGCTTTTGAGGAAGAGGACGCAAATTGGATTTATGGACGGTCAGGATGGATTGAGATTGAATCTTGCGACACCGCCAGGTCGTGCGTAAGGATGGAGAATTGTAATGGTAATGATACGATGATACGACATCCAAAATTAGCAATGTAGCATTAACGGTAGCACTGGATTTCACTGTTTTCAACATGGTAGATTGGAACTATGCGCTACATATCTTCCTTATCAGTCTCGTACGTCTAGCGGAAGGCGAGAGGGTTCGGATTCGGGTCCGCGAGTACCGCAAACGTTCAATGAACAATAGCCATTTCCAACGCCGACATCCTCGCTCATTCTTGTTCTATTGAGAGGTTCGAACTAAAAGCAATACACTATCGTGACGGGAAAGGAGCACCGCAAATTGAGCTCCGGCAAATATCGGCATGTTTGCCAAGGTCCGCCACTGAGGCAACGCGTCTCCATTTGCATTGGTTGCATCTGTCGCATATCTCGTGTTCCTTACGCGGACGCTCACATTGGGTAATAAAGCCTTGCTCAGGAACTACCCCAGCCCTCTTCACTCCCAGATTCGATGGCTTGACACAAAATTCCTCCGAACTCGCGGAATCATGGCAGCTAGGGCGGAGACCGAATTTTCCCCACACTTCGCTACGGCATCCGACGGCGCCAAGTTGAGCTACTACTCGGTCGGCACTGGGAACAGCGTCCTGATACTGCATGGCGCATTTAGCTATGCTCTCTTCCACAGCGAGCTGGCCATCGCACTAAGCCCGTACTACACCGTTCACGTCGCTTCTCGTCGAGCCCGAGGACTCTCCGGACCATACCCATCATCTGTGACGGATTTAAATCCGCACCCTCCGCCATCCGGGGGGTCAACTGAGACGCAAGAGTTCAACGAGACCCTTAGGCTTGGACCGAAGACATACGCCCGAACTTACAACCCAGCCTTTACTGCCGCTGTCACTGAAACCGAAGTCTCAGATATAGAGGCCGTCATCGAAGCTACAGGCGCTGTTTACATCATTGCCATCTCCTCCGGCGCTTTGTTGGCACTCCAATGCCTCCTTCAAAAAGCCAAGTCGCCGACACTCTCCAAAATTCGTAAAGCCGTAATCTTCGAGCCGCCTATATTCTTCACAGATCGACCCACTTCCTGTAACATCGGCCAACTCCCTCACTTCGAGCGCCAGCTCGAGGACGGTGATATAGTTGGCGCCGCCGTTACATCGATGCAAATTGTACAGCTCGGCCCGACGTGGATCCCAGGATGGCTGATGAAGTTTCTATCGGGCATGATGTTCCGGGCACAAGACAGGGATGTGGAGAAGAAGAAGGTGGGGGGTAAGGAAGACAGAGGGGTTTGCACAATGTCCGGCCTCGCCAAGCTCCTTCGGTATGATTTTGCTCTTGTAGAGGGCGTGATAGCTGAGTCCGGGCAGTACGAAATTCTCTCTTGCGAGGAAAATGACGCGGGAGGCGACGCTGGTACGGAGAGGACTGAACTTCTTTTACTTTCTGGGGAGAGGAGCCCTGCCTTCTTATTAGAGGGAATGGCCGTCTTGAGGGAAATCATCCGTGGCGCGAAGAGTGTTGCGTTTGACGGCGCGGGTCATGAACTACTCTGTAATAGAGAGATAAGAGGGAAGCCGGAACGAGCGGTGCCGACAATTCGGGAGTTTTTCGGTTAGTTTAATATAGCTCCCAGAGAACTCTCAGAACATTGAGCCCATCCGACGCTACATAAAGATTTTTTTTCGGTTCTATTATCAGTCTTAGTCGAATTCATCTCTCTCAATTGAGACAACTAGAAAACCCTAATAATACTGACCAGGATTCAAGCTTGAACGACAAGGGTTTCACGTGATAACGAAGGATCAAACTGGACATAAAGATCGCAGGCACGCCAGGAAGCTTCAGTGTCTCCTGGACTCCTGGCGTTAAGAAGAATCCGTTTGGGAAATCGGCGATGATGTTAATAAGCTGTGTTAATACGCTGTCTCTTACCTACTTATAAACTATAGGATATAGCATCTATCTAATCTGGTAAGTTTGGGACATCGCATCCATGGATTCACTGTTCACTGACCCCTCACAAAGGAAAGTGGCTTCATTCCACCGAGTTCTGACGAGCGAGGATATGGAAGAAGTGGCAAACTTGGAGGCGAACTCGAAGAGCTTGTCGTTTCTCGATTTGCCATACGAAATCCGACGGCAGATCTACCGGCACCTCCTCTATTGCGAGAAGGTCAACAAGGAAATTAGCCCGGCTACGAACGAGATCTTCCTTCCCCTGTATGCAGGAGACCCGCATGATCCCCTCTACCCGTCTGTTCTGGCGGTCTGCCGCTTCGTACACGAGGAGGCTGCAGAGGTGCTCTACGGGGAAAATGAGTTTTATCCCGCCTTGGATAATGACCCTGAGCGCATCGTGAAGTCGTGGTTTATGGCGGATCGAAATGTCGCGCGGGTTGCCAGGTTGGACCTATCAATCAGACTCTGTCCAGAATTCAACCACGACGGATTGACGCTGGAGAGGGTCGTGGAGATGTTCCCACGGCTGTACTCTGTTGCCATAGAACAACCCTTCACAATCGCCCAGTGGGAAGATTTCATCAGGGAATCGGCGGACACACTGAACACGATGCGCCAGGGTCGCATACTAGTGGACCTGAGCTGGAAAAACACGATATTAGACCCCAAGATGAACTACAGTGGCAGTGAGACACTTAAAGCGCGGTGTATCGCCGCGTGCAAGCCCGTGGTGGAGAAGTATATGCCGGACAAGGCAATTCGATGGGAGTTTAGGGAGAACGACGACGTACTCGGCCTATTTTTCGAGGTCTACCTTTTCTGGGGCGGAGCGGAGGTGAGCGGGATTGAGTTTGACCGTGAGTAAAGTGTACTCTGCTTTAGAAACGGTCACATTACCGATCTTGGAGGCGGGTTCGGGTGCCTTTCTTTGTTCTGTATTACATGACATGTGTGGTAAACCGGCGGTCATGGGGCGTCATTGATTGAATCATCCATTCGGGAAAAATAAGCCGGTTCTTCGAATACGACGTATATAAGTGAATGTACAGAACACCTTGAGTGTAGAGGTACCTTTCTATATGATATGCCAAAACGCCCCATAATACATCAAACACAACTCCGAATCACCAACCAAAGCTGATCAGAAACCTCTCTCCGGTGGAGGGATGCCCCCAAGGACATTCACGAATATGTTTCATTCACAACCTTGCCACATGTAGCTCAAGGATCACCTAATACGGGGTACTAAATATGGATTTCATATTGCTATCTGCCGTAGAGTACGTTTTGACTTAACAATCTTTCTCCATAATAATACCAGTTTCATTGGGTGCCCTTGACGTGTTCGACCGCTCTCTGCCTTAAGAGGGTCAGGTACCGGATTGAAAAATTGACCTGCTGGTACTGCTATGGATTGCCTCTTCTTAACACTTGCAAGGCTTGTCAATGCGGTACATGAACCAGTATGACGGCCAGCCGGGCTGTTCGTGAATAAGACGGACGGTGACCTTCTTCGTTCCTACAGAGGCTGTTAGAGACCCCTTCCCAAATTGTGATCACGAAGTGAAACCTTACCTTGAGGAATTCGGAAAGAGCCCCAGAACCCATCGTTAGCAATACACCCGAGGGCTCCCGCACCGTTTGCGGCCCATGAGCTCTTTGGGTTGATGTTGGCCGTATCCCACATATCTTCTCCGAGGCTAAGTCTGCCGTGGGTTCTGCCGACCTTTACGCCATCAGCGAAGACGTCGTACTGTTCCGTAGCCCACGAGACATCTGCCACGGTGAAAATAAGGTCGCCCTCGTAGCTGCTCACGTCGAACTCGACTTCCCTCGCCTGCGTAGTAGTCCGAGCGTCGAGCGTCCAGTCCTTCACCTGGTCTCCGATACAGGGCGTGTGCTTGCTGCAGGCTGCGTAAAACTGGATCTTGGCCGATTCGGAGGCCTTATACGTGACATCGCTGGCTAGGGTTCCTACATTGTTGAGCGGAAGGCTGTTAGAAAAATCTCGATCGCACTACCAAGTCCAAAACTTACCAGCAGGAATCATGTAGTTCGATCCCTTCGCCGGCTTGACCTTCTCCCCCTTAATAAAGAGTTCAAAGTTCTGGCCAGATGTGAGCGCCAACCACGTGTCGAAGGGATACTTGTAACCCGCGACGGCGATGTTCGGATTGGGCACATTTGCCGACCCAGCCCCTGTAGCCCACAACGACTTTTCGCCCTTGTTTACCTCGAGCGAATGCGACTTGCATGGCGACTTATCCTTGGGGCACCTCCACCATTCTTCATCGGGTTTGGGAGTCGGTTCCCCGCACTTATCCTTGCAAAAGAGGTCGACCAGGCCAAGGAGGCTTGTAAAGTAGTGAGTCAAGTCTTCAAACGCATAGGCCTTGTCGTGACAACACTCCGACAGGCTTCCATGGAACCTCTCAGCCAGCTCGAACTTTTTACGATCGCTGCAGCGCCACGAGGGATCCGGGTCGGGGACTTTCCGTAAAAATTAACGGGGGACAATATATTAGCTAGAGGTGACCACTGGTGTTATTTCGCGATGACATCTGGTTATTGCTTACCTGGGGACACGCATCGGGAGTCCTTCAGAGTGTGCCCCTTGGGGCAACACTCCCATTCGCCAGTGTCAGCGTTCCTGTGGAGGGTGTCCACGTCGTCGTCTGGCCCACAGATGGGCCGGCTTTCAACACACTTCCATCTTCCGTCGACCTTGGACGGGACTTGCCCTGTTATCATTTGTGTCAGTGCTATTTGCGAGATCTTTCTGATGGCACCGCGTATGGGCAGGATGAACGCACCCTTTTCCTTACAAAATTCGACCTGTGTATCGTGTTAACCTGCTGTTCCTTTCCTATCTCGAACGGCCATACATACGATGTCTGGGCTTGGAGTGTCGGTGGCGACAACCCCCAGCACATAGGCGAAGAGGGTCATAGGGCCGAAGACTCTCATAATGGAGGCAGTATTGCGGGTTCAAGCTCGTGGAGAAGGGTGATGTTTAGCTCTTGCTGGAGGAGATGGCATGCGGATGACAAGGAGAACTATGAACGATTTCGACCGGCTCAACACCCTTACTTATACACTTTTTACAACACCGGAAGGACATTCTGGACATCAACGAAGGTCCGAATATGACCTCAAGACCTCGGTATCGTGGGTCAAGTACAGGCTCAGCTCACGCAAAGACAAATATTCCTGGGCAACAGATCTCAGCTCGCCACAGTAATGCTCCTTTGAGGAGGCCTGAGGTCGATCAAGGAAAGTGATTACTGATAATAATGACAATCGTGTACTCCTTTCGGTCTAGCTAGTCCGCCAAGCGATCGTGGCTGCATCGGCCCGTCCAGATTCCACATCTTTTCTTCCGCTCCCCACTGGATTGTTTACCCGCAGCTAGCCACAAACACTCAATCGTTCCCTCCCCCACCCTATCATCATATCCCTGGGATTCAGATGCCAGTGGATTAAGCTGCCCCTCGGGATCGACGCTCGATATACATGCATGTCAAGTGCGGGACGGATGCGACCCACCGTCGGATACCCCGGTCGAACGCAACAAAAGAACCGAAAGCAAGCACGAAATAGACCCGCTTCCTTTATTTTTAGCTTTTCACATGGCCTCCTTTTCGTCTTTTACTTCATAATTTGCGCCGTGTGTTCCCTCATACCAGCTTTTAGTCCCCAAAATGAGATTATCCAGTTCTTTGGTAGGAACCAGTGGGGTTAAGAGGCGGTGTGAGGCATTAATGCCATACAAAGTATGATTCATGTGCCTGTGGGGCAGTACGCCCAAAGAGGGAAACAAAACGACAGAATGCCTAGCCAAGATGTCGGAGTAACCTCCATATTGCCTGTGGCTTGCCCGAGAACTGCTGAGATGGCCGCAAAAGTTCAAACTCGTTGTGATCGGCCGAGCTAGACGCCTGTAGAGCTGAAACAACACAATATTGGGTGAATAGTTGCCGTCGCCCTTACCTCAAGGAGCTAAACGAGACGGATGACAACATGTGATGCTTATTATTATTATCTTAGCTGGGACAGGGACGCTGGGTGAGTGATTTGGCTGTTTCCTTTTACACAGTTATGGTGGCTGGCTCAGTACAGCTGAGTTGCCGCCATATTTGCACGACGGCTTAAGTCTTTCTCTTCATAGCATAGCAATTAACATAAGTGCCTGGAGCAGTAAGAAGAGACTGGATAATACGAAGACTGATAAAAAAGGAGCTAGCTGAGATCGAAGTGTTGATCATCGGTCGGGCATGTGCTAGCTGGCTCTGGCTTGAGCTTCATGAGAACGGAAGAACTTGGTTCATATCCAGGAGTTGGAAGCCACCATACTTCGAAGGACGAGGCTCCCTCTCAGGCAAGTTCGATGGCGGTGCCGGATATTTCCTTGGAAGGAAGCTGCCCTCTCATCTTCCCCTCACCTTGGTGGAACCATGGAACGCAGTGGAAGGATCAACGCGTGGACGACTGCGACAACGGGTTAGCGGTTGCTGGCGCCCAATAGCCTCTGCCATTATAAGATGCTCGTGGTGTAGCTTTTTTACTCTTCCACGCTTCGATTTTTCATCCCGGCCTGCCATCTTTATTACTCGGTCATTTATTCCGGTATTGGGAGTCGCCAAGGGCTGAACGTATCCTTCCAGCCGGCCCTCTTCTCTTTAGCGACGATCTTTTCGTGGCTCGGCCTAAAGTATTTGGCGAACTTTCGACTTCCCCTAGATGAAAATCGGTTCGCTGATTAGTTTGCTGCAAACTACTTCCTCTTTTAGTGATCGTTTATGTTCCTTTCTACTTCGGTTACCAGCTTCTGAGACGGGGGAGGAGGACCCGAAACGTTATTACATTTCCCCTGGTCCGCCTATCCTGGGACAGCACATGAAATGAAAGAGAAATACAAATAGGAAGAAAAATTCATGAAATAAAATAACATAAAGGGGGCCAAAAAGATTATCGGGACCTGCCGTTGCCAGCCTACTGAGAAAAACCCATTACATCCTGGTCCAACCAGGGGTCGAACCAAGAACACCTCTAGCGCTTTCACCAGCTGCCCGGGGGATGAAGGCCTGACCGTTCAGCTTAGCCGGTAGATCCCTTAATGTGAACTGGAATCATCCACTGCTATATAGTTTCGCTCCTTCTTCGGTGGTGGGCGGCGTGGGCTGGGTGGTTCCTTCATCCAGTGATGGGACCCCTGATAATCGACGGGAGTAAGAGCGTAAGAGGCGATATCTTAACCATGAAGGCCTTTAACAAACTAATCGATTATATAAATACATGGTTACTTCTCCTGGGAACTCAGATTATATCTAGCCCTTTCAGATACGTCTCGACGTCTGTCAACTGAATACTCCTTGCCGCGTTGATAGTCTGTGATAATGGCCACGCCACTCCCCTTCCCTGCGCAAACGTGTCGCGGTATTTGACCATTGTGTTATTGGGGTCCTCCTCCAGCTGCTTCTTCAGGGTCTGTGGGTCCCACAACTCTCGCGTGAAGGAAGTTTCGAAGCGCTCACCGAGGTACTCAGCCAACTGCGCATAGCTAACCGTGTCTCCGGCTGTATACACAACCTGATTTTTGATGTCGCGCGGATCAAGAATCACGTCGGCAGTTACCCTGCCTATATCCGTCGGCGTCGTTACGGTAATGCTGTTTTCCCAACCACCCAGGGCCCGAACGATCCTCTTGGCAAGATCCACGACGCCGAACGCGGGTATGAATAAGAAGCTCATGAACAAACCCGTCGACACAATGATCCATTCCGTTTCCTGCTGGCCCCTCAGCGTCTTCCTCACGGCCAGTTGCTCGTCAAAGAGGTCCTGGGAGCTGCCCTCCCCGATGATGTCATAGTCCATGCCGAACTGCCACGGAAAGTATCGCCGAACCTTGGCTTCCAGGACCGCGTCGAGGATTTTCTTCTGCGTGTCGGGCGGAAGTCCCATTCCCGTGCAACTTACGACGGTGTCGTAGTGGCTGAAAATTGCCGCCAGCTCGGGTACTGAGTCGAGCGTAATATTTCCCGGCTCAAGGTGCACACCCAGGGCCCGCAAGGTCTCCGTCGTCTTTGCCTTGGCTGGTTCTGTCGACTTTATAGTTGATTGGCGCAAGAGAACAGACAGCTTCGTGTCGTTGCGTTTCGGGTGCTTTGCCAAGGCTTCGAGAACGGCGAGACCAAGCTCACCAGCACCGAGTACGAGGACGCCTTGGGCCATGTTTGTTGAGTTGGATTGGTTGAAGAGAAGAAGGAAATATATCTAGTAGCCTGCTCGGAATTGCTCAATTCTTTCGAAGGCATTTGCGGTGGTATATATACATATATTGATAGGTTTCACCTCCAGAGCCAGAGCATAAGGTGATTTAGTACTGAGGTACATGCTTGATGCAACTGGCTGACACAGCGATTTCTTGATTTATCAGCATCTGCAGATTACAACGAACTTGGCGACAATTGTTTCCGACCTTGTCTGTTCGATTCCCTTTCTGCGAAAATGGCCTGGGGAGGATTGGCCGGATCGCAAGCGACTTAGTAGCTCCATAAATAGCATGGGCAAGGTATACGGAGTACAGATGGCATGGAAGCTAGTGGAAGTTATCTGGGGAACCCACTGAGCAGTCCGAGCATTCAACCCGACTTTGGTGTCACCGACATATTCTCATCGTAGGTGAGCAATGACTGATGTCATATCGGATATTAACCATCAGGTCCTTCGATGTTAAATCCGATTAGAATCTCGTCGAATCATCATTCATGGTTTTGTCCGAAACTCGGAACAGAGACGCTGATCCCCGATTCCCGGCTTGGACGGGGCTAAGGTGGGCTTGTCTATTACACATAACTAAACCACTCGAGGAGCGGACGGGATTAAGGTATTAAGAGAGTACTTGGTTCGGCCGAGACACATGTTTTCACGGATGCAAGCGTGCCATATTCACATCAAGCCGGCGACGAAGTTACCAATCAATGAGACCGAAGGAAGGGAAAAGTGTCGGGGGTGTGTGATGGCTCGATTGTCCGTGGATGGCGCCGCCTTCGTATCAAACCCCGCTTCCTCCATGATAGCACTACGAGACGAGAACGGCCCGGACCTACCGCCCTTGACGCGGGACTATCGGTGCTAAGTGGTGTGGACTACCCAGCCAGTCTCACTACGACCGAAGGCTCCTGCCAATGGTTCGGCCGAAAAGAGGGACGGCCGGACGTATGCCTTCTACGGATTTCCCTGTTCGTTTGTCTCTATAAATGGGGAGTATAGCCCACGACGAAATGATTAATTCGACAGAATATCGACATCCAAAGAAATACGCACCCAACACTCCCACCATCTTTATCTATCCCCCTCTTTACAACTTGTCTCGTTTCTGCGCTCGTACCCTCGCCAAAATGGATTCCCTCAGCAGTGGCCCCATTGCAGATCTTCTTAAACAGCTCCACCAGGAAGCCGAAGCAGCTGATCAGCCATTGCTGGAAGCTTACAGTAGCGGCGCCGACGGCGAAGAAACCGACTACAAAGATATCATCGGCCAGTTCATCGAATCTGAAACCAAGGATCTAAACAAAGTCTACAGCGGACTTGCCGGCAACTTCCTGAGCGTCTCCCCGGAGTTCGGACGCTTCCTCTACATGTCCGCGCGTGCCTGCAAAGCCAAGCGCATCGTCGAGTTCGGCTCCTCCATGGGCATCTCCACCATCTACCTGGCCGCGGCCCTGCGAGACATGGGTGACCGTGACGGTGATCGCCGCTTGATCGGCACGGAACTCGAGCCCAGCAAGGCCGAAAAGGCCCAGGCAAATATTTCCGCGGCTGGACTGACTGACCTTGTCGAGCTGCGGGTCGGCGACGCGCGGGACACTCTCAAATCGGGCGTCGGCGGCGATATCGACATGGTGATGCTCGACGGTGCATTCACGCTGTATCTTCCGGTTCTCAAGCTTCTGGAGCCGTATCTGAAGCCGGGCGCGCTGATCATCGGGGAGAATGCCTTCAAGGAGGCTGGCGGATATATCGACTATGTCCGCGACCCGCAGAACGGCTATCTTTCGATTCCCCTTCCTTTCGATTCGAACCGCGGAAATGAATTGACGATCAAGACGAAGTGATCACTGTGGTGGACAACTTCTGCTCATTGACCATCTTGTTAGATAAGCCTACTGGGGATCACAGCTGGATTTTGTAGGTTGGATTTTGCAGGACGAAAGGTTCAAGTCCTTCTTTTTCCGTAACAAGTATGCATCGTGGGATCGGGTAATAAACACGAGGCACTTTCGCTTGCAAGATGTTCTTCTGCACGATTCGTCCCTAGCTAGAAATACCACGAAAACTCCTCTCATACAAATGACATGTCTTTCGTATTGTCCCGATTCCAACCCCGCTGTGAGCAAAACATTGTCCACCCTCGTCATCGACGTCCATTTGGCTCGGCCGTTGCGCTAAACAGCATGTAGTCGTAGCCCTTAAGCAAATCCATCCATCCATCCAATCTTTGACGACATTCCAATACGTGGCTACCATCACTTCCCTGTTTATCCATGGCTGCCTTGGCTGTTATTTGGGGAAAACTACCCATTGGGTTTTATTGTTCCCAAGATTGAACCGTTGAGCTATTACCAAACCTGAGATATTCAACGCCCTGGCCCTTGGCTCTATAAATAACTGCCCATTTAGTGGTGAGTTCCCGAGTTCCCTCTAGTCTACTGCTCCTCTTGAGCATGATTCCTGTTCCTTTCCACTCTGGTCGGTCGCCTGATAGCTTTCGGTCGTTTTATAGAGCTGTGACACCGAATTGGAGATAATTAAAATGGAGCTGCTGTCGAACCCAACCTCGTCTGACCCTATTAACTCCAAGGCTTCGGCGAAGCAGCAATCGAGGCATTCCTCATCAGCTAGAATAGTTCGCGAGTGTTCTGGTAATGATGGCTTGCGAGTCCGGATCGCTGCAGCCCGCACGTTGTCGCCACCAACTCTTCCATCGCAGAGCATGACTGGCTTACCATCGACGCGTGCTTGTATAATCGGGTACTGGGAACAGTCAACCAGAATGTTCCTCTTGGATAGGTCACCACATCGAGAAGCCGACCTCGAACAGTTCACGAGACCCCTCGCCTTAAGCGCAGACAAGACTAGACACCCAGGAGAGATGGGAACAGTCGCACAGCCTGTCCCAAGGTCGCCTGTTGCTAGGACGTAGGTAACCCGGAGGGATTTCGGCGTCTCTGTAAGCCTCAAGGATATCTGGCTGAGCTTTGCCAGCAATGCATTAGCCGTTGGTCGCGGGGCGTGTTGCGAAGCTAGGCTGTCCTGAACGATTCGGAAAGTCTTGCGGTCCTTTTCAATCCGGCCTGGCACGACATGAACGAGCCCAGTAAGCTCTGGGTTGAGCGTGAATTCCCTCAAAATGTCCAAGTACACACAAACTCCACCTTCGCTCATCGCAGTGGTTCCTAGACTGGCTCCTGGCCACTTGGCTGGATACAGGTGGCCTGTGAATAGTATCAAGGCATCTGTTAACCGATAAACATAGTCGTGTCCGATTCCCCGCTCGAAGAAGTCGAGGATGAATGTGATAGATCTTGGTCTCCTTGATTGCCTCTCGAATGGCCTCCTGAGCTGCCTGTCGTAAAATTCCTCGAGTCCGCTGCGCATGGGGCATAAACCATCTGCGACGGAAAGACTCGCAAGCGTTTGAGCGACGACTAAAACCGTCTCCAACATAATTACCAGACAGAAGCTCCCGGTATCCGTCTTGCCCCAGTCCCGGCACATGACACAATTGCACAATCCCTGAATGACCGTCAAGTTTTCCTCATATTTTGACTCCGCGTCCTCTATTTTCATGCGAACGGCTTTCTCCATGCCGGGTTGAGCGGGCAAAAGTTCTGGAAACCACTGCAAAACAGTCCGGATGAAGCCATGTCCGTGGGACCTGGAAGAATATGAACACCATTTCACACGTGTCATTTTATCGAGAACTGGTACCCCAAGCGCAATTGCCTTAAAGATACGAGCCGCAGATCCTAAGACCATTCCGACGTTCATAGGAGTTCTCATCAACTTATCGAAGTTGCTTCCAAAGGTGGATTTCAAACAGGAATCCCAGGAAACGCGGCCGCTAACGATCGCGCAGCTCATGGCCCCCATCTCCCGAAAAATAAAGTGGGCGCAGTCATCAAGTACATATGTTCTGCTTGCCACTTCGACCTCGTTGCTAAGAGGATTGGAACTGCCGAAAGAGATGTGTACTTGCGGATCCTCACTCAAGGGAAAATTCGAATATACCATCTCTCCCTGTTGATTGTAAATGACGACCCTGAGGCCGTAAAGCCACTCCCCAACAGCTGCAATCCATCCTACCACAGAGCATCCGGTAATTCGGATGGCTTGCAGGCTTCCGGACGCCACTTTTCCAATGCCGATTATGGCAGCGGCGAGCTTCTCGGGGAGAGGACATTCTCGAAAACTAACCGCTAACTCGGCAGCTTTGCTGCGCAGTGGCCTCAGATCCAGTTTCATGAGACCCTCGGCGAGAAGGGGAAACTTTGTGGTCGAAAAAACCCCCTCACAGGCGCGAATGATCATTAGCCACTGGCTGAGCGAGGGCATGAGCTGATCGGGAGGATTATGTTGTAAAACTATGTTGTGCATAACGTCGGCCGCAAAGTCTTCATGGTAGCATTCCGCGAGCGCGGCGCAAAGAGCCAGCAAACCGCATCCCTGGTCGGTAGCCCCCAGAGTCCGAGCGAAACTCTGAATGCCAAAGCCAAACCAGAGGAGGTTTCCATACCCGCCATGGCTGGGTAGGGCAGTTAACGCAGCCTGCACGTTCTGTCGACCGATACGAGAGAGAGGGAACTTCTGTGCTATCGCTTGGCCGATGACGAGGCTGTATGGATCTACTCCAGCGGCTGCGAGGCGACTCAATACCCCGACTGAGAAGGATACTGTTTTTTGGGTGAGGTTGTCCCAATTGACTGCCCCTTGCAGTTGGAATGATCCGGCAGCGAGCGGCGAAGATGAATCTGCTGAGCTCATGTCTGTCTCGATGGGTGGGTCTGGTAGTAGTTAATGGGTGAAATGTACTTCGTATTCTCTCCGGCTTCGTGTCGCCGGTTTGCTGAAGCTTATTGAATAACTCAGTACCCCGCTCAGATCACGCTTACGGAGGAAATGCTGTCCTTTATAGAGAAATCGACGTTACACTTTGTGTGGTCCCAACGTACGATACGCAACACCGTCCTTTGGACACGAATTTCGCGGCCCATTACATTAAAACTACGAATGGACATCAATCAGTTTACTTGAAATGCCGTGTAACTGTGTAACATACACCGCCCCCACAGAGCCTGGCGACCCCCAGAGATTCCCTCCCCCACAACAACAGACGCACACGATTCGTCTAGGAACCCCGGTTTCCCCTACAAGGGACTGCTGGTATTTCGCGAGGGTAGTCTGGGAGTGTTAAAGTCGTTGGAAATTACATCCATGTATGATCTACTTAAACGAAGTAAAACCAACACTATATAATACAAGGTGTGATCCCGTCGTGATACCCAACAAGTTCTTAGTGTCACCCTCCGTCACCCTCCATTCCTCACCTCGACCCCTCTTCTCGTATTCGGGTAACGTAGCGGGGTGACCACTAAGAACGTGCTTGCCCTCTGAGAAGCAACAGGTGTCTCTCTCTCCACAGTTGACGGAGAAGGGGGATATGACCCACCATCCACGTCTGACGATGGGCTGATAGAGGATCGTTTCGAGAAAAATGGAGATATCCTCGAAAGCCTGCGCAGATATCCGCCTTGATGATGGCTGGGCTCCCTGTGTGGGAGGGGATTCATAGATAAGGGGCTGATAAGATCTGGAAGTCGTGACGGTTCGAAGGGAGGGGGCTTGCTTGGCAGAGGCGTATCCGGAAGAGGCCAGGCGACAGTGATATCTCTTCGTGGCAGAGTAGGAGGAAGAACAGCCGCAGTCTCGGCAACGTCACTATGTGTCCTACTAGGCTTTGACGACTTGCAGGGGAGCATCTTAAGCAGGAATGCAGCGATTGTTTGGCCTGGAGACGGCAAATGCGCACCGTCCTTGGCTTCGAGATCGATATATGTGTTTCGATTTCGTCGTTTCCGAATGAAGAAAAGCAGGATTCCGAGTATAAACGCACACCCAGCTGCCGGTCGGTCAGTTAGATTCGTTAGGCAAGTAAATGCAGGGAGTCCTACCGGCAGTACTCAGTGATATCCCCACCACCTGACCTGCGGAGAGCCCTTTCATGGTCATGACCATCTCCGGAGAAGGCTCGGAGGATTGTGTAGCTTCGGTGGTTGTCGTTCCGATGGGAGTCACTCCCCAAACAGACGTAGATGTCGCAGAAACGCTGGAGGCGACGAATCGAGTCTCTAGGGTGGAGCTAGATGATAGGCTTTCCTGGGATATTTGGGATGTTTGGGATGTCTGGGATGAAAGGGGAACAAAGCTGATCAATAGAGTTGACGACGGCGAAGGGTCGGAATTAGTTGTCAAAGGTGGTTGCAAAGCCGGTGTCGATGAAGTTTGAGTTACAGCTGACGTCGAAATCGATGTCGACGATGACTCTGTTGTCTCAGGCACGGGTGTTGTCGGTGGCGGTGGTGGAGCTGGCGGCGACGGGAGAGGCGGAGGAGACGATGACCTAGGGCTCGGCGGGCCAGGAGTGGGCGGACCAGGGCTGGGCGGAGGTCGAGGAATGACCGTTGGCCTTCCTCCATTCCCTTTACCCCGGCCCTTGTTATGTTCGTCGCCATCTTCATCCTCATCCCCATTCTCGTCTTCCTGGCTATTGTCGTTCCCCTGGTCGTCCTCGATTTCGTCAACAATCTGACGGATACTCGGAACAAAAGCCCTTTTCCGTCGTCGCAAAAGGCTCATGATTAAACTCGATACATATCCAGCCCGTCTGCTTCTTCGAGACCACGGAATACCCCCAATGGCTTTTCAACAGGTAGTTCTGCAGTCTAGTTGAACAACAAGTCCAGTCGCTCACTATAAAGGAGGCCAAAAATTTATTGAACATTTCAGCGGGGTTTAAATAAACGAACGGACTTGAATGCGCTGGCCCGCACACCCACCCTCGCCCATGAATAGGAAACAACCAAACCCACAGCCTCACTCATTCAGCGTTAGTTCAAACACTCTTTCGACGGAACCACTGTCCCGTTTCCAAGTTCACACCCCACAATCTGCCAGATGCAATGTTAATTGGCGTGATCTAGTTGATGTGCGACGATCTCCTCCCGCTCGGGCCAGGTTCCTTGGCCGGGAGCGAGGGACCTGCAGAGGGGTCCGTTTCAGAATGCGACCGTATCCTTGCGCTCATCACCAACCACTCGACTGGAAGGACACGCGTGGGAAACATAGGTAGTCTTTCGTTTCACATTCTGCTGTGTAGTGTGTCTATTTAGGTTGATACCTTTCCCCATGCAAGAGTGTGCATGCCATGTGTTCACCTGGCGGGTTCGGTATCCGTCCTAAGATTCCCAGGCCAGCGGGGAAAGTTGCTGCCGACGGAATTACCAGGAGCTTAATTATGTTTCAGGTTGTTCAACATATTTTTCTCGATGACTGGACGCAGCCTACGATCTGGAGCAGTGGACACTCCTCGTATTCACGACCCTTCGATCACTTAACTTCCCTCGTATCGTCTCTAGGTTAATCTCGTCAACGACTCGTAGTGCGGCGATCAACAAACCCATGCTTGCCCAAGGTTGAGGCGCCTTCCTTGTAGAGGCCCACGTTGCCTATCACGCCGTGATTATATTCTGACCTGGGATAGCTGAGCCTGTTCTCCTGCTCCTCCCGCGACGCCCTTAACAACACACTTCGTCTCCTGCCTCGGATTTCACAGTAAACCAGAAGAAGTAGGCCTCTTGAGTCGATTCTAGGCTCGGCAGGAACAAACTCACTACGAAGCAACATACTTTCCTGCCGGGCGTTGTTTTTTATTTTTTTATTTTCCCCCCCATTCTTGGGCCATGTGCATGTCCCTGTGTGGCTTTTCCTACCCCAAGTCAGTAACTGGACTCGTGTTTCCCACCTTCACCACGAGATTGAAAGGAGGTCCTGCCTTTTGCACCGAAAGATGCGAGGTTACTCCGTATTGCATAAAGAGCCACTAGGGATGTCTTCTAGAAATAGCACAATGTACGCACCAAGAGACCGGATAATGTCCCACATCCATGCGACTACATAAAGCCTTTGATCCTTTGCTGGCGTGGACACCATGTACACAATGCACACCATTTGACATCTACAAAAGCGCCTGTCTCCGTGGAGCAGGGGAAAAAGAGGAAGATTGAGAAAAAGTAGGCATCAGGTCATGATGCAGAGGGTGGCTTGCTGCAAAGGAGGTCATTGGATCTTAAAAACAGGCGTTCATGGCTGAGCATGAAAAGTCAACTGCAGACACAACCAATAACATCCCGCCATGACACCTCGCAGAACAAGGCACTCTCTCAGGCGGATTGAGAGTCGCAGCCCAATATCGTCACGAAAGGGAAGTCAACCCTTCATCTTCCCCTCACACCTTCGTAGAACGCTCAACTCGAGACATAACCATTAACGACAATCGAGCACCATGGACCCTTTTTCGGCACTGGCCGTGGCGACCGCGGCGCTCCAGGTCATTGATTTCTCGGCAAAGCTGGTTACAACGGGTACTGAGTTGTTTAAACACGGTTCTACCAACCGGACTATTGATTTGGAATGGGCAGCTACGGAGCTACGGGACTATACTGAGCGTCTGCAGAATGCGCTGCAACTTGGTCCTAATACCCGCAGCCTTGCCGAGGCCGAGTCTGTGAGTATCGGTTTTACTTGGGAAAGGGGAGAAAAAAAATGATGTACTCACGCACTGCAGAAACTTTGCGATCGTGCCGGTGAAGCTAAGCAGCTGGCAGAAGAGCTCTTGCAGCTCATCAACGAATCGAAGAGAAGAGTCGGGAAAAACAAGGTGTACGAGGGTTTCAGATCAGCCTTGGTTACCATCTCGACCAAGTCGAACATTGATCGCATAGAAAATAAACTAGACTCTCTCCGCAAGGACCTTGTTTTGCATATTCTAGTCACGCTCAAACTCCAACACCAACTCGCCAGCGCTCGAAGCGATGGTAGGTTCGAGTCTCTTGGCAAGAGCGCCAAGGCCATTGCCGAAGGGATTCTCGATAATCGAAATTACTTCACCACGGGCATAAAAGACCTGGAAGGCGCTATCGAGGAGCAAGGTAGGGGGATCCAAGAAAGACTCGAGGAAACCGTGGCTGCCATCGCAACTTTGCAGCAGACGTGGATGTCGGAAGAGTCTCTCCCCAGACGAGCCGTTGGATGCAATGACCTATCGAGCGTGTTTACACAAGATAGCGTTGCGGACCTTCGAAAACTTCAGGCTGATATCGTGGACTTTTTATGGTTCAGAGACATTCACGCTCGAAGAGACAGGGTTATGGATCCGTACGAAGAAACATTTAGCTGGATTTTTGATGACAAGGACGACGCCACCGGATTTCGTAAGTGGCTGAGGACCGAGGGCGGTTGTCTATGGATGTGCGGAAAGGCCGGATCGGGAAAATCGACGCTCATGAAATTTATCTCGAAACATCCTACAACAGCTAGGCTCTTAGAAGATTGGCGCTCCGAGTACACCATGCTCACAGCCACATTCTATTTCTGGAACGCCGGAAACACCCTTCAGAAATCGCAGGCTGGCCTTCTGCGATCCATTCTATACGACGCGCTCGAGAAGCATCCTGAGCTCATCCCCGTCGTATTTCCAATGCACTGCCGGTTGCTCTCTCGAGGACGAACACTGGACGGAGAGCCAACGCTGGACGAACTCAAGACAGCATTTTCGAACCTGATGAAACAAGAAGTCGTCCCGATGAAGATATGTCTGTTCATTGATGGCGTGGACGAATTCGAGGGTGACCATGAAGAGTTTGGAAGGCTTTTAACATTGGTAGTCTCGCACCGCGTCAAACTGATGGTTTCAAGCCGACCAACACCTGAATGCTACGATATTTTTGACGGCTTTCCGCGGTTTCAGTTGCACAACTTCACTCAGAAAGACATTAGGCGATATGTTGAGGGGCATTTATTCCCGCAAGGCCCTGGCCGGTCCATAGAGTCGTCGAGAATAAATTCCAGCGACATCTCCAACCTGATCGACGAAATCATGGAAAAGGCATCGGGAGTATTCCAATGGGTGGCATTCGCTACCAAAAGTCTGCTTTCCGGGCTTCAAAAACTGGATAGTCTCGATATACTGGCCCAAAGGTTACGGGAACTACCGCCGGATCTCAATGATCTATACCGGCATATGCTAGCGAAAGTCCATCCTAGATACCAGGAATATTCAGCCATTATCCTCAGAACTCTTTGCCGATATATCCATGGCGGAAATTTCGAGCCCATGACCCTCATCCGCTTAAGCTTCGCAACTGACGGGGTGGAGGCGGCTCTTGATGCCGGGTTTTGCCCCTTCGATATACAAGATGGACTGGTCAGATGCAGACAGATGGTACAGCTCATAGCGAATTCATGTTGTGGCCTGGTTGAAGTAAACTGCATACCTCGATCAGGGTCCCGTATTACGGGTGTTAGGAGAAAGAGTGAATCAGGTTTTGAAACTCATCTACCTAGGGCCGCTGATCTGCTTGGCAAAGCAACGCCGGAATTTCCATTCGGGGTAGAATGGTTGACTGCGGAGGTTTGTTTCCTCCACAAGTCAGTCGTTGACTTCTTATACACCCCTGGTGTCGAAGAGGTTCTTATTGCGCAAAGCCAACGACACCCTGAGCCATCCCTCACCCTAGCTGCAGCGAGCTTAAGATATCTAAAAATGCCCTCACCAACAAAGATGTCCATTGGTGGGCTTTTATTTCTAGGATCGGTCGAGATCGAGATAATCCAAATGTTTTACCAATTGTTCGAGTTCGAGCATAGAAATGGGCCAGGAGAGATCATTCTTGACCTTCTCAAGCAGTTCGATGTGGCTGTAGGTGAACATAAAAATACTATTACGGGAATGGCTCCAATACGCATGATTCGAAACAGATTGGCCCCCATACCCCGGTTACGTCCTCTCGATCGACCAGACAATGAGGAGTATACGACCCCATACCTTGGAAATCCATGGTACCGTCACGCAGACATCCTACTGGCTCTATCATGTGATGCTGGTCTGAGCCACTACATCAAAAGCATGTTCAACCGGCTGGTAAACATGCCCCCTAACCCGGCCGAAGACCCGAAGCTCTCCCGAACTTTCCAGGCGGTTCTCTCCTATGTCGTTAACAGCTGGGCTACGCTTAGGTTTCAATCTTTTTACCACCATGAAGAACGCTGGGCTTCTCAGCTACAAATACTGCAATTGGCCTTGAGACACGGCGCGGACCCCAATTACACGTTCGGGTCGGACATGTCACCCTGGGCCGTTGTAATGAGTCACGTTCCGAGTGAGCTATGGAATCTTGGGTTACCCGGCGCGCAGGCATGGTGTGACTTGGTCGAGGAGATGGTCGAAGGCGGTGCTGACGTCAACCAGCTCCTCCCATTGAACGGGGCGTGGTGGGAGGATAATGACCGCGGCCGCTCGCAGAGACTGCGGACTCCGTTATTATTAGTGAAGATTGTTTTATCAAATTTGGGGAAACTGACGTCGAGAGCAGAGAAGCGGAAAATAGATCTCTTGTCAGAGAGGCTGCAGCCGAAGCTTATCGAACGAGGGGGAATCTGCAGGGAAGAATGGGTAACAAAAGACCAAGACAATCAAGAAATGGCGCCCGATGATGGGTTCCGTCCTTGTCGCGATTCTGAGGCAGACACCGAAAACGAAAGAGAAGGAAATCAATAAGACTCGGAGCTCCAAAGGAGCGGGAAATGAACGATACCTCGCACCATATAAAGTTTGTGGATTATGCCAGGCGGCGTTAGGACCGAAGTTTCATCGACAGATGAGGAGCAGTTGGCGTCAGACGGAACCACAGTTTACATGCTATGACGACAGAATTCGTCTAGGTCATTTCCTCCACACAATGAGCACGAGGGTGGTGAGCCTTCAAGTGAAGATTGGGCTCATGATGAAGTAGTTGGGTTTCAGTGACGTATAAAAAGGCGGGCATTTTCCATTGCCCGGAAAAAGCCAGCGATTCAACTCTACATTCTTAACCATTCTACAACGCCGAATAAACAATACGCCAAATATGGAAGACCGATCGAACCGAGAGCGAGGCCTGAAGGCCGCCATCCACAATCCCCACGTTTCCGAAGAGGCCAAGCAACACGCTCGCGAGGCCCTCAAAAACGAGTTTGGTGAGGAGATTGACACCTCTCCTAGCGCCCCTTCGGGCAAGCCCCACCCGGCCAAGCCCCACCCGGCCAAGGATCCGGAGCATGTGTAGGTGCCACCCCATCCAAGTTTCCTCTTCTTGGGCGTCCCCTGCCCGGGGAAATGAACTAACCATGCGGTAAAGCGCCCGAGGATTAAAGGGTGCGACCCACAACCCGAGGGTTTCAGAGGAGGCCAAACGGGAAGCACAGCATCGTTTGGATGAGATGTAACTTATTTGGCGGGGGGCCGTTGTGTGTCCAGGATGTATGATCTGAGCCAAGGCGGTAATTGGGAGGATACACTCAGTCTCGCGCGAAAGCTTAGCTTGAGCAATTATTCAGTCGTTCAATGAAGTTCAACTCTTTCTTTACCCATTCTGCAACGTCATGGCTCGCTCACTAAAATCTAAAATTTACTCCAATGGGCGACTGGTCTTGTAGCTTGTAGGGTAATCCATTACACGCCCTCAAGCCACCTCACGATCGAACGCATCATGATCCCTTCCTTGTACCCAATAGCAGCATCAAGCGCCGGCTGAACATGCACCTCGTCCTCGCACTCCACCAAAACAAAATCTTTCCCATCCAACACGCTTAAATCAGTGCTCGGACTGGCAACAACAGTCTCGGCGTGGACGTGATCCCGTGCAAAGGCCGTGCAGCTATCCAGCATGACCTCGGCCTTCCCCGTCGTCACTAGTGCCTTTCTCACCACGCCCTGTGATGAACCCCGCCCAAACACTTGGTTCCAAACTTTGTTTGCATCCGGTGCATCGTATAGATTTGCCCATACTTCCTTCTCGTTGGGGTTCCACTCGTGCTTGAACTGCAAGGCTTGTGTCTTGTCTAGGTAGTCTTTGCCGTCGTTCGTCACGAAAGTCTCCTGGTTAACATCCATCATGGTCCAAGGGCACACAAACACCGCCGCTTTCAGCCGGCTACCTGCAAGATCTACTGGCGGAGCATAAGGGGATGGCGACACCAAATGTGCGAGCAGCGAGCCGACGAGGTTGCCGCCCGCGCTGTCCCCGGCAACCATGATATTCTCAACCTTCACGGAGCGGGTCTCTAGAAGGTACCGGAAGGCGGCGACAGCTTGGACTACCTGGGCTGGGTACTGATACTCTGGAGCGAGCGCGTACTCTAGGAATACAATTTCCCGCGCCTTGCAAGCCCCCGCACAGGCCAATGCGAAGGGCACATGACCAAACGCCCTCATCGGGTTGACGTAGCCACCTCCGTGAAAATACAGAAGCGTCGGGCCCGTCGCCGATGCCGAAGGAGGGCCGACAAAGTGAAGCGTTGGTGGAGGGACATTTACGTCGGCCTTGAAAACAGTGCTGGAATCCTCGAGCGTGACGACTTCAAGGGAGAGTCCGTTTTTGGCGGCGTATCCTTTGATCCCGGCTCCGGTTAGGACACGCCGGAGATTCCGGCGACGCAGCCCGGCGGGGAAGACGGCTCTCTGGGCCTTGATGAAGGCGAGCGCTAGCCTCTGGCGCCAATGGAGCGATGTATTCCTCCTGAATGAGAATGCGGCAAGCAATCGCAAGACTAAAATGCGTGGCAGATGAAGTTAGTTGGCTATCCGCTCTATCCGGTCGTATTGCTTCTTGATGAGATGGGTTTGAACACGCATACTAAAGACAGGAAGCAGGCCATAGAACACGATTTTATCCCGGACGGACGTCGCTATTGAGGGGGTTTGGTATAGCTTTGTAGCCATCTTGTGGTGGTGGAAACGAAGTAAAATTGTGGAGAAACAAATAGTTGCCGCTTCTCAATCGAAAAGTCATTGCCTGCAGATAACAAATCAAGCTTGTCCTAGATCCGAGTCTGGGGAAATCCGCGTGCACCTACTATCTGCTGGGATACATGCCTCGGCATAATCCCAGCGGCTTCTTAAGTCCGTTCTTATTTCATCCTCGACTCACCGTTTTCCGCGAGATTGTCATTATCCCAGACTCACGTGATATTTTCAGTCTTTGCTTAGGCTGGATGAGGCCGAACTCAGCTTTCGTGAAAGAGCTCTGGCATCTCCTTAAATTGCCAAATTTATCTCATACCAGGACGTAAATCCGCCCTACGTAACAGGGGGGGACCAGAACTCGAATACAAACGGAGACCAATCCAGGCTCATAGCACTCTCGTTACGGGATATGATCCTTCACGTGTGATACTCTGCACCATTTGTCTGCTAGTCCCTGCTCCTCTCCAATCTTAACCTACCCCATGTAAAATGGGAATAATTAGACAAGTCTAAATCTCTGGACATCTTCAGTTTGCACCCAATAACGAAACCAATCGGGGACAATCCAAGATGAGTTGCCAAAACCCCCACGACTCTCACTAACTCGCGCAAACCCCACTCGTCGGTAAGACGGCATTCCCTCCCAGGTCCCACCGCGTTCCATGATAATGCAGTATGCGCCTTGACTACATAGGATAGTTGGCAGTAGGTAAAGGTCGGCGTCTCCATCGATATCACCGTCGAACACTACCCAGCCTCGATTAGGCTTTCTGGACGCAGACACCCAGACGTTGTGCCGTAATAAGCTGTATAAGCCGAGACTGAAAACCTTGGCCGTTACCAGAAGGGAGGCTTCTATGATTTGCCCAAATACATCGCCGTCTCGTGCTTTTACAGATGGTAGCACAGATACTAATGGGCACACTTGATCAGAGACAACGGGAATCCTATAGTCGATGGGCCCCTCGACAGAGGCCCAAGACCATGATGGAGCTTTATTCATTAGCATGAAGCACAAGGGCCTCCTCATAAAACGTACATACCTCGATAGTTAGCAACATGTCGGGTTGCCACCGTTGGGGTCCATCCGCCACTTCCCCTACAGTCCAGAGTAGGTCTTCGGCGATGTATTCCCTCCACAGACCAGCAAAATATTCTGACTGCATACCTGACTTGATCGTCCTCGCTATTCCTGACATTGCCACAAGTTTGTCGTCTGGTTTTGTGAGGGCGCACCGGGAATATTGACGAACCGCCCGTCTCCAGCACCCATGGACGTTCTCTTGACCGACGAGGAGATTTGGCCAGATCTTTCTCTGTGGAACTAGGGGGTACTGGTATTCGACATGGTAACCTTGACGGCTGCTGGAAAGGCCCTCTCGGCACTCCCAAATGAGAGGGGTTCCAAAGTACATGGTACGCCGAGACAGGAGGCTCTCCTGGAGGACCCAGCCGCGGTTCATCAACGGCCACTTGGGGATTCTAGACAGGAGAAACCTAGCTGAATCGTAAATGACCATGAACTCCTCAACCTTTCCCTGTAGCTCAAGTAGTAATAGGAACTCTGTCTTCACAACCGGTTTAGCGATGTCGATGAAACCATTCTCGAGCTTACCAGCTTCAGCCGCTGCGAGAGTGCAGAAAGCATTGCGATAAACTAGGTGCATTGTCTTGGATTCCGCTCTCCAGTCCTGTTCGGAGTCTTGGATGATGCAGAGCGAGTCGATCCACACGTATGGAACTCTCAGCTCCTGCGCAATCTTGATTGCGTCCTGAAATGTTTGCCGAAGCTCTCTGAGGGGTATATGCTTCCGAAAACGCTCTTCATTTCCGGAATCAAGAGTAAGGAAAGAAGATGTCCCCCATCTGTGGCTTAAAGCCAGGTACTGTATTGGTGTGTTGGAATATAGGTCGCGTGTCAAAACAAGCTTTGGCTGGAACAGTCCGTCTGCTGATCCGACAAAAATAAGTCGGCTCGGGACCCAGGAATCGTCGACGTCTTCGTTACATTTCGAGTTGGTCTCCTGACAACGGCGAAGACAACACTTGGTCATGTCATATATCCGATCTCTGCATGAGGGGGGCGGGGGTTCTGCTTCCATAGCCCTTAGTTTGTAGAGCACCTCGAGGTACGGTTGCTCCTCTCTCGGAACTAAGCTCAATAGCAAGATTCCTTCTCGTCAACACAGTCGCAGAAGTATAACCGTGGTACACACTTACCAGAGGTTCCCCATATACCAACCGTATCTGAGCCCAGCTCATTTCCGTCTCTGCCAACGAATTCCAAGCGAACCTTGAATGCGCTTCTCACAAGAGTCTCTTCGATGATGTGTCTGATTGATACAACTTCTTCAGGAGTAGCATGGTTATTGACCAGCTCTGAAACCAAATCACAAAAGTTGCAAGTAGCGACAGACATCCTGACTTCCTTTACCAGCCGCTGAAACTCAGCAGCTGTCTCCAAGGGGTACTGGCGTTCTGATAATGGATCGGTAACACGTTTAATCACGTTGTCTTTCTTGAAAAACTTGCCACATTCCGCACACACCGAACCGGAACCCATGGCGGGAGGGGGCCGATTTCCGTTCGGCGTCGGTATGAAGTGCGACGAGGATGTATTCCAAGGGAGTCGGAGCATTTCGCTCAGGATAAGGACTCCATCGGGAGTCGTCAGGTTCTTGTAGCCATTTGCCTCGAAGCACGCAATCCCACCTTACGAGGTATCCGACCCGTGGGGCTGTGCCTAGCTATTGGTTCAGCGTGATCTGCATGACTAGACATGCAGAGCGAGCATGCAACGTATGCTTTAGTGATTGGATTAGATTCAACGGAGCAGGTTATGGGGGCACTTCCCAGATGGGCTGGACTACCCCGAGAGTGGTGATTTGACCAGACAGCAGCGGTGCCAATGTCATGATGTGTAGGGCCAATATAACAACCTCACCTAAGGAGCCAAGATTAGCCGGGCAAGGCATTGGAGTTTATCGTAACGAGATCTGTATAGTTGTAACCGCTCAAATTGAGACTGCAGTGTCATCGACAAACTTCTTGGAACCCACGCCACATTGGCGAAATAACCAGTACATGTTCCCACGCTGATTACCAAGTATTTCCTCAATTCCGACCAAATCCCATTGATGAAAATGTCGAGTTTCTTAGGGTACCTCGAAGAGAGTGATGACCTGAAATTGTTGCGAATATGTCTTGTGAGGTGTACTCGGATGCGATCCGACTGTACCATGTCTTCGTCCATGGGATACCGAGGCCACCCATCGCTTCTCAACGAACTCGACGCAGGACTCTTCCCTCGAGACGACCAGAGGCAGGACGCGAAAGTCTAAGGAAGGGTATATACTTTCATGGACCTTCTGAGGATTTCAAACCGTACTATTGTAGGAGCCCTGGTGCCTTGCGTAGTTGCCTCCAGAATGCCAGCATCTTGGTGGGCGACGACGTCTTAATAGTATCAGCGGTTAAGCGAATACGAGGCTGCCACCAAACTCCGAGCTTGGCCAAGACACTCCCACAGGGTTCCTTTGGTGCACGACGCGCTGCTGCCCAAGTGTTTCGTGTTGCCTGTATTACGATAAGGCTATCGTAAAAGTGTCTGGTTAATGTAATTGACGTGCATCGTCCGTTCTAACTCGCCATTGCATGGTAGATCCCGCTTCAGCCCCTCTCCCCCAATTCTTCCCCCTTCTCCCACCGGCCTAGTATCCTGTGAAAGACGAATGAATCGGCCATCTCAGCAAAGGCTTAAAGCCACGCCCAAGGATATCTCCAAGTCACACTGAGAATGACTACCGCTCAGAAGAACTAGCGGTCGTCAGAAATGCCGGGAGTGGCGTTTGTCGAGGGTTCTCGCCTCGCGCAAGCCTCTGATAGACGGAAGGCGCCAAGGATCACTGGGCCACTCGTGCGAAATCGGTCACCTCTGCGAGGCACGTCGTTAGCGGGTCTGCCGGGTCCTTAATCCTTGGTCCGGATAGAGATGGCCCCAGCCTATAGACGGCCCTGTGAGAGGTGGTGATTGCTAGCAGGAGCTCTTTGAGACCGGCAGTGCCGCCGTTTGTGATCCGAGCAAGGCGTATTAAAATTCGTAAAGTTTGTGGATCGATGATGGTAGCAGCAATGCTCCCGTTTGGCGAGAGGGAGTTTTATGGGGGAGTCCACAACTTCAAGAGTCCCTTGTCTATTACCAGAGACAGTCCTAAATTTCTGGTCTGGACAACGGTAATCAACGATGCCATCTTATTGCCATCGATGCCGGCCGGAGAGGAGTACTTTCGCGTGGCGAGGTATTTTCTACTGTGGTGAGAAATTAGCTGTGTCCTTTTCGGTACCGCGATCCTAGCTTTACGTATTGAAGTAAGAAGATATTTGGATGTAATAGATGATTGAAGATAGTGGTGGCTAATTGGCATGTTGAAATCTTGGGGTTGAAACTTAAGGGCCAGATAGAGCGGGGGCGCCTCGCACACCGAGGCAAGGCCTCATTGATCAACTCGACAGTGTAGGGGATGGACTCCCAGATTAGCACATCATCACCGAACCAAGACCTGAGCGTTTGCTTAACCTCCGTTTTATTAACCTTTCCGTCTATGCACTTCTTACCGAGGGTATCAATATCCCGCTGTATAATCCAGCCAAACAGACCAGGTACGAAGCCATTACCCCCTTAATGCCTTTACGGCCGCACCGAGCCGCGCTCGCCACACTCCTTACAGAGGAGCAATCCAAGCGCATTCCGCGCACCGCAACCACAGACCCAGACCTGTTCTTTTGGCTTATCTTTTTTAGTGCTGTCCTCGTCCCCGTTGTAGTCGACGGGCCTGGCGAAGTCACCACCGGAAGTGTTCGCGTTGCGTTGAGGGGACATTGTATTGATTGTATAGGTCAAATTCCTGCTAAGTGACTTTATGTTAGGCATGTTAGAGAGGGAAAAGGTATGGGCGCTTACAGAGGAATTATAATTCGTCGTTTAAGTGTTTACCTGGGTTGCAGTTTGATGTCTCTTTAGTTTGATGTCTTTTTTTTTTTGCTTTTAGCAAACTTGAGGATTTGGGATGTTGATGGGGATGAGAGAATCAGAGGTTAGGATTTCGGCATCAGGAGAGCACATATTTATACTTTTTTCTATAAGGGCATGATCTATTCAGACCTTCGTCGAGTAAAGGGGATTCACTACATAATATCTTTAATAGTAAATGTAAATTAGGTCTTAGTAGTATGATATTTTATCAATGGCACTCAGATATACCTAAGCAAGCCCATGATAGAGAGTGGAGCTTTCTAGATGGAAAAGACATCAAAGTAAATAAGACATCTATGTAGCTGAGTGTACTGCTCTTTACTAGACAAAAGCTGATTGAGACTGTGAAAGGTAGGTGCATACATGCAATTGTGCTCTCTCTTTCCTACCTCACTCCTCAATGGGAAGGGGAAGGGGGCATTGGAGGAGATGGGAACGCCTTTACTACACTCGGGAGTTTTAAGTTGACTAAGAAGTTTCGTTTTTGAACCAGAGTTAAGTGCACTCACGTAACAGCAGAACATTGAGGGATATTCTGCTCTGAATGATATCCGTAAATAGAAGCCTGCGCCTTACATTGTTGAGCTTTAACTATTGCTATGTGTCGGATTCTATGACTAGAAACTCTGCAGATTGTATCTGGCTGGAGAAGCGATGTGCTGTGATGGTAATAGTAGAATTTACAATGTGGAAGAAAATCTTCCAGGAGATGGGTGATGTCTACAGCCCCACTCGAGGCTAACTGGTAGCAGTAGCATGCCATTATTGAGTGTGGTATGTTGACAGAGACACCGCAAACCCCTTCCATACCCATCCTGATCTTGGTGAGTGGCGAGTATCTAATAAAGCTGAACTAAAATGGCTTTTGTTTGACAGTAAACGGCCGAGAGGACCATGGGTGCTCTTCATCCTCGTCAAACTTTCTGACGAGCGACAGACCTCCCGTTTACCCTATGGGGCCGACTTGGCGGCTAGCAAGCTCTCTTGTAGGCCCGTTATGATTCTCGAGTTCGAGTTCCTCCTCATTTGTAGATGACAGCTTGGAATGGATGGATCACTCGAAACAGGCCCTCGCCTCGGAATGGTTGAAGCTGTAGGTCCATATCAGACCCCTGTTGGGCCATACTTGGACATGTAAACTCGTCGTCGTGATTGGGCGGAGAAGGATTTGAGCTTAGGTTGCGAATGTAAATAGAATAGATATATTGCTATACATCTAGTCTCATCCGACACTGGACAGTGATCGACGTTGTGATAGCAGAGAATCTATTTCCACCTCTTTAGGTCGTGTTGTGCACACGTCACGTGCCCAAATGCCGGACCCGGGTCCGGTCGGAGCTGAATTAAAAAATTGCCCGTTGCGGAGCTTTTTTACGTAAAGACGCCGATGCTGATGGAGATTTGTCGAAGTCGCCGCTGCAGGGCGTTTTTGACATGAAAGAGCGATTTTGCTTTTGACAGCGGCGGTACTACGGTATTGAGGAGTGACAAGTTGCTTCGATGTTCCAGAATCAACTAAACATGCCACGAATTAGAACCCCTCGCAATATTTCTGGAACCGCGCGCTCATGGGCAAGTCGGACCCCGGGCACGCTCGTCTTCAGGAAGTACGAAGTAGTCAACGGTGCATGTGGAACACTGATACTGAACTGGTGCATGGAACTTCTTTTGCGCAAAAACAAAGATTAATAATCTAATTCTCCACCCCCAACCGCTCAGCTGGTGTCCAGCGGGAGTGGCGCCGGGGGAACGGATGCCCAAATGTAACCTTCCGCCTCGGAGTCTAGAAAAATGCGCGCGGCTATGACCTTCTTTTGAACTTACAGTGGCAGGTTGTCTCCCTAAGAAGAGGGATGTCCCTATAAAATCTTGAAAACCGCTTGGTGAAGCGGCAAGTGTTATGGTCAGGGAAGAAAGGCTGTCGTATCAACAGCTCTCTCCCATCCTACACCCATACATTAAGATTTTCCGAAAGTTTCATGGTTGCAATGGGACAGGAAAACACGAATCGCGAAAGCGAGCCCTTACGCCACGAGCAGCAACTGTTCCCTGAGCAGAGTGGTCCTTCCATCCCCGATGGCGGTTACGGATGGGTCATTACAGCCTGCGTGGGCATGACGAACGGGCACTCATGGGGCATTAACTCTGCCTACTCCGTCTTCCTCGCTCACTACCTCAGCAACGATGTCTTTGAGGGGGCAACGCCGATGCAATACGCCCTTGTGGGCACGCTGGGCGTCGGATGCACCCTGGCCGTGGCCCCAATTGCGACAGTTGCCGTGCGGCGCTTTGGAACGCGACCTACTATGCTCTGTGGCACAATCTTCCAGTCTGTGAGCTTGGCATGCTCCAGTCTCACGACTTCTATATGGCAACTCTTCCTGACCCAAGGCGTGCTCTTCGGCTTGGGAATGGGGCTTATCTATATTCCCGCCTCCGGAATCATCCCCCAGTGGTTTGATAAGCACCGGTCCCTCGCCAGTGGGTACACGATCGCAGGCGCGGGTCTTGGCGGACTTGTATACTCTCTTGCGTCCGGAGCTATGATTGAAAACCTCTCCGTGGAGTGGGCTTTTAGAATCCTGAGCATTGTCTCGTTGGTCGTGAATACGACCTGCGTTCTGCTCATTCGGACGCGCTACGACGAGGTGGGCTCGCGCCAGCTTGCTTTCGATATGGCGCTTCTGAAGAGGGTTGAGTACTTATTGGTCCTTGGGTTCGGCTCGTTCAGCATGCTGGGCTACTTCGTTCTCATCTTCACTCTTGCCAACTACGCAAAGACAATGGGATTCAACCCCTCCCAAGCATCCCTCATCCCGGCCCTGCTAATGCTGGGCCAGGCCATCGGTTGTCCCATTATCGGCTGGCTCAGTGACAGATGCGGTGCCATCAATATCGTCGCCATGTGCACGCTCGCCACGGGTGTCTTATCGCTGACGGTTTGGGTTAACGCCAAGCTCTACGGGGTATTGATTTTCTTCGCACTCGTCGAAGGTTTGGTCGCCGGAAGCTTCTGGGTCGGGATAGCGCCCGTCTTAGCCGAGGTCGTCGGCCTCGAGAACCTCCCGGCCGGCCTCTCCTTGCTGTGGGTATCCGTGGTGCCGGCCACGGTGGCTAGCGAGCCCATCGCTCTGGAAATTGTCGACAGGACCGGCAGTTATATCGGGGCCCAACTGTTTACGGGGTTCTCCTTCATAGTGGCCGGCCTTTGCCTTGGTCTCCTTCGCGGCTGGATTATCGGCGGCATGGCTGTCAAGTCTGACGGAGACTCGGGTGGCGCTGAACGCACAATCACACGTTCCACCCTGCCCACTCGATACGCTACGTTTATTAGGCATTGCTTCACCTGGAAAAATTTGTGAGACCCGTTCTGGAAGATGTAGTAGACATATTTCGCCAAAACTAGTCGAGGGTTTGAGAGCGCAATGGCTAAAGGCAGATAGGTATACAACAGTACCTCTATGTTACTACTTAATGGTAAAGCCATATGGTTTCGTAGAAGTCTCATCTGAGCAATAATGGTTCTCGAATTATGGATCACCATCTCAAAAAGCCATTCGCTCCGCATACCATTATCCCCGTTGTGAAGCCTATAATTTAATACGACATGAAATCACTTGCCCCGCAATCATTCGCGAGCGCTTCGTCAAGAGTATAGCTCCCAAACCCAGTCTGGTCCGCGCCCAAGAACCCCATGTCCAGCCAAATGGCGGGGTCGAGAGAGTCCGCCGGAAGAGCCAGATTCCTCCCCGGCTGCGACCCGCCGCCACAGTCGGGGATTCCGGCGCGGTTCCGTCCCGCAAGCGGGCCTTTATCAAGCTGATCGGCGAAGAAGTGGCAGACGGTGGCCGACACGTGGGCCTGCGAGCTTTGCGGCAGGTCTCGCGCAATTCGTTCCAAGTGCCCGGGGAGGGCGCGCAGTTTCGAGATTGCTTTTTCTACGTCCTCGGACATTTCGCTCCCGCGTCTAACGGCCTGGGAAGGAGGGAAAAGAAAGAGTCAGCGCTATCCATGAAGAGAAGACAGAATTCTTGAGAAAACCGGGGATGGCATAGCTGCTGGACAGCGGAGGTGTGGCATGTACATGGAGTATTTCAGTAGCCGCGTGGCAAATCATGATAAACATATTGTTATGGAATCCTAACCGCAGGTCGTTTATGGCGCTGTCGTTCAGAATCAAGTCCAACATGCGATTTGCCACTAGAACCGTCATTTTCGATATTCGCAAAAACTCCGAGGACACCGTTTTATTCTGCACTACGATGAGGTCACGAGAGGCCTGAGCGTTCAGGATCAGAATACTATGGTCCTGGTAGAAGCCGAGCACGGGGAATAGCGATGCGGAGGGTAGACCATCAGGGGTGTGTCGGGTTGAGTGGAGCCTGTCCAGGGCCGCAAAAGCATCGGCATGCCAGCTCATGACTGAGGCTGGGGCTTTCTGCATACGCTTTCGCTTATCTAGCTGTTCGAACTGCAGGCGTGTTATCAGGAATAGAAGGCCGAAAGAGTACCTCTCTGGGGCACAACAGATATCAAATCCGATTCTAACTTACTAGCATTCGCCTGGTCTCAAAGATACCACAGACCAAACGATCAGTAGAGACTGCTGCAGGGTCACTCCACCAATGTGTAAAGCACGGGGGAACCTCCTTGTAGGAAATCAGGGCCTTACGACCAGTGATGATGCCGAAGCTTTTGTCGGCGATATATGTATACAGCCATGTGCGCTCACAGTTTCTGGTATAGCGTTCTTTAACGTGGTTGGGGCCATTGGGAAACAGCTCGTTGACGTGGTCTGCCACGCATCTTGGCCTGTGTAGCCCTATTTCCCGAGCTAGCTGGGTGGCCTGGCACGGGCCGAATGATTGTTACTACTGCGTCGCGGAGGGGGAAAAAAAAGGGAAGAGGAACTCACGTGGCTAAGATGTAGCCAATATGGATCGTCCCGATGTTTCTGGTTGGCAGGGGCCCAATAGAGGAGATTGATAATAGATTGGATGGCCTCTACGGATCTAACTGAAGTGGCGATGGACCACTTCACGGTCCCTTCTGCCAGGGACAGCAGAGTAGGATAGAGGATGCGGTCGCGGGGCCGCGTGGAGAGGGCGCACCCGAGGGCACAAATGACGGAGAATAGGGTGAATGAGGAGGCGTAAACGTATTCGGGCGTATATAGAGCAGCATCGAGCAAGCCCAGGAGGGGGTTGCGTATTTTGTAGAATCTAATAATACATGCTCTGCGTCAGAGGTCGCGGTAAAGAAAGGATGGCTGGATACGATACAATACAATTTGAAGTACAGTTCAACATCGCTTTGGTCGATGAAGCGGGCCGTCAGCGGATCACAGGCCGATGGCTCGAGTCGAAAGACTCCACCGCTGGGCTGGGTGGCTAGCACCTGCCAGTCCTTTTAAAGGTGGTTTGTGGTGCTGTCATATTCAATCCACACATTAGCCTACACGCGCGGGACGAACTATGGAAAGTCCTACAGGAGGATGGGCTGACCTACCAAAGTACTGCGTTATGCGGTTATCCAGTGTCTGGCCGCCCATGTCGGGTCTGCTATATATGGATAATAGCTTCAAGTCCGATGGGAGATGCCGACAGTCCCCGTCCGTGGTCACAACGGTGGCAAGAATGTCTAGCGAGGAGACTAGTGAGCCGCGTTCGTTCTCCTCCTCCGATTCGGAGCCATACGCCTGGGGTGGTCGGCCGATGTGCGGTGCGGCAATGCGGGATGTTTCGGTGCGCCCCTCCGCATCTATGTCGCTCGGTGCGGTGGTGGTTTCGTCTTCGAAGCTGAAAGATGGATCGCGGAGGGCAGCTAGAACCTGGTCTCGTACCGAACTTTTTCTGATCCGGGCTAGCACCTTTTCGACGGTATCAGGTTTGCTACGGTTGCTCCCACATCAATAAATGGAGGAAGAAAAAAAGAAAAAAAAAAAAATAAAAAATGGGAACACAAAAAGAAATAGGTCGATTCTTACTTGCCGCTACCAGGCTTACGGCCCCGGGTAGAACTGGCTGGGTATCGGCACACCCGGTGCTGGTCGACGCAACGAGAGCTAAGTACGTACAGTCACAAGAGTCAACACTTGTGTGTGGTCCGCATATACACGCGGAACGGGCATTCACGAATAGCCTATTCGCAATGCTACTTACCACGGAACCTGTCGACTGCATCGTTGTCTAGAGGCACGACAATTGAGACATGCGTTGCGATACTCAGATTTCCCTATTTTGGAATCTGTACTGTTGCGGTCCTGCTGTTCTGGGCACTGCTCTTGCCCGTCTGAAGGGAGCTCATTATGGTCGGACATGGTGGTTCCAAACTTCCAATCTGTCTGGAATTGATCTTGCAGGGAGGAGCAATTGCTGCTGATCACTTGCAATTGCGTTCCTCCCACTTGCCCCTTGGTTGGTTGCCTGCGGCCGCCCTGCAGCTGTCATTCTGCCGTGCCTCACCGCCCTGGGCTCGTACAGGGGTCGGCTCATGACATGGGGTATCGATTTGTTTTCTTCGTGACCAAACGACCAATCAAGCAAGGTCAAAGTCGAGGATGAAGAACTGGGCACTAACTACACTCGGTGGGTGTCCCTCTCCTAGCTCGCTGCAAGATAACCCCATCGTGAGCTTGCCAACTAACTCTGGGGTGGGTTTCGCCGCTCCGCGACACTACTACTTTTTATTACCAATTACCAGAGCAGTTCCTTCGCTGCTGCCGCCTTGATGCTGTATAATACTGTGGCTATGCATTTGGCGAATGCGGGGCAGTGCGTATTGTTTTATCAGTAGCCCTTGCCCAATGGTAAGCCTCCCAGTGCCGCCTAGGGAATTGTATCCTGACATTCGTCTTGTAAATTGTTAACATGGAAGTTCTGTCTCACTCACACTCTCTACTCTTTCTCTACTCTCTCCTTACTCTTTCTCTACGCTTTCTCTACTCTTTCTCTACTCTCTCCTGTCGCCGTCTCCCGTTCTTGTCACAATGTCTATTCAGCCACCGCCACGCTTCTCTCTGGGAGACCGCTGGATTGACTTTTGGGCATCGGATGAGATGTGGATGCGCCAGCTCGCCAATGTCGAAACGATGGCGCTACATCATGCGGACGCCCATGGCCTGCGTGTTTTTGTGTATGCGGTGCTGCGCGGCCACACGGCTGTGGCAAGATGGTTAATTCGCAACCGCACGCCGTACACCTCTGATATGAACTTCTTTGCTCAGCACGGCATAACACCAGAAATGCTGGCGCCGCTGCCGGAGCGGCAATTCCTATCGTCAGCCTACTTGCCGCAGCAGCCGTGTCCGGCGTGCCGCCGTTTTGACTTTCCAGCAAGACTGGCCCGGAGACAGACCGAGCTAGCTGGCGGGGTTGGACACAGCCCGGCCAGTGAAACCGCAGCCGGAGATCCCGCAAACAATAACAACACACTTGTCATCGACGAGGCAACTTGGGGCACCGATCTGGTCGCCGCGTTTGACAGTGATCGCAGCGCACGGAGAGACTGCGCGCTGTACTTTATGTTGCGTTACTTTCATGGCCTTTGGATGAAAGGATTGCCACGGTGGCCAGTGGACCACGCCAACCAAGTCGTGCGATGGCTTGATCGTGCACCTACTTCAGCCCAAGAACCAGCCTCTGCATCAGTATCCACACTTGCTCTCACACGATGCTCTCGGACTCCCGGCTGCTGTGACTGGGCCGCAACCCGTGTCGCCCGACCCGTTTTCACCCGCAGCCATAGCCTGCTACCGCCGCTGGATGGCCGTGTGTGACAGCACACACACACAGTGCCATCTTGAGAACGGACAGGCCCTCCCCGTACTACCCACGCGTGTGCTAGACGTGGGTGAAGTCGGCAGCGGAGACGGCAGCAATGACCCCACGCTAGTCGACACACCAGTGAAGCTCCTCGTCACTGCCGGTCGCCGAAGCCGCTATCTCGCATTGAGCCACTGTTGGGGTGCCGCCCGGGACCATCAGACATTGCGAAATAACCTAGCAGCCCGGCAAGAGCAGGGCTTTGAACTGAATGGTGCCGACCGTCTTCCCGCCACCATTGCTGACGCCGTGCACCTCACGCGGCTCCTCGGCTTCCGCTACCTCTGGGTTGACTCGCTATGCATCGTGCAGGATGACCACGATGATTGGCAACGCGAGGCCGCCCGCATGTGCGACGTTTATCGCTTGGCCTACCTCACCATCACGGCCAGCCGTGCCGCGGACGACGCCGAGGGGTTCTCAGGTATTCGCACAGGTTTCGCCGGGGTGGCTGTCCGCGTGCGTGCCCCAAGTGCCTCTGTGCCTGTCTCTACCTCTGCATCCGCCTACGAGGCTGTCATCCACCTCCGTCCGGACCACCCTAAAGTCGAGAGCTACCGCGATTACCACAGCGCACCCCTCGATGCCCGCGGCTGGACCCTTCAGGAAGCCTGTCTATCGCGCGCCCAGCTCCGCTTCTACTCGCTTGAGACCGTCTGGACCTGCCGCACCTGCGAGTGGAATGAGAGCGACCCCAGCGTCGCCAACGTCTATGCAATCGACCGGCGCACCCAATGGAGTCCCATAAAGTTGCCAGCGTTAACGGCGCCGTGGGTAGCTAAAGACCTCACATATCCTGGTCACTGGTACGACCTCGTACGTGAGTACACGGGACGGCAGCTCACACACGAATCTGACCGTCTGCCGGCGCTGGCAGGGATAGCCCGCATAGTGGCCGAGGCGGGTGGATGGGGGGAAGGCGGGGGAGAGGAGAGAGGAGCACTTGGAACCGATAGAGGCAAAGACCCAAGCTCACAGCTTTACCTTGCCGGTCTGTGGCGGAGTGACCTGGCCTACGGCCTCTGCTGGCACTGCAAGACTCTCGAGACGCCACCACCTGCCAACCTGCCCTCGTGGTCTTGGATCGCCGTGTCTGCTGGGACTGCCGTCACTCACCCAATCGCACCTGACCATCAATGGCCGCTGGGGGGACTGGACACCGCCGCTGACGCCGTGTCCATCACGCTCCAGGGCCCCGACCCCTTTGGCGCCATCTGCGCTGGCGCGCACATCCGCGTCACCGGTGTGCTATTGCGGCCGCTCCGCCTCTGCTCTTCGAACCCAAACATGACTTACATTGTGTCATTTGCCTTTCCACGAGGCAGATCGGCCGCAGGAATACGCCACGACGACAATGACGTTGGCTTGCTACGATCGTCCCTAGTCTGGGATATTCCTTACAAGGAAGCCAACCGCGGACTGGAGGCACTCTGTCTATGGCACGACGGGGACAAAGCCACCGCCTCTAGCCCTGTCAATATTCATGGCATCCTCGTTCGTCGGCGGAGGGTAGATCGTCCAAGGACGTGCGTTTTCAGCCAGCTGTTTCAATGTCATCGGAGACGAGAACTAAAAGGGGCAAGTGTGGGCAGTACAGGCAGTGGTGCAGTGGTTTCGGAGAGCGTGGAAAGCGCACATGTCGTGTACGAGAGGGTGGGTGCATTTGAGTGTTTCGATACCCTCGATTCTATCTCGTCGTTTGGCCAGTCGAGTGTGGTGCTGGTGTAAATAGTCTCTATTAGGGTTAGGGTAATTGGATCATGTTTTCTTGGAATGCAATCCAGTTGTAAAACGGAAGCATGAGTTGAATATTTGAATGTATGGCAATCCTTCCTATTCATGAAAATTGCCAGCAACAAATATTAAACATTACAGAAACATCTAATAATACAGTAAATTAATATGTAAAATTGTGGAGGCGTCCTGGTGCTCTCCCAGGCTTTTCCTATTCCACTTGTGGCTCCTCTGCGGTCATATTATCCGACCTTTTATGCTTTGCGCGATCCCAGCCCAAGTACGCCATCATTTACTCCTTTGACCACTGAATTACTGATCCACTCCCTTGGCAAAAGAAACAATACGCACTAACTTGTACGTCTGGGGGGGAGCGTTATGTTCCTCGGTGCTCCATATATCTATACATCTATAACTAGAATGTAGCGGCTAAGATAATAATATTCTATGACACTTTCTTGCCCACTTTTTGAAAGTGAAGAGTGGAGGAACAACTGGTTATGTGGCATAGACAGGTAATATGTAATGAGTACTTCGCACAACTCTCATGGGAACATCAGTGCATAGACCGGCTCGCACTCGGTCACATCCAGGGGCGATGAGACCTGAATGGTGATCTTTGGCTGAAGGTAAGAGTGACTGTGAACCGGCAAATCACAACTTAAATGACCATGCGAACTAAGCACCATCGCGTGTTGTTTTGTCACGAAGATCTCCCTGCTCCAATTCCGCATGTCATTTGTTCCCCAGCGCTGCTAGGTTGACCCGACGGATGGTGCTCAGTTGCTCACTGCTCAGCCCTGTTGCCAAGACTTAGTGCAGGATGACCACAGCGGAGATTCGGCACTTCGAGATGGCGGCGGTGAAACACCACGTTCCATTCGTAAACTACGCAGTACTATATAAATTTAACTCCACCCATCATTCACGTGCCACTAGCGTCGGAGATGTCAGTTGTCCTTGCCTTTCTCACCCCCTCACATTCCCACCATGCCACCGTCAACATTCGGCTTTCGCATGTTCGCGAGATTGGTGCACACCTACAACTCGCTCCGTTTCGGTCGCAACAGCATGGAAGCCCTTATAGGTCAGGCCATGAGAGATAGCGCGACATTGCGGAAGACCTCAGTGCCGTGGAAAGACGATGAGCCTCATCCGCAATCCTACCACACATTCGACTCCGCGACTTCTTCCTGGGTTTCGAAGACCCCGTCCGACGATGCGGCCGGATCTGCTGGAGACAATGTCGGAATTAATAGCATCGCTCTCTACAGCTGGAACATCGACTTTATCCTTCCCTTCGCCGAAGCCCGTATGAAGCCGGCACTCGCTCACCTCGGTGGCCTGGTACAGTCCGGCCTTCCGAATGCGGCTCCCGTTATCTTTCTCCAGGAATGCACGCCCGCAGACCTTGTCACGATTGCCGCCACGCCATGGATCCGGGAGCGATTCCATCTAACTGACGTGGACGCCACCAACTGGGCGACCAACCATTACGGCACAACGACGCTTGTTGACTCTCGCCTACCTATCACGGCGGCCTTCCGTGTGCACTACTCTAAGACGCGCATGGATCGTGACGCCGCCTTCGTCGACGTGTCTCTCCAGGGAAAGACCATCCGCCTCTGCAACACGCACCTCGAGTCCATGGCCCTTAGCCCACCCTTCCGCCCGCCCCAGATGCAGATCTTGGCGCAGTTCCTGCGAGAGGAGGACAAGGTCCACGCCGGCCTGGTCGCGGGGGATTTTAACGCCATCCAGCCGTTCGACCGCACGTTGCACACCGACAACGACCTGAAGGATGCGTTCCTGGAGCTGGGCGGGGAGGAGGATACCGAGGAAGGCTACACCTGGGGCCAGCAGGCGGCGACGAAGCTCCGGGAGAAGTTTGGATGCTCGAGGATGGACAAGGTCTATTTCTGGGGCGGCATTGAGTTGGCCAAGTTCGAGAGATTCGGTGCGGATGTGTTGACGGAGGGAGAGAAGGAGAGCAGTGAGATCCTGGCACTTGGTTTTGAGAAAGCGTGGGTGACGGATCATCTGGGGGTTAAGGCCGAGGTGAAGATTGTGGAGGAACTAGACGCGAGCCGTCTCTAGAGCCGTTGGCGAAGACGGAAGAAATGCTACAAGTGCCTATCTAGAGTACTGAAAATCCCAACTGTAACATTTTTTTAACCGTCCGTTCGCAAGACTGAAACTATCTCTACGATGCCGTACTCTAATATCCGGTTTCCTACGCAACGCGTAGATCGCATTATATGATATAGGCTCTCGGAAATAAAGCCCCGTTGGTGATGTCGATACCTTGGCGGAATACCCAGCGCAACATGATATGTTTGGCTCTGGAAGCACTCCTGCCCTGGATGCCCGGGTTAAGCTCTCACGCTACAGCTTGTCCGAGTGCACTGGCATATGCATGCCATCTGTGAGGCGTCAAACCATCCGCGTATCCCGCCCAAACCTCAAGGCCTCATGCGTCCCCTTGTTCACGATGCTTCCAGGAGCCAGGGTCGCGGACTGTGCCGCCATCCTTTCGCGTGCATTGATCTAAAATAGGCGAGTAACGCCACCGCGCGCGGGTTCACCGGGCCGAGAGGGGCGACCCCATCAAGAGTTCGTCATGGAAGAGTGGAATTGAAGGCCACGGGTCCAGAAGAATGACAGGCAAGGCGATGCAACCCCGGGACTTGGTGAGAAGTGGGTCCGTCAATATGCGGTTTATTGACTCTTATCCATTATCCAGCCCCCGAACCCATTCCAAGGGAAAAGAAGGAAAAAAAACTTGCTCAAATACACTCACCCACCTCCTCATATATCCACTACACAACCCCACCGCTAAACCAAGACGTAACATCCCGACGAGCAATTTGGGGGTCTGACTATTGGCATGAGCGGGGAGAAACGTGCGATAGGGGACAAATTAATAAAGGACTCACATACCCTGCGAGAGGAGACAGCTAAACCAGGATGTTGCGTTGGAGCAAGTTTTTTTCAATTCTATAACCGGTCTACTTAACCATACCTTGTTTCCTCGTTTTCTTCTCTTTCCATCCACAGATGAATGTAATCGAACAGGATCTCAGGTGAAGGTAGTCAGGCATCGCCTAAATATCCCCTTCGACTCGTCGCAACCATGGACCTTCTCCGAACAGTTAACCCTGGCCGACGCCACATTCAAGACTTCACTCAGGCAAAAGAAGTCGAACCCCACTGGGGTTACGCGGACCGCGTCGTGCCCTGTGTCAATGATCCCGGGTCATGCGCCTACCTCGACGAGGTCTACGGCGCTCATGACCTGGGCATGATCTACGTTGGGGTATTCTGGCTGACGATCGCTGCCATATTCACAATTTGGGGCGTGGTTCATTGGCGCTCCAAAGTCCTCGGGGACAAGACCCATTTCGACTCCGGGAACTGCTCCGCCGAAGAGGCTCAGAACAACTCCTCACTGCCAACGAGCGTCAGGTTAAAGCGTTCGTTCTTAGCTTGGACCAGACGCCACCTTCTCCCCGAAGCATTCTTCCCTTTCGGTCGCGCCTCTAGGCTCCAGGTTACCATCCTTGCCATACTCACGGGCTACCTCACCATCTGGACATTTGTAGGCATCAGCTACCAGAAATGGGTCACTCCCGTCGCCCATGCAGAAGGGTACTTCAACACCCGCACCAGTCTAGGCCCCTGGTCGGATAGGATCGGCGTTCTCGCTTACGCCTTGACGCCCCTATCCATCCTCCTCTCTTCGCGCGAATCCTTCCTTTCCATCGTGACGGGCGTGCCCTACCAAAATTTCAATTTCCTCCACCGCTGGCTCGGGTACATCATCGTCGTGCAGTCCTCTCTGCATACCATCGGCTGGTGCATTGTCGAGATCCGACTGTACCAGCCCCAGCCGCAGGTGGCTGAGGCATGGATAAAGCAGCTTTATATCATCTGGGGTGTCGTCGCCATGATCTTGCTTCTCGCGCTTTATGTCCTCAGTCTTCCTCCCGTTATTCGACTTACTGGCTACGAATTCTTCCGCAAATCGCATTACGTCCTCGCCATGGTTTATATCGGCGCCTGCATAGGCCATTGGGAGAAACTCCATTGTTTCTTGACCCCGTCTATAATTATCTGGGGTTTGGATCGACTTGCGCGCGCCGTGAGAACCGTTATGCTCCATCGAAATAAAGGCAGCAGTGTCTCTGGTTTCATCACCCCTGCCAAGGCAGATGCAGTGCTCTTCCCCAATGGCGTCGACGGAGATGTTGTGCGTCTGGACTTTACTATGAAATCTCCTTCTTCCTGGAACATCGGGCAGCACTTTTACCTCTGCTTCCCGGAGGGCAGCATCTGGCAGTCTCACCCTATGACGCCTTTGAGCCACCCTGGCCTGGTAGATGGGCGGGTCACACATTCCTACGTGTTCAGGGCCAAATCGGGCGAGACTAAGAAAATTGCCGAGCTGGTGGGTAAGCGACTCGCTGACGCCAGAGCTAATAACAGCGACAACTCCTCCTGTCGCGACGACTGTCCCGGCACCGGTATTTCTGTTCTTCTTACGGGTCCATATGGAGAGAATCTGGCAGATCAGCTGGCACCTACGAATAACATACTCTGCGTCGCTGGTGGCACGGGTATCACATACGTACTCCCGGTACTCCTCGAGCTCGCCAAATTGGATTTATCCAGCCGCAAGATCGACTTGATCTGGGTTGTTCGTAGGAGCAAAGATTCTCAATGGGTTGCGCCAGAACTAGACATTCTTCGCGAGAACCCCGCAATCGCCATTCGAGTCATGGTCACCCGCGAAAACAAGGAGAATGACTCGGATAACGTCCCTTCTATTGACGCTAACATGATCGGCGAGAAAGAAATGCGCCAAGGAGAGAAGTCCGTGGGCGGGGCTCCACAGTTGGCCTTTGTTGGTGGCGAGGATCAGCCCCCGGCGACGCGACATCCCGACCTCGTCAAGTGCGTTAATGATTTCGTTGAAAGGACAGCCAGCGGTCGTACAGTTGTGTTTGGAAGTGGGCCTGTAGGCATGATTACGGATCTTAGGAAGGCGGTGGCGGCACTAAACTCGGGAAGGAAAGTGTGGAGAGGAGAGGAGAGGTACGACGTTGCCCTGTGCTATGACGAACGATTAGAACGTTGATATTGTCTTCTACATTTGGAATATCTTTCAACGAAACCATGTCTAAATTCCATTGGTTGCGTTTGACTTCCAGTGTGGGTGGTATATTAAGGCTTGCTCATATCCTGAGCCAAGAGGGCGTTCCGTTTCGGACGTAACACTCAGATCTGGTTCTTATCTATTCGGCTATTAATCTAGACGCTTGTTGAAAAGAACCATTGAAGAGTTATGCACGGGCTATCGATATAGTGCTACCGTGTTAAGTAACCTCGACGACCGAACGGCGGACTTCCAAGACACAATTGGCGCTGGGGGGAATCTCCGAAATTTCCAACTCAGGATTAAACTCCCTTGTCCGCCCTTCTGACCCAACATAGCCCTGTGAATAGGATCAATAAACACATGCTCGTACGAATGGGGTGCTTGAACGTTACATCTGAATTAGACACGTAAAAGGCTAAATAGAATCCGATTGGGGGGCTACGTGTGTATATCAGGCGTGAATGGTAGTAGAGACTATTTAAACCTCGAATTCTGCTGTTGCGACTCAATAGCAATAGTCTCGAGGACCTTCAAACAGAAGCAGGCAAGGGGATATCAATTTCTACAGTCTGAGGAACCTAGGCTCTATATTGTGACCCGAGAGACGTTGGTGCGATACGTCTTCTTGTCCTATGTCCTTGTTAGTGGAAGTGGCATCAGTGAGGCGTGAATGCCAATCCCGATCCATCTCAATTCGCTTCATACCCTGTACGTCAGCGGGGGCTCTGCGGTCCTTAAATAATAGAAAGCTAACATCCTGTCGCTGAAATTGTAGAATTTCGAAATGCGGCGCCGAACTTCCCTCTCTTTGGACATAAAGCAGGTCGTGATGGGTGCATATACCCCCGTGCGCAAAGCAACCTTCACCTCCTCTCCTACCAGACGCCAGGACGGAAGGTGAGCATGGACATACGATATTAATAGTGTCCGCTGTCGTCATTTGGCCCACCAATTGCCCACCTTCGATGTCGCAGAAGACAGTGTCGATGCAACCACTTTCAAGATTTTTCTCAACAACGCAACCGCCCAAGCCCGCAAAGGTGACTTTTCGTGAAGACCCCCACCCTCACTTCCGACACAATCTCCCGCAAACGGATAATGAGCCGTTCGTTTTCTTCGGGTTGACAGATCAGCCATTATCCGAGATGCACAAGTGAGCCTACCGTATCATGGTTGGTGTCTTGGCCAGCATAAGTGGAGAAATGAAGAGGACGACCGATGGATAAGATAATCTAATGATCATCCTTGGTTATACTATAACGAGACATTCTGCCGCTTCCTGGTTACGTGCAGCACCAACCAAGTCACTGTCGGATGTAGTAGTGCCGTCCAGTGAGCGCTGAAATGCAAGTAGATTGTATCAAGAAAGGAACGTCGCCAAACTCTCAGGGCCGATGACCGGACAAGCCGGTACTTCCTAGTAGCAGCTTTCGTCGTACATATAACTCGGGTCTCTGAGCATGATACGCTACCCCTGATGTTTCTTCTCGCAATTTTCTAATTTGCTGATCTGCACCCTAAATGAGAGTATCTTCGCTTACCATGTCAGACCGACAGCAACCGACGTTTAACGAGCTCGTCGCAAAAATTGTCGAGCTCTCTTTAAGCTTCACACAATACCTCGGAGAGAATAAAATCCCTTTGCCGACATTTGAGGCCGGTAGTTCCACGCAATATGACGGGATATCCGCTGAGGGGTTTGTCACGAAACAACAACCACTTGACCATTTGATGGATCTCTACTATCTAGTTCAAGGGCCAAGTGAGAGTATTTTCAACTACGTCCACAACGTGCGTCTATCCCGGATGATGTGGATTTTTTCAATGGCGTGAAAGCGCGGGCTGATTCTGTGTGTAGTGCATGCCAGATGCAGCAGCGTTGAATGTGCTCAACCATTTCAACTTCTGGTCCGCCGTGCCACTCGACGGAACAGCGTCGTATGCAGACATCGCAAAACACACGAAGCTTCTCGAGGAAGTAGTGCAGAGGTTCACGGCAAATATGCAAACTCTTGGGAGTACATCGAGAATGAAGGCGAAGGCGACGAAAAGGGCTGGAGGTCGAGAAATTTCACCACCTTCATGGCTTACTTGAAGGATATTTTCAGATTGGAGCAGATTGTCAATGACTGTTATAACTGGGAGGAAGCGGGTGACATCCATGTTGTAGATGTAAGTGTATCTCTGGTGGTCTTTATGAATACCCTTCACTGACCAAGAATCGGACAGCTGGGTGGTTCTGGTGGCCACGACTCATTCGTGCTAGCCAGGAAATATCCCAAGTTGAGGATCACAGTTGAAGATCTTCCCAAGGTCCAGTCAGCTTTCGAGGCCAACGTCCCGGCTGACCTCGAATCTCGAGTCACATTCCTGGCCCACGACTTCTTCCAACTACAACCCGTCGAAGCCGATCTCTACATGATCAAGTTAATTTTACACGACTGGCCGGACAAAGAATGTATTCAAATTCTGCAAGCGCTTCGGCCGTCTCTGAGACCCGGTGCCAAGATCCTCTTCATCGACTACGTTGGCAAGCAAGATACGGTTAGCAAGGAGACGCAGACTGACAATACACCGAACAGGACTTCTTCCAACGGTATTTCCAATCGGTCGAGTGAGAACACCAATTTGCAAGACCCACCCCTGCCGCGATCTATACAGCAAATAGGAACATCGACAGATCTTCGAATGATGGCCCTGTTCAGCACAAAGGAGCGGCCGCGCACCGCTTGGAAGGACATATTCCGCGCAGCTGACGATCGCTTCGACATTGCTCGGTTCGAAGCAAATCCTCTCTCGTTCTTTGTTGTTATCGAAGTAGTTTGGCGGGGCTAGGAAATTCTGCGCAGATTGCTTCAAAGTTCATCGTATGCTGAGACAGGAAAAAAAAAAAAAAAAAAAGGAATATACGTCTGGTGAAATCATACACAGAGCAGGATGTTGCCTTGTGTTCTGACGATAACGAACGCCTTGAACGTTGATCTTTTGTCGAATATATTTCGATAAGAGCATGTCTTCGTCTAATCTACATAGCGATTGCTGAAAGACAGAATACATTTAACAAGCCATATTGCCCTCCAGTACCGACAAGATGTCTCTTCCATCATTGATATATCACCTACTCTGCTCTCAGGGAGAACTGCACGCATCTCAAAGGGTTAAGAAATCTCTTCCACTCAGTCTTTCCGTCTCCCTCTCCTGATTTAAAATAGCCCCCTCCTCGCCTACTCTGGTCATCACTGCTCATGCTACCTTAGGAGTTGCTAGGCAGGAAAAGAAGATTGACCAAGAGCGGCTGTTGAGAGCCGGCGTTGAGTCTAGAAAGGGGTTTTTGTGAGAAAAAGCCTTCCCAACCTTCTCTCCCACGTCCTTCCCTGTTTGCCACCACTACCGCCAGCATTACTTGCATCCCCCATCTCGTCCGTAGAACCCAGATTATCACTCCTAGAAGCCACTGAGGTGTGTGGCGTCAGTACGATGAATTGGCGGACACCACCGGCAGCGAATTTGATAAATATGCTGGACTATTTTTGAAAAGATGTGAGACTCGGGGTATCAACGGACTGATCTAGTTGCCCCGAATCTTCACCCCCTTGCATCACATCTTTGCTACTGCTTCCTGGCTCGAGCCGCAGTGCATGCTCGAAGATGTGGACACCTTTCTCGTCAAGCTTTGCAATATCCACAGGTTCCAAGGACCTAAACGCGACACTCGGCCTCCACCACGTCTTGGGGATAATGAAGTGCACCGCGTTAAACGGGCACTCTTTACCCAGCGTACTGCCTCTGCACTTGCATGAACTCTGTAGGTTCGGAGACGATGACCAGACGAGTTTCCGGGTCAGTTCTCCAGTGCTCAGGTTCGGATTCTTTTTGGCTAGGTTTCCATACAGCACCCCAAGAGTACATAGGAGGCAGCCATGTGATCCAATCCAATCGGAACAGCCCTCCACTTCGGACAGAGAGCTGGAAGGGTTGTTGGGGTGGATGAGGTCTCCAAAGCCCCTCCCAAAAGGGTCGTGATCTTGGCTGCCGCACCTAGATCTATCCACCCGCCACCACCCAGACCTGCGGAATACATACGCGCGGGTGCACGCAACCCAACCCGAAGGAGCGATGACATCGACGACGCCAAACCCGGTAATGCTTTTCCGGGGGTCCAAAGCCTACGATACCGTTATCCCGTCCTGGTAACAAATCTTCTCCACGCTGTCAATCAGGATCTCATGAGAGTGCAGAATGTGTATCACTCGGGTTTTGAGAGTAGAAGATTCCGTCGCCATTTGCCTGCTTCAAGTTTCCTTGCTGGAGATACAGAGTTGGAGATCGAGATTATTTTGGAAACTCTCCCCCCCCTTCCCCTTTTTCTTTTGGCCTACATGAGGTAGCCCCTTAATATGCTCTACTACCACTGCTTCCTCGTAACCTGCCCGCATGCAATGTTGTGATATTAATAGCGAGCATGAGTTATGGCGCTGTTCTCCCTTCCTTCTAGAATTGATAATAGCCTTTGATTCTTCGACTCCTCATTTACCCCTACTATAGCACTACGTCTACCAAAATGTAGAAAGTCTGGTGGAGTTGTGAGAATGAGATCCTGAGCTTTATTTAGGACCCTATTGCTGTCGGACACAGCGCCTATCAAGTCGAAATTAAGAAATAGGGGTTCCAATTGGGATTGTACTACTTCATTCATCAGCGTGTGTTCTATGTTCCCCTCTCTTGGGTAAATTTCTCCTTTTTTTGACCCTGAGCGTCGGACCTTCGTGAGTGAGCCTCGAGTCGGTGCCTCTCATATAGTCGCTTTGTGTAGACAATCTCTACTGATCTAACACTAGCACCTCCAGACTAATAGGCGAGCAATTATGATTGCCACCTTTATGTACCTAGTCTACTGAGGCTGTTTCTAGCTTTGCCTTGCTTTCGCATCTGTCTTTCATTACCATCACATTATCATAAGTAAAGTGCTCTTTCTCCAATTTTCCCATTTCGTACCTCCCCTTGTCCTTCACTCGTTAAAGACATCTACAGTCCAAAAACTGTGACGATTTGCACGATTTGCGCTTGTATCCAACGGTTAGCACAGGGTGAGGCATATTTCTCTGGATCCCTGGAAAAATCCCTCAAGCCCATTGGGAGCACCTCTATGTAAAGTGTCGCCGTGCACCATCCCAATTCTCTTATATACATCAATTCTTCTGTGGACTGGCTCAACAGCTAGAGCCACGCCTGGCTCGTCTTCGTGCTCGCGTGCTCGCTTGAACTTCCCGAGGTATAGCAATCGGACGCTAAACTCTGATCCTGGAACGTAACACCGGTCGTCCGGTTCGAATCGACCTAGTTTTTCTCCAGGCAAGTCGCGGGAGTAGACGTAAAGGGTCCGACGCCCACGCACTAACGAATCAGGTAATTCTCGTATAACCCCAATCTGCGTTTTCCCACGTAACTTGATATAGCCCCCATCTACCCTGCCGAACGGGTCTAGGCTAGATGTCGTCACTGTAGCCTCTAGAATGTCCACCCGGCTCAGAAACTCGGAAACGTAATCAGGGAACTGCACTCCATACTTCGCGGCAGCCCATGACCAGGAAGGAGAAAGGTAATCCCATCCCGAAACACGTGGCGGTTCCTCAGTAAGCACGTAGTACGGTGTATACCAGGCCAACCCTCTCGCGATGTCCCCTTGCCAAATTCCTGCAATATAATCTTCCTTCGTTGCTCGGTGGAATTGCGAGGCGATACCGGAAAGCGCCGGCAGTCTGTCCGTCGATTTCGTCAGCAACAGCTCCGAGTAATGGGTGACAAGGTGATACCAATAGGATAGGCGTTTTCTTCGGCTCCCGAGCTGGTCCACAACAGCCTTGGTTATGATGCTGTTGGCTTGAATATCCCACTTTGTCGGGTAGTGACAACTTTCGAAACGGACGTTCTTAAAACACTCAAGGTACATGCCCCTGGTGCCAAAATAAAGCACCCGACGGGACAGCAGTCTTTCTTGAAGAATCCATCCTCTTCTAGCCAAGGGTGAATTATCCTCAGGCGAAAGACTGTAGCAGTCTTCTGCCAAGCCCTTGTGAGAGAGGATGATATCGTCGGTCAGATCACCGCACTTGACTGTTACTGTAACCATCGACAAGATGTCCCGTGGGTGAAGGAATCCAGTGTGGCAACTAGGTGCAGCTGGCCCAGCAATTGTCACAAAGGAGTCTCTGTAGATGCCCCCCATTTTCGCGCATTGTTCCTCCCAGTCAATAGCACTGTCCTGTATGATGCATAAAGAGTCTATCCATAGATACCTCAACCCCAATGATACCGTGGCAGTAACTGCATCCTGGAACGTTTTCGGTAGGCTATTGTAGGGGATCCTTGCCTTGAACTGCCCAGATGATTTTTTGGTAAGTCGTAATGGCTGCGAAGTTCCCCAACAGTGACTCAACGTTGCATATGAAACATTGTCCTTCAACCCCTCAATGAGGCGTATGTCAAGAGAGTTGCTAAAAGCTTGCAGGTCGAGAAGTCGAGAAGGGGGGGTAGCGCCGTCCAATGAGCGAGAGCAGAGTGTGTGGGCTCTCTCGCAGCTTCCAATCCAATCTTTGGCCAATTCAAAGTCGACATCCTGGGGAACGTGCCGCCCGATAATGTTCCAACTGTTAAGAGCAACGCTGCCTGCAGAAGCTTAGAGTCGTCCTGCCGCGCAGTAGAAATAGTAGAAACGCACCGTACTTACCAAGTTGGGACGAGACATCCACGAAAGGATACAACTCGTCCACTGGAATGGCCATGCTACCCTCGGCGCGTCGCGTGTAGATGATCCGATAGACGCCCGTAGACAAAGGGGCAAATTCTGCATCCGTGTCGAGGCTGACTGATTCGGCAAAAAAGGAGGTAACTTCGCTGCTTTGGTCGGACTGGCCATTGTCGCTCAGATCTACATCTCGACTTGAGTGGCTGCTCCCAGCCTGTGATCTTATCTCCGCATCCTCTCTATCCAGTTGTCGGTGGTATGCCTCCGCTTCTTCGATGGAGCCAGATCGATGACACGCGTAGTATTCAAGAACAACGGCCCTAAATATGCCACATATTTCACAGCCGTTCTTCGCCGAGTCATCTAGTTGTGTAAATGTCGAATAGTGCTCCGACTCCCACTCTAACTCTGTAAAGGGCAGCGACTCGCAGTATAAGCATGGCGCCATGATAACCAGTGGAACTATGGCGAGAGGTTATGCCGCGGGAGATAGGTTTCGAACGATTCCCTCTTGCAGTATCTAGAGCTTGGTCAGGCAGAGTGTAATCGACGGCCAGTCGAGTTTAGGCGCAAATCGTATAGCCGTGTGGCGGTTGGGCATGAAAACTCGTGAGAGAATTGCAGGTAAATGTTATGGCTGACGTATCACTTTCATGCCTGATTATTGGACGAATTAATGTTGGTGATATTCTTTATGTGACAATGTTTAGGTCCAGTGACTCCAGTCTGAACGCGTGCACCTGCAAGGATCCTCTGCTCACTCTAGGTCAGGCTGAGGCAGGAGCTGCTTAGGTCGGAACAAGGTAGTGGTAAGACTTGGAAATGTGACCTTTGCTGCCACATTATTAGATCTATTATCCACCCACCACGACCCAGACCTGTGGAATGTATACAGATGCACGGAACCTAAAGGAGCGATAACATCGAGGACGTCAAAGCTGGTAACGCTTTTCCAGAGGTCAAAACCCTGCGTTACCATTATCCCATCCTAGGAAGCAATCCTTTCCTGACTGTCGATTTGGATCTCAAGAGAGTGCAGAATGTCTATCACTCGGGTCTTGAGAGTAGAAAACTCCGTCACCATTTTCCCACTTGTTATCTCCGTCAAAGAGTTCCTTCGTCGTCTGCCGGGCGCCATGCCGAGCACGACTTCGGAAAACAGACAAACGCCGATGCTGATGTCAATTTGTTTGAAATTCGGCCCAGGGTTGTTTTCGCATATCAGGTATGATCGTTTATTAAATTTAATATTTAATTTAAAGCAGTCGTCAATCTATAACAACGCGCCTACAATCATGACGAGCGTCCCTATCTCGCCAACCTCAGCCCTCCATTCTTCCCACTCCACCGAGCTGAGAACAACACAGTTCTCGGTCAACTGAAGCTTCGTTAACACTCCTGTTCGAGAGAGTCCGTTGACTTTTCGCTCCTTGTTACAGGGTTCGAACTCCGTTCGCCATTCCTCGATGTCATTTGCATTCCACAGAGTCGCATTGTTTGCCAGAGGCATAAGAACGAAGCCGCAAGTGGGATAAGAAGAAGCCTCGGTTGACATCTCAATTAAAATGTTGAGGATCTGAAAAATAAGCACAGTCCTTCCGGGTGGATCAGTATGATCTATAAGCAAAGAGTATTAATACGTCGACAACAGTGCTCACCGTCTCCTTGATTCGTTGTAGATCCAGTCCATCCAGGTTACGCCGGGGTCATCGGGAAGGTTCATCTTGCGGATCCCACCGGCCGACAATACTAGCGCGTTGAATACAAGCTTCCGTGGTTGTCAGAGTAGAGCGCATACTATCAATACTGTGGGAGAAGTCGGTTTACCGCTCACTTACATTCACTGTGGTGAGAAGGGCGGCTTCGAGGCCGTCATTGCCCACTGGCACCTCCTGGAGGCGCAGCAAGCAGTAGACGAGTAGGGCCTGGAACGCAGCCAGAAGCTCCCATTTGTCGAACTCCGCATGCTGGAAACAGTTATTATTGGTTTCAAAATAACAACAACTGGCACGGCATATACCTTGGAAAGGATTTTTTCTTGCTCAAGTTTGATCAGCCTCCATACAATGTTCCTGCTTAAATCGTTTCGAGATTTGAATAACTGGACTAGGCCCATGCACGTAAGTAAAGACTGCTCATTAAGGAAACGTTAGTAAAAGGCCATTATTCATAGAAATGTTCGCACATCCAGAGAGCTAATTACGATAGTTATATTTATAAACTGGCGGTCCGCTATGCCGGATAATAAATGTTTGAGGATATGACGGTGAGGAAGCGCATCGACTGACCTGTTGCTGCGGCCCTACTCCAGTCTCAGCCCAGGAGGCTTGCAAAGGGCTAATAAACGGCGGCAGCGCGTTTTTTTGGAGCATCATGAAAGGGTAGGATCTCAATATCCGCATTGCCAACGATACTAGCGGGCCTTGGTTTGGCCTAGGAAAAGTCCGATGCTCAAAGAGCGAAGGGCCTGATAAGCCCCATGGTGTCAGGGTAGATATACCATTTTCGATCATGCTGGGTTCTTCACTGAAAGGGTAAAGCAGATAATCGATACTCTGGTCACTAAAAAGTGGAGTCTCAAGCCCAAACGTGTCGAGGTCTCTGAGACCAGAATCCCAGATGTCTTCCGTCGACCATCCGAGGGAGGCTGTAGAATTAGGAGAGGTCTGGAGAAATCTGCTGGTTTTCAATTTTGTAGATCGGCTAGACCCCATGGCGAGGGTCAGAGAGGTTGTACTCTCATGGGGTTCCGACTTCTTGCCCGTGAAGTGAGCTGCACTAGGGGCTGAACCCACATCGCCTCCAGGAGACTCCCCTTCTCGCCGTGCTGCCACAGCAAACTCACATTCCGCACCCCGCTCACGACAACGAACGCAGGTTTCTGAACTAGTATCGTCCGGCACAATGCAACGAGTTTTTGCCCGAACGCATGCGGCGCAAGATCGCCTGCGAGATGTGTTTGTGTCGGGAAGTTTGGAGCGACAGTAGTAGTAGTGCCGCCTGCGTGAGGACTCTAACAAATAGACATTAACGTCTGTTAGGGGTAAGGATAGCTACTACCAGATTCTTTTTTCCGAGGTTCTAGACTTCTCCTACCTTGAGCAAACGTTTTCTTGCATAGCGGGCAACGGCGGCTTGCTTCGTGGTTGCTGGAAGGTATTCGTTCCTGCTCCCTATGCATTTTGATATTTAGCGAATGCTGTAGTTGGGTCTTGCAGCTCAGTAGTGTTGGTATCAGGAAATGCACTTCGTCGAATTCATCAAATCCATTCTGTATACATGCCGGGAGGGCCGGAGGGGGGTGCCGTGTTTGCGCCTGAAGTCTATTTCACGGAGTTCCGTGCAACAATTGGCTTATTAATTCCCAAATGTGTGGGCACAGCAAGATTTGTGAGTTAGTAATACAGTCTAGACTTCAATAACACCGTAATGCGACCCTCAGGCATACTAGAAGTTGTGATACGAGGACCTTGACGAACGGATCCCAAGCTCCACTTATTCCTAGCTGACAGCTGCCGTTCGGGGAAATCGGGGTCTTGTTCGGAAATTTGCAGGATACCGCTGCTAGCAGCCAAAAGGAAACCATGGAACATGTTGAGATGTAATAAATGTCTAAAATTGGACACACTGTTGAGCATTCTCGGTTGACTCTTGGTATTTCTACGGATCTGTTGGGGTTCGGACAGTCTGGGATGGAAAAATGCCATGTCCGTGGACTTCTCTCATTAACAACTTTGCAAACCACCCTGAACTTACATAAAGTTTTGGATCGGGAGTGGTCACAATCTCATAAGTTCTCTGGATAGTAAAGGCTCTATCATAGTCGACATGTAACTATATGAAAACAAGCTTTGTATCCTTACAGCCATATACTCCGACGACAAGCTGGTCATCATCTCCTAGAGTCCAGGAAAAGCGGCCGTGTCGGCGACGTTGGCCTCGAGCCTGCCGCATGGACCATCGACGTCAGCATTGCCTCACGCGAGAGGCGCATACATGGTACCGAACTTCTTGTATCCGACACCCGTGACGAATGTCTGCATCCATGGGCCCTGTGTTTTGCCGTGGGCCAGCTCCCAGTAGAGGTCCGCATGCGCGTCACCGTCGATGTGGTACTTGGGCGACCCGTCTAGCTTCCGTTCGTCGGCATAGTAGAATCTTCACGTCGTTAGTCTCCCACGCGCAAATTCTCGAAGCAGATTGGGTGGCTCACTTGTATCCACGGTCTCTGTAAGCGTCCGCGGCGGCCCAGATCATGTGAGCGGCGCCCGACTTGCCGATTCCCTGGGAGAGAAATCCCGGGAGGATGGAGACGTTTAGGACATTGCCGGTGTAGATGAAGGTACGCGCGGCTGACGCCGGAAGCTGTGCAAAGCCCGAGACGGCCTGTTGCGCGGCAACAAAGGCACTGCAGATGTTGATGGTCGTATCGCGACTCAAATCGGCCAGAGAGAGGGCGAAGGGGTCGTCTTTAGGGGTGAAGCTCACGGCGCTGACTGCGACGCGTCGGTCAACTAGCGACGGCACTACCGGGGACGATGCATACCATTGTAGACGACGACACTAGGGATGCCGAACACCTCCTTTACCTTGGCAAAGGCATTGACGACATCTTCGGTCTTGGAGAAGTCGCTGGGGATGTTCAGCTGCTTGTCAGTGCTGTCGGCCTCCCTTAGGGAGCGAGCGGCGAGGCCAACCTTGTAGCCCTTGGAGGCAAAGGTGCGGGCGACGGCCTGGCCAATATTAGGGCCGGCGCCGAGGATGAGAACGACGGGGGATTTAGCGGCCATGATTGGATGCTGAGTCGACTCAGGATAAGTTTCTCAAGAGTGTGTTTTGTGTTTGCGAGTATGTTGTGCTTGGTCATGCCTCGGAGGAGAAGAAGGCGGGCGCAGTTCCTGCTATATATGGCCGAGTACAGTGGCGTACAACTAATATGTTCACCTTTATTAATCTGAGGCACGTCATGGCGGCCTTTGACGTAGGATAGAAGTAGCACGCTGGGCATCGCATGGGGTAGACCGTGGGGGCTTCGATCATCACCAGATGTGTTACCCCGAAGCGGGAAAAAGACTATGGTCGGTCGGGTCGCAATACTAACTCCGCACCACATATTCGTTGATATTCACGATAGGTTACCTTTTGTCCAGTACAAAGAATCTCCGAAAGGCTATACAGCTCGGCCGATTCGTTAATTAACGCAGGTTTCTGTTTCGTGGGGGGGGAGAAAACCCCCTCTCGGTTTATGTGATTGCCGGAGTTAAAACGCCGTACACGGATTTCCGTGAAGATGAACACGGGGAATTTCAAGGAACTTACGACTAGGACATTTATAATCCAGATTCGGAGTTTACAATATTAACAATCATTTTCTTTTTTCTGTTTTGTTGCGCATATAAAAACCTGGCGTTGATGGACTGTGTTCGTCCTGCCTGGTTTTTCATCTCATTCACATCAACACACTCCACGATACACCTCTACAAATCAGCTGAGTATGGCAGCAGAGACACTTTCACTTGCCGGCAAGTTTGCCTTGGTTACAGGCTCTAGCAAGGAGCACGGGATCGGTGCTGCCATCGCGAGAAGTTTGGCTCGGAACGGCGCGTCTGTGGCCATCCATTACGTGTCAGAGAGCTCGAAGTCAAAGGCCGAAGCCATCGCCGCGAACATCACCAAGGAATTCGGAACCAAAACTACCGTGGTGCGAGGTGCGGTCGAGGAGGTCGGCACCGCTAAAACCATCGTCGAGGATACGCTCAAGGGCCTCGACACGGACCACATTGATATTCTCGGTATGTTATGGAGGCCAGGGGCTTCGAATTTTGTTATCACTAAATTAGGCAAATCTGACTTCAGATGTTCGATAGTCAATAACGCTGGAGGCGGCGACAACAAAGCCTTGATGGAGATCACGCCGGAGCAACTCGAGCATGAGTTCGGGTTGAACGTTTTTGGTCCGATTTACCTGACGCAGGCCGTTGTCGATACGGGAAAGATGCCCAAAGGGGGACGGATTATCAATGTTAGCTCGATCGCCGCCAAGCTTGGCCTCGAGGGTGTGACGGTCTATTCTGCCGCGAAGGCAGCGCAGGATAGTTTGACGGCGTCCTTGGCTGGTGAGGTAAGCAATACTTCTTATGTCTTCTCTGGCATCACATCAGATGGTCGGTTCTCACAGGAATGTACAGCTCGGAAAAAGTCGCGGAATCACCGTCAATACGGTTGCACCCGGCCCGGTCCCGACTGACACGTCGAAGCCGTTTCTCGAAAAGCCTGATGGGTCTCCAAGTGAAATGCAGGCCGGCATGATTGCTATGACGCGAGCAGCGGCGCGTCTGGGAACCACAGCGGACATAGCTGACGCTGTGCTTCTGCTAGTATCGGAGAAAAGCCGGTGGATTACTGCGCAATGGATTTCACTCAGCGGTGGTATCACTGGGACTATGTAAGTCCTAGACAGGATCGCTTTGGCAAGCTGCTTTGAGTAGCAACCTGTCTATTTAGTAACTCATATGTCAAGTTGATTTTAAATATATTTCTGTTTCCCAAACTCGAAACAAAGCAGCTGAACTTCTACAATTCCCAAGTTATTATCAGGACAGAGCCAACCCCAAGGGCAAATGTGTTATTGTAAAATACCCAACATGTAGGCCTAACGCCCGGCGGAAGCCAGAGAGCTTTTCTTCCATCTCGTATCTCCCAATCATCGATAATAAAACGCTGCATGGCCCTGAAGAGACTCAACCGTCCCCGAATTCTCCTTAAATATTGGCTGATCAATGATGTAGTGGCACGGAGAACCGAATGTTCTCTTTTTATCCCTCGCGTTCCGAACTCAGTGACTGGCGGTCCTGTCGTGTAAGAGAACGCCGTCCGAGGAAAGGAAGCCACCTGCCTCACTTCAACCCTTCCACTCCTGTAACTGCACGCACAGAGACAGCTCGACCCAGTTTACTGTGGTCTGTGACTGTTCTCACGCCGTTCAAAAGGAGAAAAAGAGATCTCATTACGCTTCTTCTCCGGCGCATGCTTCGTCTTTCCCTGGATGTACGGTTTGGGAATTCGCGTGAAAAGCATGACCAAAATTGGTCTGTAAAGCCCATAGGTGTTGGAGGCAGATATGCGATGTGTGAAAACAGTGATGATTGCAGAACTACGAAGTAAAGCTCCTTCCGTTTCTAGCCCCTAAATTACCTTCCTTAAATAGCTGCCTGATATATCAGGGTCTGTTATTACACATGGCCCGACAATAATAGGGATGTCAAGCTTGGCGTCATGTTGTAAACCGATTTCTATGCACATCTTGTGCATCTATAGCGAATGTTGTCCATTCATTAATGCTATCGAGGAGATGTGTGCAATGGCCGAATTAGTTGGTTAATTGTCGCAGGGTCGAAGCCTCAGACAGTTGTGCCAAGGGATTTGCTGAACACCCAAAACAACTGTTATTATATAGCTTTAAAAAAAAACTATGCATATCCGCATATATCCAGGGCACCCACGTTTAGGCAATTTTATTCATTGAGAAGCCGCTTCTCTGTCATTTCAATGTTTCAAGATGCGGGCGCGAAGTTGATTTTGTTGGGTGTTCAGCTGCGAACCATCAGTAGCATCTGATTCCGGCTGGCCAAGCTCTTCTCCACACGAGTTCGGGAACTAATGGAAACTATAATCGCGTCAATTAATGTTCAAATTCTATTGTATTGGCGCGCCGTAAAGTCTTATCCAACTTTTGCCAACCCTGGAATTCGCGAAATTTTTAGGAGTCGTAAAAACGCGAGAGAAATAGTTGTTCAATTCGTTCCTCAACGAGCCCCTTCACATCTCCTTTACCTCGACATGTAAGTGCTTTTGCCACCTTGATAAAGAAAACTGCACGAGTATTAGAATATCTGGTGTGAGTGGGTCGAGCCAAGCACCTGTTAAGCTAATATATGAAATAATCGATGCGTTTGCAAAAGCCCTGCATTTATTGGCCCTGGTCCCAACCTCCATCACCTTTCTTTCAGCATGATACTTGCAGGACATGGAACCGACAATGACGGATTTCGTCGCCCTTGCTACATCATATATCCAACGGCTCTCGCAGCCGCGGGAGAACCGCCTCGTGGCCGTCACGGCTACCGCTCTCGCGTATCTAGCTGCAGTGCACCTGCTTAGGTACCGCCGACGGAATCAGATCGTCCGTAAGTATGGGCGGTGCGGCCGCCGGACTCTGGCATCTATGACGGTCGAAGAAGCCTCGGAGATCCGCAAACAACTTGCCAACTTTGAATTCCCCCATGCTTTTACTACATCCCTTTTCTTTGCGCTCTTCAAGGTATGCCCGTTCATCCCCTCCAAGCCTCCCCTCCCTCTCCACCAAGCTAATCCCCACGCTAGACTTACGCCATCCCGTCCATCTCCAAACTCCTCCTCGCAACAGGCCAACTCGCCAGCAACGAAACCGCCTGCAAACGAGCCGCCGACACCGCCGCCCTCCTAACCGAAATGACCAACAACGCCCCTCGATCCGACCGCGCCGTCTGCAGCGTCGCCCGCATGAACTACCTGCACGGCCGATACCGCAAAGCTGGCAGGATCTCCAACGACGACATGCTCTACACCCTCAGCCTGTTCGCCCTCGAGCCGTCCCGCTGGATCAAGAGGTTCGAGTGGCGCGAGTTCTCCGAGGTTGAGTTGTGCGCCGAGGGTGTGTTTTGGAGGGATGCTGGGGAGGCTATGGAGATTTCTTATGAGGTTTTGGAGCAGTATTTGGATGGGGATGATGGGTTGGCTTGGTTGAGGGCTATTGAGATTTGGAGCGATAATTATGCGAGGGTGAATGCTGTTCCGGACGAGACGAACGAGAAGGTTGCGAAGGGGACTCTTGATATTCTGCTTTTCGGTGTTCCTGGATTCGCGAAAGGAGCGGCTGCTCAGGCTATAAGCTCTATTATCGATTGGAGAACACGCGAGGCGATGCTGTTAGTTTCATTCCCCCCTTCCCACAAACCCCCTTGTCTCTGAACTCGTCAAAACTCTGAAACTAACCTTGCGGAACCTCTAGGCTTTCCCCGCCAACTTCTTCTCAACAAGCCATGTTGAACGGCTTCATGGCCCTTAGGAGCTTCGTCATCAAGCACCTCTTTCTCCCTCGTCCTGCGTGGCTAGAATTCAAGCGCGTAGGTGACGATCCAGACCCCACGACCGGAAAGTACAACATGCTTCTGTACTTTTCGCAACCGTGGTACATCAAGCCTACCTTCGCCAATAGGTGGGGAATCGGTCCCCTCTTTACTAGGCTTTGCGGTGGCCTTGTTCCTGGAGCAGCCCAGTTCCGGCCTGAGGGATATACAATCGAGGACGTTGGACCGGTCAATCTGGAAGGGAAGGGACGTCCGGAGATGGAGCTGGAGGCGAAGAAGCTTCAGGCCCGTCCTGTAGTTTGGGGCGGCTGTCCAGTGCCTGGTCAGTAGATATTGGAGACGCCGGGTCTTCTATCTACACCATCGGACGTACTTGATACTGGCTGAAATTGACTCTTGTATATTATGGATTCTTCATTCGGTATTTGCTAGTGGATCATTGGTTCTTTGCGCGGGCTCTGAACGGTACTCTCCCCTCGATATTCAGAATGCAGGCTGCAGCTAGTAAATTTTTGCCAGCAGAGACATGATACTCGTGAAGATTCTATTAGGATCTATATTTCAGGCTTTCAGCTCGGTATTATGCCTCTATCGTCGTAATCAATGCTACCTCACTATATACAGCCCACCGGCCCCGTAAGCCTCATCGCGCAAAAGGTCCGAGTCTGATCGAACCCCAGCCAAATGCAACGGCACCCGGTCCACCTGCTGCTGCACCTTCTCCCTCACATCCACCAACTTCTCCGAGAAGCTCTTCTCTGACTCCACCGTCTTCAGCCTCTGGAGGGCATCCTCGTACCCCCAATGATCCCTCCTCAGGCTCGCCACGGCAACAATAACATCTTGCAGCAAAGCGTCTAGCACGGCGTCTTCGGCTGAATTTTCCAGCTCCGGCGACCGAATGTAGGCCATTAGGATGACTTCCACTTTCGCATCGTAAAAGTCAACGCCTTCGAAGTCATGTAGCATGTGTACCGTCACCTTGTTCTTTCGAACAGCATTAACCGGAGCGTGCATCAAAGGTCCGACCGTGATAACCGCCTCACTCCAGTCCACAAACAAGTTCTCTGTTCCCTTTCTCGGGACTACGCGAGCCCATCCCACAAACACACCCTTAAACCCCGCCTTGAAATCATCCGGTATCCCCGAAAGATTCGCCGTCGGAATCCCAAATCGCTCCCGCGACCTCCCAGTCCCCCTCCCCACCATCCCAGTAAACCTCACAGGAAAAGGTTCCTCTGGCCCCGTCTCCGCCCCAACAGTACACGTCAAGTGCCCCCCACTCAAAAGCCCCGCATCGGCCGCAAGAAGCTGGTTGTATTTCGCCCTTCGCATACTCCTCCACTGCTCGTCGTGTTTCTGATACGCCGTCGCCACCCCCTTCTTCGCCGCCGACGACACCTTGGAACTGTACTTGCCCAGCTGCGAGCCCACGACCCCCGTCACGGGAGAAACGTACCGCATCACGGTGTTGGTGGCGATGACGGAGCCAACTTTGACGCCCACCTCGAGAGGGATGGAACGCAGGCCGGCGCCGCGGATGACGCTGGCGTCCGTGGACATGCTGGCGATGCGGAAGACGGGGCTCCCGCAGAGGACTTTGCCCGGGCTGGGACCGGCGCAGACGACGAGGCGGTAGTATCCGTCTGATGCGGAGGCGGGGATGCGTAAGATGTGAGTTTCCCGCGCGAGATGCTTGCGTATACGCCCCGTCGCCTTGTCAGAGAAGCGCTTCAAGTCTCGCTGGTAAGCACGCTCGTCGTTGGAGGGTAGTTCGGTGGCGAGGGCGCTGCGGCTTGGCGTGACGTTGATCCAGCCGTCTACGCCACCGACCATGGCCTTTATCGCCATGCCGGTTTTGCCGGAAAATCCTTTTTGCTGGAGCCATACTGTCCTGGTGGGCGGTAAAGCGGTGTCAGATAAGATGGAGATGGTTACGGCGGTTGCTGGGCCTCTGTACCAGACGAGGGCGAAGGAGTGACGAATGACGGTGTAGTGCTTTGTAGATTCGGTGGCTCGGGAGAGGAGACCTCCGGCGAAGAATTGGGCTTCATCGAGGGCTTGTTTGAGGAAGGCTTTTGTCTTGGCTGATTGCGTTGTGTTATCATCAAGGATGCTGGTGCCGATGGGGTCAGGGTCGGTAAGGCCGGTTGACGCGCGGCTCTCTAGTGTCTGTGTGGAAAGGGCTACTGAGCTCTTTACACGCCGGGCTTCATGGGCTCGGACTTTTTTGTTAGGATAAGTGGGGAAGGGATCATCGTTGAGAAATTGAGGTTCTGAAGGCCCATGGGGAGGGATGGTAGGTTCTACGGCGGTCTGAGATCCAGCCAAGGTTGTAGATGACCGAGAAAACAGCCCTGGGCGGAGGTAGACAGGCTCTGGCGCAAGTCGATCGGTCATCCCGGAAGGCGCGCAGATGCTGTTGGAATCAAATGTAAAGGGACAAGGGGATACCCCTTCAAGAGGGAGATGATGGGAGATACAAGGGAGAAGCGACATTGAGGGAGAATCGCTGACGACGCATCGTGAATCTCAGCGTTGAGAAGGGTCACTTGCCAACACCTGGCAGGGGAGGTCTGAAAGGAGACGCATCACGTGCACCGGCGATCTGTGATCACCACCTCATTGTGAATTTGTGACACTCCAAACAAATTTGTTTATAGATCTACAGTAGGTTGTCGTATGCGATGAGTCTGTCAGTAGCCCTGAATCCTTGCGACCGTATAAGCTGCGATGTGATCTGCAGCCCTAGACTTGGTCTTTAGGCTAGACAAGTTCCCCGGCCTTACAGGCCGGCGATGGGTCACTTCATCTTCTCTCAACTACACACCCGTGTTTGATAAGGAGCCCCTTCAGAGATGTAAATCAAAATGTAACACTGCACAACGGAGACAAAAAGACGGGAAGAATATCCTCAGAGTGGAACACATCACGACTCAAGAGGGGGTGAAAAGACAATGCGGTTGGTCCTTATTCGATCCTTATCTGAACTATCATAAACTGACCAACGTCCTCGAACTGATTTTTCGCCTTTTCTAAAAGCCGTTTTAATGTCTCTCCAGGTGGTGTCGTTTCCGTTGGCCGCAGAGTACCTTACTTGCCGGCGCACCTTTCATCCTCCGCATCAACACCCACGAGACTAAGATAGACCCTCGTAACGTTCCCCTCACCACCACACGTCTGTTGCCCATTATTAGAGCACGGAACACCGCACATCTTTCCATCCATAACCTTGCCGAAAAGCTGCACCGGATCCTTGATACACCTGCAAGTATCGCCATTCCGCGCGGCAAACATGTGCGAGCACGCGCACTCCTTAGCGCACTTGTCGAGGTCCACGTCGCCGTTAACCGAAGTAGTATTGAGGCCGGCTAAGTTATCCTCGGGCAGGTCGATGCAGCCAATGTCCTCCCAATCGGCGAGGTTTGTCGGGAGAGGAGCAGCCGTCGCGCTGGGCTTGGGGGTGTACCACGCCGGCGGGGCCCTGGCGCAGGTCTCGTTGAGGCCGGCGAGGGGGTCAGCGGGGGGATCTTGGGCCGGGTTACGTTTTCTGTTATTTCCACCGTTCGCTCCATTGTCGTCACCGTCGTAGATGTTTCCTAGATCGGAGCCTCCGTTATTCGTGTCGGGCGGAACAGCCGCGTAGCAAGCTGCGGTGTGTCAAAATTCTGGTCAGTTCTCACAACATGGCACTCCCAAAAGGGGGTGGACGTTTACTCACCATTTTGAATACCCGCAACGGCATTAGATACCATCAAGACTTGATCGGGCACCATTTCGATTCCCGGATACTGGTTGATCAAGTCGAGGAGGTTATTGCAATCGTCCCCGTAGACCGCAATGAAATCCGCCCATCGATCCTCCTCTTTATTGTGTTCATAACGCCGCCACGACGTCCCTTTAAGGATCTCCTTGACACGAGTTCCGATGCGTCGAACATCCGAAACATCCGAGTTCCCTTCAGCTGAGTAGATCAACGGCCCCCAATGAGGGTGGGCCAAGTAATACGCAACCAAGCCGCCCTAGATTAAGTAAGAGGCGCGATGAACAGTTAGCTGTTAACCTCATCCAGGGGATATAGTAAATGAAATAAATACCAAAAACGGGCAACGAAAGGAAAGGAAGACATACTACCAGGGGTGCGGCCCACATATCACTCTGAAGGTCGCGCACACTTCCGTCAATAGCCATTCCTTCGATCGGGTATCCGTGAGCAAATACCCAGTCTTGGTGATCATCCAAGATCCTCGAGTTCTGGATACGGTAGGTTCCGTCAATCCCCGCAGCACCCACGACGATGAGTTCGGGGAACTCGCCCGCGAGGGTCTCGGGGAAACGAAGCAAGCCATCTCCTGCACTCGTTTCCCAGAAGCAGTCGTCAGGTCCGCCCTCATCGGTCACCACGAAGGCACCATTGGCACCGGCGGAGGCGACAACGACGATGCCTGCGTGGCGACATGCGAGGAGGATGGTTCTCCATGCCGTTGTGTGCTGTTCGGCCATTTCGCTGCCTGCTATTATAGCCGGCACTGCGCATTGACAAATGTCAGCCAGGTTCCGATTCTAAAGATGATTCTATCCCTCCTCAAAGCCCAGAAAACACGAAAGGAAAAAGAAGGGAGAAGAAAGAAAGAAAGAGGAAGGGAGAAGGAAAGGGGTCAGAAACTTACCCTGTGGTATCAACATTACCGCTTTTCCCGTATGCCCGAACTCTCGATGTCTCTCGAGCATTTTGTTGGCCCCAATCAGCATGGCTTCCGGGGTGGTTCGCAAGCCCCATACGCCATTTTGAATCCAGCTGCACCAAACCTTGATACTGAACATTTTTGCCTTTTTCGCGACGCCAAACCGTGTGCCCACGGCCAGTGACGCGGCCGGAGTGCCATGGCCTTGCCAGTCATCAAACCTGTCGATATCGGGGGCGCGGTTAATCTTCTGTTCGGGAAGATTAAGAGCAGGATCGATGCATGACTCGATGGGCACCTCGAAGAAGCTGTCCTGTATATTGTTGTCATCGATGCGGAGTTCCTCCTAAAATGCCACAATTTTCACGTTAGAGGCAACATGCAGGAGAGAAAGGGGAAGGAAAAAAGAAGAAAGATTGAGGGAGATGGCAAAACTTACGCGGACCTCTGGAGTGTGGTGGGCATAGCCACTATCGAATACATATACCCAGGTACCTTCTCCGGCGGACTTGTGATATCGGTATGAATTTTGATAAAGAGGACTGCGCGTCTGGGATATCCTTAGCAAATGATAAGGAGCGCCCTCCTGAGTTACGACATCGGCATCGTTATCAGGGCCGGGGTCGGTAATCTCGCGAGGATATAGAACGCGATTGGCCGGCGTCGTCTGATTGCCGAAATCGCGGTGCGACATGTGCCACAGCCGATCGGTGGCGGCTTTGGTGATGGTTGAGGACGAATTTCTGGCACCGCGGTCGTTCGAGCCTTGGAGCAGTTGTTCGTGGACGAAGGAAATAGACTTCATGTGTCCGATCATGGCCCGTTGGCGTCGGCTGAGCTTTGTGAAATACGAAGCACCCAGTTCGGGAAATCCTGGGAGTTTGTAGCCTTCAGACAGGTCAAGAGCTTGGTAGAAAGTCTCAACGAGTGGTGCGGGAGTGCCGGGTTTGAAATGGACCCAGGTTGGGTGGCGCTGGTCTTCGCCCTGAAGAAGAACCGGGGTGGTACCATTGTTGTCCCTGAAATCCCTTGCGTGAAGCTGGACTTGGCCAGCAAAGGCGTCAATGCCGTGAGTGATGGAACCAGCACTCCCTGTGTTATTGAACTGAGTAAAGTGGGAGTCCATGCACCTTTCGTCGGCGCCCAAATCATGGAGAATCATCCGTGCGAGGAGTTCAGTATTGTGGGAAGGGCTGACTAGGTCCATAACTGCCAATGTGTCACCCAGCGACCGGAACCACCGCATTCGGTTCACCATGGCTCGAAGCTGAGACGGTTGGTGGACGCCGAAGACGTCGACGGTTGTTTTGTGGTTCTCAAAAGCGGCAAGAATGAGTTGATCGATCTTGTGAACCCACTGAGTAAGCGTTTTGGGCTTGGAGATGGGAACGGTGAAATCGGCCTCGCTGTCTGGCAAAACCTTGTCAACAGCTGCGACGGCCTCCGAGAGGGCATCTAAAGGACCGAACGGCTTTTCCTGACTCGCGGCTTCATTCTTGAGAGCACTGTGGGAAAGGACCATAAGCGCAAACTCAAACATTTTCCCAGCTGCCTTGGTCGCATCCTCTACAATGGAGACTTTGACATCATTGAGGAGTGCTTGGGCGGAGAGGAGATCCTGAGCCTTAGCATCAGCCGCTGGCTCGATGTCACGATGCTTGATGACAACGTTTATGCTTCCAATGTGGGCGGTGGTTATGTTGGCGGGTGTATCGATGGTGTCCGGGATGTCGATGCAGCCATTACTACAGCACATCGTGCCGTACTTCAGGGAGCAGGCATCGCCATGGGCAGTAATGAACGGCCATTCCTTGTCCTCCGGGGCAGCGGGGTAGAGTTTAATTCCATCGATGTCAAGGGAGACCTTGGGAATGAAATAGGAGATGTCGGCGTCGGTCAGACCGAGAGGAGTAGTAAGGTCAGCATCGGAAGCGCCTAAGGAGGAGGATAAAATCATCAGCATACATGACAATCAAACAGGGCTGGGCAGGTTGGGATACTCTTAGGAGAGGCATGAGCTGATGCGAGGAGTAGGGGGACATAGGCCACAAGGGCCCATGATCCAGGAATTGGCATTATCTCGATTAAGATAGATATGAGATGAGAGTTGGGGATCAAAGGAGATAGCTTTCGCATCAATCTGATGTTGAGTCTTTTAGGGGAAGTGAAACACAATGATCAATCGCGAGGTTAGGGAGGCACCAATAAATAGTTTTTAGGAAGCCAGAGCAATCAGTAACTAAAAATCACCAAGGTAGTGGAGCAAAGAGAGAGAGAGTGGTTGAGTGTAAATACAATTAATTCAGTGATATGTGAATCACAAAGTCACAAAATCATAGTTCCAGTTGGCTGTAGGTTGCACCGTCCTAACTCTTATTGACCTGTGTTCGAGGTGAAGGAGGGTTGCTCTTTCCTGAGTTAATACCATCGAAAGATTCCTCTTTGTGATTTTAAATGGTGTCTCCATAAAGAGTATAGTTGCTCTTTGTCCTTGTTTGGCGCCCCTTCTTCGTCTCCTGTTGATTCAGCACCTTTCTAGAGCCCGTGGCAGTATACCTCGAAAAGCACTTGCAGGGACCGACGGCTCAACCATATGCAACTTGATTATAGTTTTTCCGAGCCAGGTGCCTGTTAATTTACTTCGTTGTCGACCTTGTCTCCGATGAGCTCAGCGGGTTTGTTCCGAGTTCTTCACTGGCTCGCCAGTAGTCGATGCTGTCGCCCTTGATGAACACCCGAATCGAATTTCATACTTCTCTGGCGTCTCCGGAAAGTCAAGTCCTTTTCTGACATATTCACTGGACTTCTTCGCCCAGCGATGTATCATCATTCTTCCATACATAGCCCCAATTCATCCTCGCCAAACCATGCCCAAGTGGCTCATTCATTGGCTCATATATTTGCGGGTTACTTAAAAGATCTTTCCTCACTTGCGTTAGCAATTCCAAAAGCGATCTCTTCTCCCTCGCCGATTCGGAGCGGTGATTGGTAAACAACCAGGAATCTAACGCGGTAGAGAGGTGCGCCTCGGTACTACTATCGAGTATACGAAATGGATGCGAGGGAGAGGGCCGTATCAGTGATTCCGGTATTATCAGGAACAATACCTTAAGTCCATCTCCACTGGGAGCGGCTTCTATTGAATCCTCCATCTCCTGGGCAGAAGCAACGGATCCACCCGTGCGAAGGCGAAATGCCACGAGCCTGAGGAGATATCCCACAGTTGTGCCAAGCACGAGTCGCAGATTGTTTGTGGAGGTATTGAATCTTCGAATGAGGTTTCGATTGCTTTCCGCTCCGTGGTAGGTAAGGAAGACGTCCCCCTCATCCCCGTGAAATGCAACATCAACTGAAATCCTTTCTCCCAAGTCCGGTTTAGCTCGTAAGAAAGGCTTCAACGCCTTATACGCTTCACTTGGTGTTCCATACCAATAGTCCGATTGGGGCTCTCTAGTGGCGACGAAGGTGGCAAACAGAGCGGAAGTGGAGATATGGGTTTGCGCCTTTGAGTCGCCGTCAGAACACTGTTTCGAAACCATTTCATTCGAGAAGCGGGCATTCGGATCAGCCCCGAGTGAGATTAATGCTTCAATGAAACGGTCACGACCAAGGACGTTGGGTTCGCCGGAAAGGGGCAGATATCTCAAGACTTTGGTTGCAAGCTCCTCATCGTGAGCTGATTGAAGAGAGAAGAGAACGAAGTCCTCAAATCCTGAATTTGCTACAGCTGCTAAGAAGCAGTCCGTCTCCGGGGAACGGAGCCTACCGTCTTCAAATAGCTTCCAGGCTATCCGTAGCCCGTTGTGTACTTGACATTTCAGGCTCAAAGATTTAATGCTTCCAAGGTACGCGAGGAAGCTGGAGAGAGAGCACGGAAATATCGCACAACATGCCAAGTACCCCATGGCAAGTCGTAGGACCTGCTCATCCGTCGAAGATTCGTAACAGGCGAGCAGACTCTTGCCCTCTGAGTTGTCCGTTAGAAAGTCATGAGCGGTTCGGTGTATGAATTCTACGTCGCAGAGCCATAAGTCCAGGACACCAGCAAGGCATTCCTCCTCGAGACGATACCCGTAGACACTCGCCATTGTCCGGCGATAATTTTCTCTATCGGCGGCGAATAATCTGGGCCTCAACTCTAGCAATCCGGCGCATCGTCTCTGTATGGCGTCTCGAGTATCCTTGCATAAATGATTAATTGATTGGATGTCGAACGGTGTCCCGGAGTTTGCCGCGAAGGCCCTGTCTTGGAAAGACTGCGTTACAGTGGCCATGAACAAGAGAAGTAATAGCCCGTTTGGCGAAAAATACGAAGGAGCCTCGATAGCTCCGAAAAAAACCGGCCATGGTGTGAGGCCAAGAATTGTTTCCTTGCAGAGGACGATGCGAAAGTATTCCACTGCAGTCTTACGGTAGACGGCGCTGTCTCCATTGAGCCTAGTCCACATGTCCATGTAAAGCTCGGACAGTTCACTCGGTAGCCTTTGCAGGCGTAGTTTCATGACCTCTCCCGTGTCGCCATTCTTCAACCCCTGAAGGAGACTCCGTGCAACGAGATGAACCCAGAGGAAGACCCCTTCAGCCTTGTAGACAATCTCGTCGACTAACCAGGATACTAATTTATCCTGCGCACAGGGACCTTCTTTACGATTAAGGGTGTTATCCGACTGGTTTTCAAGTGTGAAAATATCTTCGACATACTTTCTCATGTCCTCCCGCGTAAAGTCTTGGAGCCGGAGATGCTGGAAATGGCCGAGGTGCTGCTGGAACGGGGCGTCTGGCCGGCTTGCCACACACACCTTGACATTCTGAAGGGCCATTAGGTCGTCGACAAGCTTCATCAGTTCTCTTGCGTCATTCTCACAGATCTCATCCAATCCATCGATGAATATGCACAATGGAGATGGGTATTCCTCAACAACGGTTAAGAGCAACTCCCTGAGCTCTCGAGTGGACCAGTCCGCATCAAACTCTTTGTTTCCATAAGATGGCGAGGCAATTATGGCGTTGCAGATTGCTCCGTTGCCGGAAAGAGCCCGATGAAGTAAGGTGCATAGCAGCCCTTTCAGAGTGTTTTGCATCTGTGTTCCAAGTCTCCAAAAGAAGTGCGACAATATCACAGTTTCCCTTCGCCAAGAATTCAGTGCAGTCGAAGTGTCATTGCTTGAAACGAGGAACTTGACCAAAGTGCTTTTCCCAGATCCGGGCTTCCCGTATATCCAGTAAATATTGCTCTCTGACTGCAACCACTCCTCAAAGTTGTCCCAAAGACTGTCAGTGGCGCCACTGGTCCCCGACGGGCTGTCTCTGCTTGGGCCTTCGGGTATCTGTCGCGATGGGAAGATCCACTTGAAAGTTCCATCGTGGGAGTCAACAATGTGATTTCGTCGCGCATTCATGGTGGCGAATTTAAGGCTTCGGAGAAACCGCTGTCGTTGATCCTCTGTTACGGACGAGTCGTGTCTCCTCTGAGCATCACAGGCAATCTTCGCAGCTTCAGTCGCCAGACGGTCTGCAAGCACCTTCTCTGCCCTGGAGACCACCGTAGTGACGTGCCGTAAAACCGCCGTTGTGGTTTGTCGTGCTTCCCGTGTCGTGTGCTCCATCATCGTATCAATTCGTGTGTTTACTAACTCCGAGAGACTCTTGTGGCCCGATGCGTACTGGCTAACGAATAGACGTAGGGATTGGTCGAGGTTGGCGAAGCCAGCATCTTGCTGGAGTTTTATGGCATCGCTTTGTTTGCTGAAAGGAGTGGTTCTTAGAAAATACGCCCTGCTTCTGTCGCAACTTTACGCCGGGAGCTACTCACCACACTCGTACAAGCAAATGTGATTCCAGCATGTCTCGGTACTCGGCCAGTGATTTCTCCAGCCTCTTCAATCGATTCTTCCGCCACGTCGCCTTGGCCGCGGTGCGAATCGTAGCGGCGAGCTTGCCTTGCCCTTGGCAGCCAATTATGAAGCGAACTTCCTCGTCCAGTGCCCGAGCGACAACGTTGCATTTTCTCGCGACATCTTCGAGCTTCCGTTCGTCGGGACCGCGGGATTGGCGCGTGTGGTAATGATTCTGAACATCTGACGATAACGTTTTCAAAGTGGTGGCATACTCCTCGAGGTGTTTGTCAATCCCGCTGCCGTCGTAGATCGCTTTGCAGAGTCGAACTGTCTCCGCAGCGAAGCCAATGACTTGGAATATGTTGGCAACAACCCCAAGGGCCTCAAGTCCTGACATGTTGAGCAGTGGATTCCCGAGGAGTTTATTCTATCCAAAACGCAGTCTCTTCTCCGCTACGGGACATGGATGGTGGGATATATTCCATGACAAGATGGTCGAGACTCGAGAGAGCTGAAAAGATTCTCTTCCGAAGGGAAAAGCGGGGTATTGCGCCGCGCCGTGAGAAGTATGCCCAAAGACTCACGGCCTGGTGGTCCGTCTGGCGAACATTGGATAGCCAATTTCTTGATCCTAACTGGCTAGACAACTGTTTAGTGGCTTGGATGCAGGAGGAATCGCCGTCTCACGGTCGGGAATCGGGACTGGAATTGGGATATTTTGGAGCAGCAATAAACTAAGCTCCGGACCCCCAAATGTTATCTGTCATACTCCCACGTAGAGACTGCGTCCCGGGTCAATTCGAATATCTAACTGAATTACTCAAAAGCCATATGGCAGATACTTTCAAAAACCGAACTGCTTCGTGAATCTCCTCACAGCTTCAAGACTCCAACTATGCTTCAAAATTACCTCATTTCTCTTGTCTGAGCAGGGCGCTTAGTCATCCAATTTCCAAGTCCTTCGTCTACAAATTTCTCTTGTCTTCTTCGACTTTACTGCCAAGTTTCATACCGGGTCTAAAAATGGCTAATACAACGGATCCTAGACGAGTAGCCGAGATCATGCTGTCATGGCTCGGCCTCGATCTGGTTAGCATTTCCGAGATTCAGACACTATGGGCCGGTTACGGCCATATTTGCGCAGTTGTCGCTCGAACTTCTAACGAGGAGATAGCGGCTCGGTTACGCCATGTCTGTGGTCAGTCTGGAGTAACGAAAGACCCGAACATTTTCCACCTTATCCTGAAGCTGGTATCTCCTCCGGTTGACTTGGGGTCCCACGATGAGGGGCACATCCGCAAGATGTTAAGCTACGAGGTCGAGCAGTACTTTTACGAGGAAATCGCGCCTCGGCTAGAAGATGATGTCGCCGTCGCGAGATGCTTGGCATCGACTCGAAATATGAAAAGGCGAGAGGGCACCGGGGAACTCGAGGGCCTGACAGCTATCGTCATGACAGATTTGAGAACAAAGTTCACGGTAATGGGAGAGAGCCGGCGCGTTCTCACTGACACGCAAGTCTACGCTGCCCTCCGGTGGCTGGCAAGATTCCACGGGGGTTCGTGGGAATACCTACCAAGAGGAGACCTCGATAAGCTCCTTTTACCGCCGCTCGAAGAGGCGAACCGCAGACGTGTGAAACCACAGGCAGGAGGCGAAGAGCTATGGTTGAATGGCGGGTATACCTATCTCGCCACTCGGAGAAAGGAATACAGATCTTTGCTGGGGGATTCAGAATCTGAATGGAGCCGTGCATTTTGCTCGCCCAACGGTGGCTGTTCTCAATCTATCGCCGAAAAGGTGGCACTATTCCTTACCCCTCGAGGGAGGCCTTTTGAGACGTATATCCATGGCGACGTAAAGTCAGAAAATCTCTTCACAACAGAACTAGGCGACCAAGTGGCCTTCTTCGATTTCCAGTACGCAGGCCTCGGCCAGGGAGTTTGCGATCTGGCAAAGCTATTGACCTGCTCAGTCCCCTTGGAGTTGCTCGTCGCTAGAACACAATCTTCCGAGGAGGAGCTCGCGATGGGCCGAGGCGAAAAGAAGTTACTAGTGCAGTACCATCGAGAACTCCTGCGCTATCAGCCAGCGAATAGCCCGTGGACATATTCGTGGGACGAGTTCGTGCGGCACTGGGAGACGGCTCTCGTTGATTGGTGCCGGTTTCAAGCGTCTTGGGGATTTTGGGGTAATACGGAGTGGCTTGAGGCGCGAGTGCGGTCCATTTTGAGGGACGAAGGTTGGCAAAGTTGGCTGGATGCTGAAGTCTGCCAGCTTGAAACTCCTGTTAGGTGATACGAAGATCCTAGATACACGGAAGTCGGAACTTTCTGGTCATACTTCCATGGAGAACAGTGAGGGCAAAAATCGGCATCACCTGGCCGAACGGGAAGCCGCAGGCGTTGAAGAACCAACAAGCTAGGTAGTTTATGACGCTCCCCTAGCCAGCCACACCGTCAACGGGGAACGAAACATATCGTGCGAATTGTGCTTTCGGCTGAGCTGCCCGGTCGATGGTACAAGCTGAGGTTTCGACATGAAACTTGGTGATGTCTGAACATCTTTCTAAGAATCAAGAATCAAGATACACATTTAAGAACGTCAAGCCTGACGAAAAGGGCACACAATATCATGGATTAGCTGGTGGCCATCGGCCTGACTGTTAATAGTCCAACGTCCCTGTCGTCCTCATCTACCATTCCATTCCCCTGTCTATGCCCGCCAACCCTTTCGTTCATCGGCGTATTGGGCTCGTGAGTAGAATGCAAAGTGTACTTCCTGCAAATACTAAGACTGCGTGGACGAGACTCGGGCAGAAAAGACCAAGAGGGCATATACTTCTCATTCTTTCTCAACTCTCTAATAAATACGCAGCATATTATTAAACTTGCCATATTTTCCGCAGATCCATCATCGTTTCACCGACTGGGCCCAAGGAATCGGGTCTAGACATGCAGCGACACTCCTAACATGTGGTTTTAAGCGCACCCAACACCTTCAGATCCACGCGAGAGCCACGCCATGTCTATTTAAGGTTCTCCGCCACGTTCATAGAGTAAGATATGCACCGGGAAGAGTCTGCTGCCGAAAGCCAGGAAATCTCCGCCGGCAATCCTGCATCGTCACTAGCTTCGAAGGTCACTTGAATGATGCAATTGGTTCGCTTCATCGTCTTGACAGGGAGAACAACCACAACATGTCCATTTAGAGAGTTTGACATCGGAGTTCGGATACTTTGAGAGTAACGCCGTAAAGTCTCCATATCGACTGACGAATATTTTCCACGAGGCGAGGCCTCAAGCACGCATGCTCGACACCTCTGATCGACATGACACTTATCTTAGGTATAGCTTACCAGTCTCTGGCAATCTCTTCTCGCAAGGGATAATGGAGCGAAGGATGCCATTTCTCCGATGATGAAATGCATGATTCCCCTGGGATGCTTTTCATCTTGACCAATAATCGTGGGGCGTGGCGTTCTGCATTTGCCTCGCTGGTTTCATGAACAAATTCGAAGCGGGATTTGCGTTTTTCTATCACAGCGCCACACGTCCGAATACGGAAAGCAGTCACACATTTAAGTTTATTTGGATGTTCCTCCGCCTGACTTATCCTTTCCTTCTCGAACGACTGCCGTTAGGGTTGCATTGCACCAACCAGGTTGCAGATCAAGACCATAGCGCAAAGATGCAAGTGTGGCTCTCAAGCACAGGCTGGAGCTAGTTCAGAGAGCCCGCAAAACAACGGCTATCGTCGCTCATCCAGCTGAGGAGTGGCGTTATACGAGGCAAGCCACAGCGGAGTCCTGCGTCGGCCATTGTTGAAGATTTCCCCAGCTTTGGCAGCAACGTGGGGGAGAGACCCGTCGTATTGGTGGCCTGTCTCGGACATATATCCAAATCTGATTAGGCCAAACGGCCTCATACTCACGCTAGTGCACAGTTTCTCAAAAATGGAGGAAACACGTCTGGAGCTAGACTTTTTTTAGTCTTGTCAAATACGCTCAGATAGCAGCAGATCAGTCGATCACCGACCTTGGTAGTCTTTGCCAAGTTCTGCCAGAATTCGCAACGTGCATCACATGCTCGTTTCACTCCGTTTTGCTGGTGAAGTGGAGGCGATGTGTGGGGTGATGCCTTGATCTGTCCGAATGAAGCTGCCCCTGTTTGCCTTGAGAGTAACACCCCGCATGTCCCCTGCATGTCGCTTAGCGGGAAGAACTGTCACTTGGGTCGTTTCTGTGGGTTTTATAATACCACCGTAGCTCTCCGTTATCAGTCCTTCGATTTGGACTCTTAACGTCGTATCCTCCTTGGATAGTTACGTTATGGCAGCCCACGTCTCGTCAAGCAGTGAATAAGGGAGGCGAGACTCCTACAAAGTCGATCTGACGATAGTAAATTGGCCCATTACCTGCCCCGTAACTGCGATATCCCCCGGTTTGCCTTCAATGAGACTCAAGTCGTTGCTACGCTTTGTAGCACTGGGCCTACTGGGCCTTGCGGACCCCATCTTCGCCCAGGGCCCGCTTGCTACTCTCTCGTCACTCCCTGACTGCGCGGTAGGTTGATACTATTCTACAATCCCGACTTGGTGATAGAATTCGGGCAACTCGGTATACTAAAGTTCAACCGTACACACATTCTAGCTCGGATGCCTGCAAACGGCGGTGTCGAACTCGCCTTGCTCTATCACGAACCAGACATGTATCTGCGCTGACGCCGACCTCAACGAGCAGGCACAGCAATGTATCTTGCTCTCTTGCACGGCGAAGCAGGCTCTGAGTAAGTTAAATTTTGATCTTGTTACTATGTTTTTAATCCCTCGTCCTGTGCCTTGCCCCCCACGATGCGGACTTCGGGAATATGCAAAAAGAAAGGAAAAGAAAACAAGCTAAAACGATCTTTCTTCAGCGACCAAAAATGCAACCGAAACACTCTGTGATAGACCCATTCGCGATGAGACCCAACATGTCTACAATGTTGCCGCCGCTCTCGGCATTGTTACCGGGGTTCTTGTGGGCGGCCGATTGTGCTTCAATTACTTCTTCACGCAAATGGGCCTCGGAATGGATGATTGGTTTTGCCTCCTTTCGACCCTCGTCGGAGTCCCCTGCACTGCCATTGCTTGCCACGGCCTGGCCCCCAACGGACTCGGGAGGGACGTATGGACACTGCAATTCGATACCATCACGCGATTCGGCCGTTTCTTCTATATCATGGAAGTCTTCTATTTTGCCATGGTAACCCTGCTCAAGACGACTTTCTTGTTTTTCTACCTGCGCATTTTCCGAACGGTTGGCACCCGGCGCATCCTTTGGGCCACGCAGATCATCAACGCCCTATTCGGCGTGGCCTTTGTCTTTGCCGCCGCTTTTCAGTGTTCTCCCGTCAGCTACTTTTGGACGAAGTGGGACGGCGAGCACGAGGGCAAGTGTATCAACATCAATGCGCTGGCTTGGGCAAATGCGATTGTCAGTATCATCCTGGACTTCTGGATGCTGGCGATTCCGTTGAGCAAGCTGCCGAAGCTACAGCTGCATTGGAAAAGGAAGGTTGGCGTCGCCTTAATGTTTTGCGTCGGCGCATTGTAAGTTTTACCTCCCTATCCCAACCCCTTATTTTTCTCTGGGTTCGATATCGCTCTAACCCGTCTCTTGCCTTCTTCCAGTATCACTGTAGTCAGTATCATCCGACTGCAGTCATTAGTGACCTTTGCAAACTCCCACAACCAAACCTGGGACCAGTGGTCCATCACCAACTGGTCCGTCATCGAGATGAACGTGGGAATCATGTGCTCATGCATGCCTACGATGCGCCTGGCCCTTACCCGGATGTTCACCGTCTTCCGGGAAACCACCGTGAGTCGCTCCGAGAATGGTGCCGGTTACCATGCCTCTCGGCGCCCGACGAAGAACCAGGCTCGCATCGTGACGAACCCGAGTGTAGTGGCCAGCCGCGTACGAGCCTTGGATGGGAGGGGCGAAAGCGAGGAGAGGTTTGATCCGCAATATAGGTACCTTGATGAGACGAGCTTGGTGCCGATGAAAGATTGGGGTGTTTCTCGTGAGAATTCTGTTTAAGTTACTACGGCTTTTTAATTACTTTTCTCTTTTTAGCAAGCAATCTAATGAACTGTACTATTAATGATGAATGATATTCTTCAACTTCAATCTTCTTTAGATGTGACGCAATCATACCTCTTGATTGTTGGTCGAGGCCGGAAAATGCACGTGGAGTCGAGTGAGGAGACTTGGACGACCCAGGGGACCCAAGGGCTACTCGTCATGCGTTTGGGATATCCTTCAGCCCAAAATTGGGAAGACCAGATAATGCTAGAGGCCCGGATACTTCAGGAGGAGACATAAGGAGCAATAAAATCCCGTTGGCCGGTCCTAATTCCAGTTAAGTCACTACAACTAGGAGCGAAATCAGTTTCCTCCCTTGCCAAACTCTTGAGAAAACGTTTCCGAGACGCACAACATAGCCGACAGTGCATATTAGTTCTATTCTACACATGGTACTTTGCCGAGACTTTCTTGTATAGACGGATATTTGTTTACCCGAAGCTCGAAATCCGAAACCCGCTATCGACGGCTCGAATCAGGCAGCAACGTAGCACTAGACTTCGCGCATGCAGCGATTGCTCCCAACAAGATGACTCGCTGGATACGATGTCCTCGCGTGTAGTTTACCCCTGGCTATATTCCTTCTACGTGACTATTACGAAGTAGAGGCGGGATGATTGGCCTGCTTGCTATAATTCGATCGGTACCTTTGGAAATAAACGTTGCTGCCTTACACGTATAAAATATTATGTGACTTTCTGCTTAACTTTGGAGAATGAGGTAGGGAATATCACGGGAAATAGGAAAGAATAACAGCTACAAATGATATAAATACAGTAATTATAGTCGAACGTAATTCCTCACTTAGATAAGCGGTCATGGTGGTAGCAAAGGAGGGTAGGGGGCAAGTTTCCACTGTTGAGTTCCTGCCTTGGTAAGAGGTCAGGCAACATTAAAGCGGGCTTCCAGGAGCCAGGCGGCTCCTACTACCAATATTGAGATGGCTGCTGAAACGGCAAGCACTCGTCCAGTAGTGGACCGAATTTCTTCATTGAAGCCGGCCTGATGCTGAACTTGCCCCTTGTCGGCGGCCAAAGTCTTCCCCTTGGCAACTTTGACGCATTGTGGTGCCAGATCTTGAGCAAATCTCTCAATCTAGACAGAGTCAGCCACCTGCTAAGAAACCAACTGAGAACCATGAGAGTACTGACCTGTTCGCAAGCAATGCTGATCTTCAAGAAATTGGGGTCATTGGGGTTATTCTTTTGTTGAATTCGGTGGACATAACGACAAAAGACCTCACACACTCTCTCAAGATCTTGGCTGGACTCGACCATCAGCTGGAACGCGTCTCCCTTGGTAATTCTGATGTTTCGTTGGAAGATGGCTGGATTACGGAAACACAACTCCAGCGTGGCCATGGCCATGGATTGGGGAATGGCACAAAAGTTGAACACGCTCTGCTCGCGCAAGCCAACAAGATACGACAAGCAGTCGTTCGCATGCCCCAGAGCATTCAAGACCATCTCGGAGCTGCAGTTGAGGGCAAGCTCGAGATTCTCAGGTTCGAACAGGTCTTCAAAGTTATCGACGTGCTTTGACCAAATCTCTTTGGGCCAGAAACGGCGGCCGTCATCATGATCTTCACGGACGTCGCGAATGATGTTGTTCTTCTGCAGCAAGAGACCCATCGACTTGTAAAGATGGACATGGTCGATCAAGGTTCCCTCACCCAGCCCGGCCTCGACGAAGAGGCGAGTCACACCCTCGCCGACGATACCAGCCACGTACCAGCAATAGAGGTCGTACTCTTCGACAGTGTTGACGCCGGCATCCCCGGAGGCCGCCTTTCGCGCGAAATCGGCCATGCCATTTCCCATTTTATCGGTAATGTCCGTGATGATTGCTTGGTAGGCTGGTTTCGTATTCCTAAACTCGGTAATGACGTTGTCGAACTGCACCAATAATTGGCGGTCCTTTTCTTCCGGGCGATTACCGGTAAAGGTCCAGCCATCCTGATCCAGGTAATCTTTAAAGTCTCGAAGAAGCGGCTCCTTTGTGTCGAGAGGGATCGAGGTATCGTCCTCAATGGTATCAAGGCCACGCAGTATCAGGTAGAACACACACACGGGCAATAGTAGCTCAGGGTGTAGCTCCTTGACGACTGAGCTAAAGCTGACCGGTCTTATCCAGGAACTCGAAGCAGACTTTGGCTGTTGCGGACTCGTGGCTTTCTTTTCTCTCGTGTATAGGACGGTGGCCCAGTTTCCTACCAGGAATAATGAGCACTGGTCAGTAAGCTTCGCCAGTCGTGCAACGTGTGCAGGAATTCTGTATACGGATCTAGACATACCATTGAATTATCGCCCTTAGCTGGTTCGGATGAAGAGCAAAATAGAGAGCATCTGACGCGAGACCCATAGCGGCGGGTGACGGGGTTAGATAAGCCCAGACTAGGCAACCGTATAGGTGTCCGTACTGCGAAATGGGAATATCTGAGAAGGCAAAAAGATGAAAATTTGAGTGGGCTTACAGGATAAGCCACATACGGCGAGCTTGAACTGTGTACCAAGAAGGAAAAAGGGTATCGAGCGGGAGACATGGAAGGTGCTGAACTTCGCCTTCAATGAGTGGAGTCCAGGCACCCACATCAGCAACCCGGACGGGGCCGGAAAATTCGGAATTGACAGACTGAGCAATGCTATGGTCGGGGGTCAAACCCATGAAAATCATACGCGTAGAACTCTGTTTGTCCCTTCGTAAGCCCTATACTGTGTGGGAGTAGGCGATAGCTCTGTTGACTTCCTATATACCTGGAAGTGCCTCTGATACTTGCGATTTTGGCCATGTCAATAAAGTATCATTAGGTACTGATGGCCCGTCTCCAAAATTCTTGAGAGCACGCTTCTTCTCAATGGGCATGTTTTGCGTCTAATCTTGTCTTGTAGCATGGAGGAATCCAGAACCTGGTATTCCAACCGCACAGATGGCTAACTGTCTCCATAATTCCTGCCAGAGACATCTGGTGCCAATTAACATCATTGCCCAAAACCGGTGGATTAAATGCATCTAATTTGCTATGGCCAAGGCAATAGTTAAAAGTCGGTAATAACCACCAAGGAGATTCGAACGTCTCTCTATCCATGAACGCCACACCGTAAGCCTCTTTAGTTTTGATCCGCAAGTGCAGAAACCCCGAGAATCCTGACGGGATGTTTGTACTGTTTTTGCTGATGCCACTCTGGTTGACCGAGGTTATACGCGTGCCGTTCTTGAACATGCTCATGTTCAACTTCATGTTGGCGAAGGTGCTCTGGCACATCCTCAATCGAAGCATCCCTTAACAACAGAGCGAATGCTCCTTAAGTGTTAAGTCGGCGTTGCGACTCCTGTTTCGAACATGTGCCCATTCCGCAAGACGACTTTACCTGAGGTAGTATAATGTCTGGAGACATCGGGGTCTTTCAGATTCGCCGTTCCGTTGTGAGATTGAATTTGCTGACTACGGCAGCATGATTTCTCGACGATTCAATTCTTCCCACTTGCCTAATCGGGAAAATTTTGTGGCCAAGACCGGCGATCAACTACATCGTTCCCGTTGAAGAATTCCATGCTGGGCCCAACTTCTCGGTTAGGATCAATTGCGCGTCATTCTCAGTCGTATTTGTCGTACTAGTCAAGAATTTTTTTTTAATTCCGAGAGACTGAGGTAGGCTTCATGCCCCGAACGAGTAAAATTGCTTCAGGGGGCGGAGTGATCCTGAGTACTGATCGACACCTCCGCCGCCGCCGTAAGACGAAGGGAAATCTTTGAACTCTTTCCGGGTTTCTCTGATATTTCCTCCGGCAAGGCTTTTTTTGCCGTAAGCCGATGCCAGTCAGTTCCTTCCCTGGAGCTCCACGCCTGTTATAAATATTCCTGGAGGACAATCCCAAATTCCAGTCCCAACTTCCAACCTCTAGATGTGAAGCCATCTGAATCCTGACAGCTCTTTCGAAACAAACGAGAAAATGGCGATTTCAACTGTACATCGCTTAACATCTATTCTTTGCCTAATCGTGTCGGCGGTGGCGTGCGCCAAAGGCCCCATCATCGACACAACTTCGGGCACGGTACGGGGCTATTATCCCGACGCTGCGACACGCGCGTTCCTGGGAATCCCTTATGCCCAGCCACCTTTGGGCTCGCTGAGGTTCAAACCGCCGCAACCGATCAAAGAGAAGGCGAAAGGGGTGATCGACGCTACGGAGTTTGGTCTATCCTGTTATCAGCAGCGCACGGCCGTAGCCGGCGCAACTTCTCTTACCCCAACTACAGGAGAGTCCGAGGATTGTCTTACGCTAAATATCTGGGGTTCGGCTGAGCCTTCGAGACGATTGAAGCCAGTCTTCGTGTTCATGTATGGAGGCGGATTTACGGAAGGGTCGTCTTCTGTTCCCTGTAAGCCGCCCACAGTTCTTGCGCGGGGCTATTTACTGACGAAGGAACAGTTTATAATGGACACAACCTGGTCAAGGCCCATCCGGATATCATGGTTGTATCGATCAAGCAAGTCAAGGAACGCCTGCAATGCTATAGACAAAGCTAACAAAAGTTTAGCTACCGAATGAACATCTTCGGATTCGCAAATTCGCCCGCGCTACCTGAAAAGAATGCAGGCATACGGGACTTGAGACTCGCAGTTGAGTGGCTGCGAGACAACATTGCCGCCTTTGGGGGTGATCCGAAACGCATGGTACTTGGTGGGCAGTCAGCTGGTTCAATAAGCACGAGCATATATGCCTTCGCCTATCCCAATGATCCTATAGTGCAAGGGTTCATTATGCAGAGCGGACAAGCCTTGACGATGCCTCCAATTCCTGACGATACTGCTGAGTGGACTAATCTTGCCGAAAAAGTCGGCTGCCGGTCAAGTAACTCGACAGAAGAGCTTACATGCATGCAAGAGATTGACAGCTTTACACTGAAAAGGACTTTAAGCCCAGAGGACCTGAACCCCATCGGCGTAGCTGCGACGCTCCCTACTATAGACAATGTTACCGTCTTTAGTCAGGACACGTATCTTTCGCTTGCTGCGGCGGGAAAGTTTGCCAAAATTGTGAGTGAGCAAGTCAACTGGGAGACCGTTCGTTAACGTTTCGCTAATCCCTCCAGCCTGCTCTGAGGGGCTTGACCGACAAGGAGGGCAATGCCCTGACCAACTTCACGCCAGAGGGGCCTGCCAATCAGACCATCAACGACTTCTTGACTACGTACTGGTACAATTGTCCTACTGCTATGGAAGCTAAGTAAGTGCTCCTGCTGCTGCGCCTGATACTTAGCCGACTAACCTTTATAGCGCATGGGCGTCCCATAACGTCCCATCTTGGAGGTACCGATATTTCGGTGAATTTCCTTCACTCGTTGTTTACGACTGGATGAAAGCTTATCACGGGGGCAAGTCAATTCCAAACCATTCGTTCTTCTCCAGGGCTAACATTTACTTAGCCGAGGTTGCGTTGGTATTTGGCACAATCAATAACGTTCGGCAGCGCGACCCAGAACCATACGAACTTCAAGCCCAAGATTACCTGCAGGAGGCGTGGGTTGCATTTATTAAGAATCCGCGCCGGGGATTAAAGGATTTCGGTTGGCCGTCGTACAACCCAAATAGTAAGTCCATCAAAATGCCGAGCTGGTTGCCGTACTAACAGGTGCAGCAACGAGCCTGGTAGAAGTGTTTAAGGACAACTCGATCAACGCGTCATTCGCAGACCCGTCAACCTATGACGCCGTATGCTAGCAAACTGGAGGCCTTTGATACAGGTCTTCCCGACGTTATTTCACCGAATAACATACGACAAAAGTCATATTAATGCTGCATAATAGACTACGCCTTTTAAGTCTTCGAGAAGACTTGACGGTCTGCGTTGCGATTTCCTGTGTGTTGGACTGTGCGTCTAGATATTGCGTCGGGGAAGGCCAGCGAGCGTTTTCCATCACATGTATGGGTGTGTTTGTTGACAGTGGCGATTCAACTGGATTTGACTCTTCTTTTTTTTTTTTTTTTTTTTTTTTTTTTTTTCCCGCTTTTCCTTTCTTTTGTCTTTTTTTTTCCTTTTTCTTTTTTTCTTTTCTCTTTGTGCCCTCGGGATACACCGCTTGTCTATCCGCATAACCTGTCACTGCACCGCGTGGATATGTGCAAATTGCCTGGTCAACGCTGGCAAACCCAGCCCGACGGATCTGCGAACTGGTGTATTCAGCCAAGTCTCTCCTTTCCAGATAACTTTTCCTTTCTTTATACAACAACGTCTTCATATTATCTGGGACCCTACAGTTGGCAACGTGATAGGCAAGGAGGAGGCAAACCTAATGTTTCAAGCCTTTTAGTCGACCTGTTATCCGTGAATCACAGACTGCTTCGCTACTATTCTTGCAACCCTTAATAATTACTGTAGGCGAATGGAAGAGTTGCTATATTAACAAGAATTCGCGACGGCGTCTTCAACCTGGAGCCTCTCACCAAATCCAGCACCGATCTGGAGCCCGAAAGACGACGTCGATCGCACAGCAGACTACCCAAGATTGTCCGGGACCTATCGGCAAGCATATTCGAGGCGCTGAGAGCAACCATCACATGTGCGTGTCCGGGAATCCATGATGTTGGATTCCAAATTCTTCCTCCATCGACAACTATAGTTCCCAGAGATAAAGAAGAGGAGATTCTCTGGAAGTTGCACTTTCGATTGATGGTTTCTCATAAAAAAGCTGCTGATTTGGATGATGAGGGAGAGTCGCGGCAATGGGATGAAGTGGTACTCCGGCCGGCGATTCCTGTGCAAAAAGGCTGCATGGCAACATCTTCGATTGTTTCCCGGGCGATTTCGGGCTCGGAAAAGAAGAAAGTCCGGTTTTCTACAACGAGTCTCCAAAGTAGCACAACACATGCGCAACGAGCGGGGAGCCAGTCCGTCGTATTGGAGTCCACCATGGCCAGTCTCTCACTTGGGACGGCATGGGTGCCCGCGCCTACTAGCCAAGACGGGACACAGGCCATCAAGGACTTTTGCAGTCACCTGCGAAGATCAAGAAGGAGTCCCACTAATAAGTGTTGCGGACAGATTATAGACCCAGCGGTAAATAATCCGGCATATATAACGCGTATCTGTCTCGTTTTCCTCTTTTTCTTTCCTCTATAATAAGGAGGGAAAATAAGGAGCGGCGCAACTACAAAGGGTCACAAGGCCAGCAGCGAGTCTATCATGTAACCAAAGCTCAAGTATCTCCTCCTTCAGAGCGAAAGGCTTCCGATGCGAGGGAGAAGGTAGGGTAGGGCCAGGTATAGACCCCTAGTAACATAATACTATAGCGAGGGTCTAGGTCTCCGTAACAGTTACTTTATCGTTTCTATGTAGTTTCTGGTAAGCTATATTACAATGCAGCAGCCAAGGCGAAGATAGTGCCCATCAGGGGCAGAAGCCCTCGAGCCTGATTGAGATTTGACCACTTCACAAGTAGCTTATCAATCTCATCCTCGTCAGATCGGTCCAATGGAGCATTAGCTGGACCTTCCGCTTTCCAGCTCAGTCTTCGGATAGTGGGTTGCATTATAAGCAGTGTGAAAGGTACGATGGCAATTGTGGATGCTGCCGCAAAACTATAAAGCAGCATCTGGTTCTTGCCTCCGACACGGCGAGCCGACCAGGCGAGGTAGAGGTATGCGAAGGTCGTCGCGAGTGCGATGGGGGGGTTCTGGGACTTTCCCGTTTCATAGATATATCGCCATTGCTTAGCGAGAGTCGCAGCAGGCACCCCATCTTTGGTGGTTGAGGACCGGAGCGAAGGAACGGTGATTAGAGAGATACTGGCTATGTTTCCTTGACCGCGCAAGTGTCAGCAAGTCAGCTGTTCTTCTAACGACAATCACTCTTTCACCTACCGGATAGCCATGCAGACCCAGTTATACCAACAAATTGAGCTCCTCGGAACATAACGGAAAAGGGTGCCATAGTAGGTGCTCGAGAAGGACGAACAAAGTTGAAGGGTAGAGCAATCATGGATCTCGGGAACCTGATTTCGCAATTTTTTATGTGGCAACATTGAACCCCCTCATTTCCCCACAAAACCCCTCCGGCGTCTGTGGAGATGCGGGGCATGTGCGGGGCATGTCGGGGAAATGTGGGACATCCGTGGTACATCCTTGGGACATGCAGACGTTGCACCTTGCAGACTAATTCCAGTTCATGCTCACCAGACCCATCCCCATGGGGTCTCCCCGCACTCTACGCCTCCTTCATGCGGAATCAGATCTGTAAGCTCAGCTCGGCAATGGCAACCCTAAACTCCTCTTGGCGACGGAGTTTTATAACTTCACTTATCTGTCACGATCTCGCAACCACTCACCGCTCCTATCATAATCTCCTTCTATTCCCCTTTCTGTTGCAAGATCTAGCAGGTCATGGCATATCACTCTGCGCCCAACGACAAACCAACTGACGTTCAGCTCGAGACAGGTGATATTCACACCAGTCAGATTGGTCACTTGGCTAACCAGGAAGACCACGAAGAGACAGTCCGTCAGGCTGCGATAAGACATCCCTGGACGGTAGTCTGGTGTTTTTATTGCATCTGGGTTTTCCTGGTGACAGCTTTCGATAACCAGGCCGGTGGTTTTGTTCTCAGTATCCCACAATTTCGCAAAGCCTTCGGCTCACCTTACGAGGGCAACTACGTCCTTCCCGCGAAATGGCAGTCTGCGTACAGTGGAGGACCCGTGGCCGCGTAAGTATGCCCTTGCCATGTATTTATTTGTGCCTGCTAATCCTTGATGTTATAATTGGGAATTTTGCCGCCGGTTTTATCCCGGACAAGATCGGGCGGAAACCGATGATTCGAATTTCCTACGTTGTCTTGTTTGTCGGCATCACACTCGAAACCGTCGCAAGGACGAACCAACTCCTCTTTGGAGGAAAGTTCCTGAACGGATTTGCCGTCGGTGCTCTGACCTCGGTTACTTTCACCTTGGTGAAATTGCACCGCTCGCGCTCCGTGGTATTCTGACCGCAGCAGGCCCCTTTTCGTTCATATTGGGCTCTTTCATGGTCTACTTGATCATAAACTGTCAAGGAAACCAGCCCGGTCGATGGGCATACCGTGGGGCATTTGTTGGGCAATACGCTATGACGGGGATTGCTACTATTTTGCTCCCCTTTATGCCAGAGTGTGTCTCTGTGATCTACTTTCTACTCGGTGCTATTTTACTGACGGCAAAAGAGATCTCCCTGGCGGCTCTTGACTCAAAACAAGGATCAAAAAGCCATTCACACTCTCAAGCGGTTTCGTCTGACAGCTGAGGAGGTTGAAAAACGCATCGCCTTTATCAAGATAGCTCTTGAGGAAAGCCGTAACGAAATTTGAGAAGTCCCCTACATGGAATGCTTCCGCAAGTCGAACCTACGCCGCACCATGGTCGCTGCTGCACCACTTATTATACAAGCGCTTAGTGGCGTCTATTTTGTGCTATCGTATAATCTGCATTACATCCAACTCGTGGGTTATTCTACTTCAGAGAGCTTAAAGATCGCCATCGCCTCTCAGGTCTGTTCCATGGTGGGAAACATTGCATCATGGTTCATAATCGACTGAGTGGGCAGGAGGAACCTGACGCTCGGGGGCACGACGGTTATAACCGCCATGCTTTGGATAATTGACGGTCTTGCGACGGCCGGGACTCCTAGTTGCATTAAGGGAGTGGTCGGACTGCTTCCATGGTTTGCAGGATAACTGGAACCGCGACAGAATCCTGGAGCAGTTGAAGCAGAATAAATTAACCCGAGAAGCTCCAACAAGCCTAACTTGATAGCTGTTCCATAACAATAGCGTAGTAATAGGACGTCCCGTCACGTGTTTCAAAGCAAATCCTATGTTTTCCTGCGGCGCCGTCGTTAGCCTGGGTCCCCGCACTCCCTAATTTACCCTTTTGAATAATTCTTAATAAATAAACAATAAAGAAGTCTACCTTTCTACTACAACGAAGAAGAATAACGGGTAAGTCATCTTCTAACGACGTAACTGTACTCTTCTCTATGCGCGTCTTTATACGCCAGCTACAGATTCTAATATCAGGTACGTAGAGAGCGCTGATACCTGCTAGTTAGCCCGAGCATCAACTGCCAGCATGAGTGCCCCCCTACGACGAAACCAGGATTCTGGCGGGAAATCTCTTAGTTGCTCAAATTGCCGGCAGAGAAAGATTAAATGCGATAAAACTGATCCTATTTGCCTACAATGCGCTAGCTCGTCACTGCACTGCGTCTTCCCAGCTCGAAAACGATATAAACCGAATAGGAGAGGTGCAAAGAGTGACCTGTCTAGTCGTGTGGACCGCATCGAGAACATCTTTAGCCAACTTGAGGCCGCCACAGCCAACAATGGTGGTGGAGCCGATTTATTTGTCGGTTCGAACCCCGGGGAACATTCGACATCTAATCAAGCATGTACGAACGGGGGCGGATCATCGAGGACAGGTGTAATGCTCCCGGAAGAAATTTTGAATCGGCGACGCCTCCTTCGAAATATCTCTGTGCTGAGTTCTGGTCCAATCTCTGTCATGAGGTGGAAGGAATCAGACAAGCTCTGGGCCAGCACTCTGATTGTGGCGACTCGGATGAAGATTCTTGGACAAGACCAGAGTGCCAGGCACAAAGCCATTCAACGCCGGGATTATGCTCAGAGTTGATTTTCAGTCCTCCGAATACCACGGGTTCAGATGACGCACGACATCCCTCTAAGGATCACATATCTTTCTTGTGCGATGTTTACTTCAGAAATATAGATCCGGTCCTCAAGATACTCCATCGCCAGACGACAAGCTTAGAGCTCAACTCCTTTGCAGCGTCAGCAAATTCAAGGCCAATCACTCACGCGACTGAGGCTCTCTTCTTCGCCATGTACTTTGGCGCTGTCACTTCCTTATCACCCGACGAATGCCTCGCCCGCCTTGGCGAAGATAGAGCTGTCCTTGTCGAACGTTATAAACACAACACTGAGCGAGCTCTAAATAAAGCAGATTACCTCAACAGCGACGACTTGAAGTCCCTACAGTCCCTGACTCTCTACATCGTATGTTCACCCTTATCACAGTCTTACCACCTCAGGTATCCGATGCTGGGCTGACAGCTCAACCCTCAGGCCATCCTTCGCTCCCACGACGCAAGCCGGCGCTCCTGGGCGCTCCTGGCCCTGGCCATACGACTTGCCAGAGCCTTCTCCCTTCATCGTGAGAGGCCTATCGATACTGCCCTCACCCCTTTTGAGACTGAGCTCCGCCGCCGTTTGTGGTGGGCCCTCATCATCCTCGATATTCGTGCTGCTGAAGATCGCGGCTCTGATGCCTCAATCCCTCAGGGCTCCTACGACACTCAACCACCAACCAACATCGACGATGCCGACTTTGGGCCAGAGTCGTGCGAGCAGCCAGCCTCGAAGGCAGGACCCTCCGATGTCTCCTTCTTCTTGGGAATGGCTATGGGCTCTGGCTTTTTTGGGGCCGTTAAGCATCCGCCGCTTCTCAGCCTCAGCGTGGAGAGTGCGGGCCCGATTCCCTTTTTAGCGGCCTTACCCCCCGGCCCCACCCCGCTAAGCGAGGACTCCATTCTCAGTCAAGCCAGGCATCTCGAATCCCTCTTCGTCCCCCCTTTCGAATCTCCTTCGCCTTCTGTGCCACCACTCCCCTCCGCGGTCAATACTAACAGCTGCTCCACCGCAAATCCGGCAACTACTACAGCCCAAGTGTACGCCATAGCTCGCCTCACACCAACAGTAGTCCGCATCATTGTCCTCAAGGTCTGGCTCTCTCTGCAATACCCGTTCCAGCGTCCCCCGCCTTCAGGCCCCTGTCTCCAAGTTCCCCGGATCTCCCGCCCCACAATTCTTCTCACTGCCATCTCCATCCTCGAGCTTACAGCCCTTTTAAAGCGCGACCCTTCGAGCCCCCATTTCCGCTGGTGGTTCGATGGATATGTACAGTGGCACCCGTTGGCCGTGGCTCTCGCGGAGTTATGCGTGGAGGTAGACGGCGATCTCGTCGAGCGCGCGTGGCGAGTTGTCAACGCCGAGCTACCGCCTATGGGAGCTACTATTGCTGATGCGAAGAAAGGGCCGCTCTGGAGACCTGTGCGGAAGTTGCTACGGAAGGCGAGAACTGCAAGGGCAGAGGCACTGAGAACGAAGAGTGGACGGAGTGGTCAGGAGCCGGAGCCGGAGCCTGGGCTCGAACAACATGCAGAACCTCCACAGCCCACCCAGAGTATACCAATGTCTCAAGCGCAGCTAATTCATGCCGAGGTCGGAACGGACGATCAGATGCCATCCGGGAATGGGCCATGGACTTGGGAAAGTTTGGGCGGACTGTTAAACTACGTGGACCTCTCAACTCTTGATGCAGATTTTGCAGCGGCGTGGACGACGAATAATGGAATTTGGGACGACATTATGGGCGACTAATGTGAAATAGCTCTTTAAGTTCCAATTGTACTCTATTCGGATTATAGACATATTGTAGTTAGCATCTATGGAATCCTACCAGTAGCATAAACGGCCCCAGAACAGCAGTTGAACAGCATGTCTACTAGCGATTCGTTGGTACATACTTTCTCATTCACTCCCCCTCGCCTCCGGCAATTCCGAGGCTCGAGTATGCCTGACACTCGTGAACCTCTTACTCAGCGGCCGACAACATTGTGAGGCATTAGTACGGCCGTGCAGCTCTTCCACCGTTAGAAGGGATGTACAGTATGCGGATGGCCCCACTGGCTTTCCGAGGGTTGCAGTCGCCCCGCAAACACTTTTCCCCCGCCGACCTCCCCCACAAACTTCTGGCTCCCCGCAAAATTCTTGCTCAAGTGCTCCCCGCAAAATTCCCCCGTACACCCCCCACATTTCCTGGATCCCGATTCCCGACTGTTGTCAAGCGTCTGTGCGTGCTGGGCCTCCATTGCCCTCCAACCCCATGGGGAAGCTGGCTTATGCTCCTTCGAGCTGACCATCGGTATTTCAAGTAGCATAAACCTCTCGCTAGGTCCTTTGCATTATAAATAGTCTCTGTAAGAAGCGATTTTTTTTTCCTTCTCATGCATTGCATCTAGTTCCTCACGGGTGACTCCGCTTATCAAACGTCGCTATGGAGGAAACCGATATCATTATTAGCGGATGCGGGCCAACCGGGGCCCTGCTTTCCACCCTTCTCGGGCGGTACGGCATTGCAAACGTTGTCCTTGAGCGGGAGCCACATATAACGAGTGACCCACGTGGAATAGCGCTTGACGAGGATGGCATCCGCCAACTACAGGCGTGTGGCATCTACGATAAGATTTTCACAGATATTGGAGAATGTGAGCTTCATACGAGACTACGCAACCCCTTTCGCTTCCACGCTAACTTCTTCCTAAGGTATGGGCAAGTTTAGGTTTGTGGGTGGCGTACATAGCGACCTTAGCACCCGTCCGTTTACCGTCATGGACTACAATACAGTCAGTCACGGGTCCCCTTTCTCCATAGAGTCCTCTTAGCTCTCTTCTTACATACCTGTCTACAGACCGAAGGCGGTACCGGACATCCAGGCTTTATGTGCCACAAGCAGCCGGTCCTAGAAAAACACTTGAGAGCTCGACTTAATGGGTATCCTACCTCCGACTTGCGTTTGAACTCAACCGTCATATCCATTTCCGAAGACAGCGATTCGGTGTGCGCAATTTATCTCGATGCATCAGGGAAACAAACACAGATCCGGGGCAAATATCTTGTTGGGGCGGACGGGAAAACGGGCTTCACAAGAAAACAGTATCTCGAGCCGTTGGGAATTCGGATGGAACACGTCTCAGCGAATTCGTATGAGGAAACATGGGTGGCCTTGAATTGGAAGCTGGCGCTCCCTACACCAGAGTCACATCCTGATTTCCCTCTGTGGGAAATGGGCTACACTCCGCAACAAGTCTACGATTTGTTCTTCCCAACCGACTTTCGCTTTCTCTGCAACCCAAAGCGCCCAGCGGTATGTGGCCGCTTTGGACTGCGCGAAGATCGGCTTTGGCGTTTTGAATTCCTCGTTCTTCCTGGAGAAGATGGTCACCTCATGTCAACTCCAGACAAGATCCGCCAAGTTGTCTTTCCTTACATCACGCATCCAGGCACAAGATATGGTCTTCCAGCTTCAACTGAGGTACAGTATCCCCGAGATTGCATCGAGGTCCTCCGATCACGACCTTTTAAATTCGCCGCCAAGAGTTGCAACCAATGGGCGCGGGGGCGCGTCATCCTATGTGGGGATGCGGCTCACGTCTTCCCGCCTTTCGGCGGCCAAGGCATAACGTCCGGGTTCAGAGACGCCATCTCGCTCGCCTGGAGGCTTGTTGTAATGGCGCGTCAAGAGCGTGCCGGAGCCAGAGACGGTGCCGACTGTCAGCTGTTGCTCAACGGCTGGTTCGCCGAGAGGAAACAGCAGCTGGACAAGTCTCTCGCGGCGACGATAGAGAACGGCACTTACTTGACCACTGCCAGTCCAATCAGAGACTTTTTTCGTGACTGGTATCTATGGGCTGTGCAATTGGTGCCAAGCTGGAGGCGCTGGTTGGAGCAAGGTAATCGGAGGAACGGCATGGTTAAGTATCAATGGGAACCGTCCAGGGGCATGGTGTTTTTGCCTGCGATGGCGGGTAGGAAATACTTCCCTCAGGTTTATTGCATGAGGTTGGACGGGAAAGAAAAGGTACAGTTTACCGACGACGTCATTTTCTCCGAGGACAAGAAGGCGCTCTTCCAGGTTGTTGTGCTTCTCGAGGGCCCTAAAGATGTCACGGCGGTCCGGGAGGCTATATCTAGCATAGATGAAGCATCTCGTGGTGTTGTCCGGTCAGAGGGAGCGACATTCATTATCCATACTACGGAACCTCCACTTTGCCAGGCTTCGTTCGGTGGAAATGCTCCGTACCGCTTGGCCACGGCCGACGAATTTGCAGCAGACGAAAGCCTCTGCATCGGACGACCAAAGCCCCCGTACTACGATCCCGAGCGGTTAATTAAGGAGTCGGAAAACAGACGCTTCATAGTCTTGAGGCCTGATCGGTTTATTTTCGCGGCGTGCGAGACCCCAGAAGAGCTCATGCTGGCAGCGAAGCATGTTTCATTTCTGTCTACGGATATGGAATAGAAAAACACACATATAAGTTTTTGTGACCAGAAGACTCTACATGCTATATATTCGGAAATTTACCTTGGTAGCCTTCAATTCAGGACTTCATGTATGGAAACAGGTTTTGCTGCTCCGCTCCTACCATCAATATTATCATTGATTCTTTCTCCACGCTGGTAAACCATATATTGCCACGATTTGCTCGCACACCTACCAGCAGTCCAAAAGAGCATGGAGTACTCTGTAAAATACACAAGGTTACGATCATAATAGCCGGCGTGCAAGGGAACCCAGGCGCTTCTACCTCAAACAGAGACTCTTTTCCTCCTATGCTTAAGGACAAAGGTTGACCGGTGTATAAAGGCCGTAACCTCTACTAGCGCCTTCGTAAACATGTCAACTGTGCAACGAACAAGTCCGAAATAGAATTTGCTTGTTGGTCCCCTTTAGATATTCTAGAAGCCCCCTGTGTTCACGTTCAATTCTGTAAGAGCCCCAAGCTGGCTGTCACACAAAACGGGTTCCAACACAATACCACTAGACTGTGTGTGCATACCGAAGTGGGGTCCTTCAAGACCGAGCACAATAGTTGGGTCTAGATAAGCATTCGTAATGTAATCCATGATAAACTCCTGCTGCCCTTCGTACGTCGTAGCGCTTGCCTCTATCGAGTTATTTGTCACCCCTGCCGGTTTCAAATACATGTCAGAGTCATCCCCAGATAGGGTAGAAAATGCTAGGGGCGGGGGTAGGAGTGGAGTGACATACGGCTAGAAACGGATTTGACGAATCTCGAGACCTTGTCTAGTCCATGAAAATATCGCGAGATTTCAGGATCATGCTCTGACATTCGACGAAGGAAGTCTTCACAGGTCCGCCAGGATTTGCAAAGACTGCCATGGCTGACATGTGGCAAATGCGGCAAACAATGATCTGCCAATATCACCACCATGGCTGCATGATAGAGATCTAGCCAGTGTTAACACTAGGGGCCGAACAAATATTACAGGTACATATACTATACAGTAGAACCGGTACCATGGTGACCCACTGTAAGTTGTGTCTGAGGTGGTACTGATATGATCAATCAGAGTCTGCGCAGTCTCGATGCATTCGACAGAGCACTTCTCAGAAAAGGCCGCGTGGAGCTTGTTTGCGTCGCGCGAATGATAATATTTGGGTTTGACCTGTGAAGGGGTCTTTTCCTTTTCCTGAGCATTAATCTTCCAACATAGCTGTACAAGTAGAGGGCGATAGAGGAGCACACGTATGTGGAGAAACCTAGTAGACATTAGTACAAGGTTCGAAATAGGAATAGTTAGCTGGCCCAGGCGACATGTCGTATCCGCCTCTCTCACCTTGTTCGCAAGGTATGTTGCTGATGTAGAAGAGTACCACTGCTAGGAAGCGTGCCACCTGTTGCTGGCCAACGCAGTGTCTCTGGTAACTCGGCCTCGAATAAATCCAGATCGTGATCAAGTCGAATGATAGAGGAAACCTGATGGGCGTAGTACCCTTCATCGACACCTGTAGTCCAGTTGCTGGCCTCAAGTTCTTTCCAAGGGTTATATAATTGTCCCAAAATACAGTTGAGAATATTGTTTAGTTTCACGGCTTGGGAGAGAAAATTTGTCGTACAAACATTTCTGTCATGGTGCTCGTTTCCTATCAAAACCGGAGCGGAAATTTCCTTGTCTGGTGAGGTTGGAAGCGGAACCTCGACCATGTGTGAGTTCGAGCACGGTCGACCCGTCAACATAGCCAAGACCCTTTATGTGGTAAGATGGGTCAGAAAAGAACAGCGACGGGCTCCATGAGGGAGGTACATCATGCGTATCAAGACAAGTGCAGCTATGCCACACGCGCCGTCTCATTTCCTTTTCTAACGGTGATGTCGTATCGCCATCCTTTTCCAGGTGCAGGCCTAAACCTTGAGCCATACGAAGCGCGATTCCCACCACGTTCCAGCAGCGGGTGGAGAGGCGAGTGTTCTGAAGGTAACGTGCCAATATCAGTAATGCCTGCACCAGGGAAAGGTCCGCCTTATCCAAGAAATCCAGGTGCATGAGATGCCTAGCCCGTCGAACGAACGGGGCAGATCTCGCTTCACGTTGCTGAGCCGACCCACTCATAAACTGGGCGGCCAGGGCAAAAGCCGCGTTTAGAGCGCTGTAAAAGACGGGTACAGAACAGTCAGGGGCCCCAATGCCTACTCCGGTGGGACGAGGCATGCTTCGAACATCAGAATCAGATAGCCAAAGGCGGTTGTACGCCGCCATGAACGTTGGCCAGTGTAGAAATGGATATATGCTTTGCACCCTTGTCTGATACAGATCAAGTAGATCATCGGCCACGTGGCGAGGAGGGAGATGGTAGTCATCTTTGTTCGACGAATAACCGGTAGAGAGGTTGCGTCTGGGTGGGTGGATGGGTCGGGTGGAATGATGGAGGCTCGAAACTCCTCTTGGCCTGGATGACTGATGGCAATGATCCTGTATGTCGGAGAGTAGTGAGGCCGCCGAAGGCTCGCCGTAGAATTCGCTGTTGGTCTCTGTAACTGCGTCCGTTTCCAGGTTTTCTACACATACGGCGTTTATTGCGGAACCGGAGTCTTGGAAAGACGGGTTCTCTCCAGACATTATTATATCGTCGTTTGGACTTTCCGAAGGCGTCAGCATATTCGAGTGTGGCAACCCTCGCGTAGGATCGTACACTGTCGAGTCTGTGTCGCATTGGAGAAACTGGTGCGAAGATGGATCGGTGTTGTTAGGTGGGCGTAACACTTGGGTTGAAAGTTGTCCATCCTCCTGCGGCTCGTTTATAGATGGGGTGTAGCCTGATGATGCGCGTGATTCTGTCTCACGCTGCAACCTGGACTCCAGAAAGGCCAAGCGATCGTGGAGAGATTGTATTACCCTGCGTAAACTGATGAGACACGATCTTCTTTGCCCTTCTTTTTCCTTTGATTTCTCTGGTTGATTAAAAATACGACGTACCGCTTATTTCCGGAGAGTTTTGAAGGTTCACTTAGGTATGTGCAGGGCCGCTCAATTATACGTCGCTGCTTACACGCGGTGCACTGAGGGCGGAGTCCATCGCATCGAATTTTCCTGGCACGGCATTCCTCGCATGCAAGACTGATCTTTTGTCGCCTTCGAGACGGAACACTTCTCTGTTCTATGGGCGCCTGTGCCGCTTCGACTGCTCCTGTTTCGTGGTGAGACACATGTTGTAAGGGAAGCCTTTGGGGTAAGTGGAGGCTGTCATCACGTATTGAAGACATTGTAAAGTATTTGGTCAAGTCGTATAGCAACTACTTGACGTCTTTCAAAGAAAGTGTGAATCATGGACCGCAATCATGATGTATCGCCTCGGGTGCTGTCAGGTCAGTGATCGTACGCGATGTTGTTCGTTTGCAAGGTTGTACCGAAGCTCTGGGCGTGGAGCAAGACTCCCCAAGCCCTTTCGCGGCGGGGGCGGCGGGGGCACGTCTCCGCTTTTCCCCTGGGCACACATTGCATGCAGTCCCCACACACGCCGCATCCTCTACGTGGAGTTATCCCCGCAACAATGAAAGCGTACTAGCCTTATCCATCTTAATTCAAAGTGGGGCTTGGGCTTCGATCTATGGCCGGAGTTCTCTGTCTCTACTATGTAGATCGGTGGTCGGCACTTCCCAAAAGTCCGGGGTCAAAAGTCCGGGGTAATACAACTTTGAACATTACCGGAAAGTTGCCGGGAAGCGTATTCCGTGACGGAAAGATGGAGACCAACTCATCAATTACCCATGTTGCTGCCATTATGACGTGTTGTCCAGACAAATCTTGAGGCGTAAAGGGAGTTTAGTGTAAAGAACCAAGGTATTGCTTTAGGCGCTACCAGGCGGACAACTCGGTCATTCGGGTGAGATTCCGAGCTGCACCCGTGCACGCGGACGCGCCGGCAGGGAATTGTCTCTGCAAGGCAAATCACGAAGGAAGAAAGAGGAACATAAGGAGAGGAGTCTCCAGTTTTGCTTACCTGTTCACTGGCATAAATGACTTGTACGCACATGAGCTTATTTTCGCGGCCCTTCCTACGCTTTCGGACGAACCTCTACGACCATCGACAACTTCACCATGACATCTCGACCCGACAAGTCACCCGACACCCTCAACAAGGCACCTGTATATCGATTGACCGATCGGAAGGATGGTCCTGCCAAAACACTTGACAGACTCCTTCGAGAGAATCACGCATCTCATGCAGTACTCCGTGAACCGAGACTGCTTTTCCACAACCATATACCTCACGTAAGACTCGGTATACTCGACGTCACCGGCTTAACGGGTCTTTGGAGAGTTAACGCGCGAAATTCAATTCAGGCTCTGGGATCTTCCTACGTCATGGGAGCTAGCAGTTCCAAATTAGAGGAGATATATGCGGCTGATTCGCCAAACCTCACTTCTGTTGATGGCGGCGTGCTGAGGAACGCCATTTCACGCCAAAACTGGAGGAAGTACCTAGGCCAAAAGCAGTGGGTCCACGCTATTTGTTCGATATTTTGTCTTACGACCAGAATTTTTAAGAGAATATCTGCAGATACACCGCCGCATATGTCGACTACTTTGACTCTGAAGTAGAGAAGAATGGCGGAAATTGGGGCAAGGTCGTCGAAGACTACATTTACTCTGGGTCGGAGCCGCTAATCAACGGCTTTTCTGGTGGACGCACGTGAAACCCTCCGTAGGTCTACTTCTAGACTTGTGTCAAGTGTTAACCAGTCGTTTTAGTTGGTCATCCGTTTATCCACCTGGCCTATGGCTACGAGTTTGAGAGCAAGGAAGTCATCACCGAGGCATTGAGCCTAGGTTGCACCGAGTATGATAAGACACATAGGTATCTAGACATTCTGCCGCCTGATAACTCAACTTACAAAACCACCAGCCTGGCAGAGGTTTTGGAAAGTCTCCGTAACGACCACCGCTTTGAGAGCTATTCGCAGCATCTAGGTTTTGCCAATATTTTCACGTTGCTCGACCAATTTGAGGCGGAGGTTCTGGAGCACTGGAACGCCTTGGTGGTTGAAGACGCAACTAAGCAGCTTACAGAGTGGTTGCAGACGGCTGCCACACTTGCGGTCAGCGCGATAAACGCAGAAGGTGGCTTGGATTTCTACCTCGCTCATGTTTTAACGGTCGGTCACGCTCTCCGCATCTTACTCCCTCTAATGCCGGGGCAGCACCGGATTCCCGTCCTGAAGCAGTTTGGGCTGTACACGATTTTGGTTTATCTCGCGCAGTTACGGCCGGGTTTTGGCCCCGATACAATCAAATCTTTCAAGACAGACCTAACCAGTTGGGATGATATTTTCAAGCGCGCTTTGGAGAGCAAGTGGTCTAATGACATACACTGGCCGAAGGTGGTCCGAGCCTTGAAGGCCGTGGAGGAGTTGAGAGGATCTCAAGACGGGTTCTATCAGAAAGCGGCAGTCAAGTTTATCGCCGAATTCGATGGCTGGACTGGCTTCGGATTGGGAGCGGACGCCATTCATTAATAGTCAGGCCAAGATACATACTGTCGACGGGCTTAGGGTACACGTTCAAGACTGTTGAATAAAAGAATCCCCCCTTTTATCAGTAAGAAAGAATGACTATCCTAATCATTATTCTCTCCGTCCGTTTGTTCCCAGTCGACGTGTGACATAGAAACCTGATATCGTCGGAAGACACTCGATGAACGTCTTCCTGCGAGAATAAGCGGTACATACGCTGATTCAATTTCATGGCACAGTTAGAGCCATCGTAGGGGAGCTCAGATTTCTATATATTTCCACTCATGTCTTTTCAACACAACCAGGACCCAAGTTGACCAATTCCTAGAGGCGAGAGCCACCAGGACAGTTTCATTCAAGTAGTGTGTGGCATTACAGCAATTAAACCAGTGGTGGGAATAACCGGTTGCACCCCGTTTGGTCTAATGCATTCGGAAAGCCCTGAGCGGAAGTTGATCCGAGCCAGATACCGAGGCTTGGTTCCCTAACATAAACAGTGCTCGCTTGAGAGGCCCCACCGCTATTAGTTGAAACCACTCATGACATATATAATAATGTATTGATCCCCTTGAGTTTTAATTCGGTGTAAGACTCTGCAAATTTTGCCATTTAATCTCACTCGCTTTAAACATGGCTATCACAGCTCTACCACGACGAATCGCCGTTTTTGGAGCAACTGGCGGCACGGGTAGCGCTACAATTCGTTCTTTTATCAAACGCAAAGCAACTGAGCATCCCCGCCCCGAGCTAAGGCTCATGGTCCGCTCAAGATCCAAGCTGTTTCGACTGATACCTGAGCTCGACTCTTATTCGAACCTTCATATCCAGGAAGGACAACTCACCGACACGACGACTGTACGCGCTTGTATACAAGAGGCCGACGTCATCATATGTGCACTGGGAGAGAACAGAAATATCCCCGGTTGCCATGTGCTGCAGGACCTCGCCAAATCTATTCTTGAGGCGCTCAACGACTTAAGGTCGTGTTGCCCAGAGGGATGGAAACCTCCGCGGCTAATTCTATTATCATCCTCGACATGGAACGATCGCTTTGCCGCACAAGAGCCAGCTCTCATCCTCTGGCTTCTCAAGACAGCATTCTATCATCCGTATATAGATCTTCTGCAGGCTACAGCTCTATTCCAGGCTTCGCCGCATCTCTTGTCGCTTTTGCTGGTGCAACCATCTGCTCTTGTTGAAGACGAGCCCTCTGGTATGGAAATCAGTACTGAATCGGTCAGCATGGCTGTTTCGTACTCAGATTTGGGTGATGCCTTTGTTGAGCTTGCTCTACATGAATCATATGCGATGGTTGATTGGGTAGGCGTGTCTAGTAGGGGCGAAAATGCTTTGCGGAAATACGGGCTAGAGCTATTGTCAAGAATCGTCCGGGGGCTTGTCGCGGGGTACGTGCCTGGGTACTGGAGATTGAACAAGCTCACGAGCAGAGCTTGAGCTGTGCCGCGGTTCATGGGAGAAGGTCTGGAGCGATACGCCGGCAATATGGAGGCGCATGTAGCGAGGGGTGTTCTATTGTGTTTTTAATGATACAATGTACATTTGTACTTTAACCCCGATGCAATGAACATCTCAAGTATCAACGGAAGACTCTAAGCCGTATTAAGATCTCAGAGGCGCTCGTCGGCCTTGATGCAACCCAACTAAAGACCCTGAAGTACTCTGAATCAAAACGAGGGATCTATCGACCTTGCATACAGACATACAGACGGCATCTTTGTTCGGGGAACGCCACACACAGCAAAAAAAAAAAAAAAAAAAAAAAAAAAAAAAAAAGGAAAAAAACCGTAGTAAATTAAATCACTAGTAATGACCCGAAAGCCAATTAGACCAGAGTCTCCATTCCTCGCCTAAACCACTCAAGCTTGGCGGTGGTGGGGCGGGCGGGAATAGCGTTGGTACGGGGATCAGAATCCGTTTCCGTTCTTGAGTCGGACTGCATTCCGAATGGCCTAGCGTTGCCTCGGCCTCTAGTTGCCCGATCCATGCCTGCTAACTTGTTGCATTTTGAGTGTTCGGTGGAATTGCGTCCATTGCTCCGTGGTTTGCAGCCTGCTCGGGGAATTCATACAGGTCATGTTGTGGGGGGACTCGATGATTAGATTCTTCCAACTCTGCCGAGAACCGATCCCGGACGGCGGATAGTATTAGGGTAATACGAGTAATACTACTCTCGACGGGGAGGTTCGCCGAGAATACTGCTCGTACCGACAGCATAGGATATCACCTTTTCTTGGGGAAAATATTCCAGTATAAAATTAGTATGATAACATAGATTTGCCCCTGTCAAGACCCCTCCACACGTAGAAAGCTGAGGAGCCTTGTACTAAGATTCTCTCGCTCTTTATCAGCAAGCACTTTGCCAAAACTTCTCATACTATTGTTCTCTCGCTTCCCCATTATTGCGATGGCCGACTGTTGCCTGAGGGGCTTTCAGTGGGAGGCCAAGGCTAAAGGCCGGGACGATAACGTCGCCGGGCTCAATTGTTACGTCACAGGCTCCAATGAAGATGTAGCCCTCATAGTGATCCATGACCTCTATGGTTGGACATTTGAAAATGTAAGGATCCTCGCCGATCACTTTGCTGAGGAGGTTGGTGCCACTGCCTATGTGCCTGACTGGTGAGTCTTTCACAAAAACGAAAGACACGACGAATGGGATATCTGACCCGCAACTTTCTACCCTGTAGTTTTGGTGGAGAGGTTCTACCGGCTACCATCCTCTCGGATGAGACCCAATACAAGCAGCTTGATTTGGGCGCATTCCTTGGACGGAACTCGAAGGCTGTCCGAGAGCCAGAGATTGTCCGATTCGCAGAATCTTTAAGGCCGTCATATTCTCGCATTGGAGCTATTGGGTACTGCTATGGCGGCGGGTGGGCAGTCCTTCAACTTGGTGCCAGGGGCCGGAACCTTGTTGATTGCATTTCTACTGCCCATCCGTCAATGATCACAAAACAAGAGATAGCAAGTGTCAATGTTCCGACACAGATTTTAGCGCCAGAGTTTGATCACATGTTTAGTGAGGAGTTGAAGGCATACAGCCAAGAGGCATTGCCCAAGGCTGGCGTTCCATTTGATTACCAGTACTTTCCTGGACTCCATCATGGCTTTGCCATAAGAGGCGACCCACAGAGAGATGGGGAGAGAAAAGGGATGGAAAGGGCCAAAAATGCAGCCTCCCTGTGGTTCCGACACTGGCTGCGCCAAGGTTGATCTTTGTGCAGTAGTAGAGCTTAACATGCTCGGTATTAGGCCTCTCATTAGAGTCGACCCAAGTCCAAAATAATAGAATCAGTACTGTTTACTCTCACGAGCTTTATCCACCTTGAAACGTAAGACAGTATAGGGCCCTTGTTCTGACGGGGACGAACGAAGCGTCGCTGCTTCTAGAGGACTATTCAGAGCTACTGTATCGCACGCACATTTTGGGGCATAGGTATCTCCTGCACGGGTGTTTGGGGCTAGAAAGTTAGGATATAAAGTAGCCAGGCACGCCCAGTTGACTTATCGGATCATCAGGTCCGCATTCAAACTCATATTACATCGTACATCGCATTTAGGAGACCGCGGGTTGCCCGACTTACCGGCCGCAATGGCCTCAGACATCCGAACGCTTCCGAGCGTGCACGGAGACGCGAGTGTGGCTACACGCTTCCCCTCTCCCTGTATGCCCAAGAATCCGGGCGGCCTCGTCGGCCTACCGGGCGAACTTTTACTAGCTATCGTATCCATGGCGCTGCCATCAAACCAGGGAACGTCCTCATTTACCGCCGACGATTACAAGCAGTTCGCCGTCGCCGCCCAGACGTGCCGACGCATGAACCGCCTAGTCGTACCATTCATGTATTCAAGGCTGTCTCTGCGGGTTGGAGTGTCCCGTCATCCTCTGGATGAGTCGTCTAGCCTCGATGGCACAGGCGCTCTTCGGAAGCTGGGGCGAAGTTTCAAAGAGAATCCTCATCTTCGGGAACATTGCTTTCAGCTTGCGATATCAGTGGAAGCCCGTCGTCGCTTGCCCAGCGTTGATCCAGAGCAAAACAACCTAGGCCGACCGTTCCCTGCATCTACCCTTCACGAGAACGACGCTAACGACATCGAAGCAACCCTCGAAATTATTCCTCTTCTCGCGAGGGTTAGGACCTTATTGTTGTATGGCTACCTAGATGACTACCGGGAGATATGGGGAGTCCTTCGAGTAGCTGTGGCTCAAAAACCCAGCCTGAGGACCGTCATGTGTTACCATTTTGGACGAAAGACGGAGCCTGCACGAGGCCCCATACGCGAATTATTTTCCAGTGCTCCTAACCTAGGATACCTAGGCCTGCATCGGATAGAAGAAAGTGAGGAATCTGTTGGGTATACGGGGGATACCCCTCACGAGGTATGCTATCCCCGTCCTTGCGTCTGCGTTGGTAGTTTCGGTCCATTTATCATCTACGTCTAACTGCGCCCCCCTCCCTCCCCCAAACAAAACGCCATCTAGAAGCCGCTCACCTCTTCCCAAAGTCTGAGTGTAGAAGATCGGGCGGCAGAACTTGAAGTCGTACGCCGCCTGCTTTCCTGGCCCGCGCAAATAGGGTATTTAACCCTTAAGCCCAATACCGACGATGCCTCGCCCCAGCTCCCATTTGGGCTAGGGGGGTTGATGCCCATCTTGACAAGACACAAGACGCACTTGCGGAGACTTCACATTGGGAAGACCTCCCTAGAGGGCCTTGGAGGTTTCGACCTGACGGGGCTCGAGAATCTCGAAGTACTGAACCTATCCCGCTGGGCCACGGGCAACAGGGCGGAAACCCATGCTGGGCTCTTGGCGCCTCGCCTCCGGATTTTCACGTGGACCTTTACGTCTGATGACATTTCCCGCGAGCTCAACGCTCCCGACATCTTTCAAGAGGCCGAAGAAGCGTGGATCAAGGGTTTCATCAACCATGCGACCTCTCGCGGGGTGCCGCTGAAGGAAGTGAGACTGGCCTACCACCCCAGAATCGAAACCCGCGAGGACCTGGAAGCGCATGCTGTCTGGGATCGTATCGCCGTCCTCGCCCAGGATTTTAAGGACTCTGGCGTCTGTGTGACGTGTAAGCCGTCAAAAGAAGATGTCGTAAAGGCTTTTCTACGCTCGGAGAAGGTGGGGACTAAATCATGATAAAACACCAAACATGAAAGAAATGTCGATGATCGAGGCATCGTTGACGCAGCTTCAATTTACCAGTTTATACCCAATCTCCTGCCCTTTCCGCTCCCTTTACTAGACTACCTTAGCACTGGATGGATGGTCTGTCCAAATTCCCACCGCCCCCTACCCGAAATATTCAATACCGAAGTGCACGACTGAGCACGTTTGAGGGGCTCCCGATACCCACCGACGACATCTAGCCATTTTGATAAACCTACCCCAGTACAATCCACCTCCGCCAAAGAGTCACTAGTTTCTCTCATTACTTTTGACTCATCGTACTTCCTCAGTAAACCCCTCCGCTTCTCCTTCTGGTCCTCCGTCTTGCCCTCCTCATCAACCTCCACGGATTCGTGCGTTTCAGCACCCACCAAAGCTCCGTCCTTTACCGTCGCCTCGACCGCACCCGACCGCCCCACTTTCTCTCATCCGGTTCCGTCTCGAAGAGCGTGTCACGTATCGCACTTGATCCCTGCTCGACCTCGGTGTTGGGATCGAAGCCCAACCCCTCCCCCCGCTTTCAGCACCCCCCTACGTTTTAGCCGGATCGCCGGCGACGAGGCTCTGAGCTGCCGGGGCCGCGGGCTCCTCTTGCTCGCTGGCGCGATGGAGCGGAGTCTGCGCGCTATGGTTTCGTCCCTAGCCTCCCCTCTAAGTATAGGCAGGCTACTAACAGGGGGTAGGGATAGTAGGGTATGGAACCAGGGTCTACCAACAACAGGGACGCAGGCTTTGTGCCTCGGGAGAGGCCAGAACTGCTCCAACAGGCGCTGAGGTACTGACAGGGCATCTAGGGTGATAGAGTGAATACTAGTGAGAGTTCTAATAGAGGAGACATGAAATAGAAGGTACACCGATTAGAGGCCCCACTCATACATTCACTACTAGATAAGCCTAGTTATGATGAGGATCCTATTATATTATATCGTCCCACCTTTAAGGGGATAGGCCAAAAGGTATGTAACATTTATGTAACATTAGTATGGGGGTGGGACACCGAGTGTGGAGAAGTTACCCATCATTGTCCCTAGCCCTGCAGATAGCTTCATGTACATATCATGTACTTGGCCTAGTACAGCATGTTGCATTTGAGCAGTAACATGGGCAGTATCAACAAAGCCGGCGGGAACTGTCACATTTCCGGTGACCAGATCACGCTTGCTATGACCACAGCAAACAGCCGGGATCGTGCAAACGCGGGTACTCTCGAGGTTCCCATTGAAAGCTGCCACACAGTATTCGAAGTTCCAAATACCGGGAAACTGGATTCCCAACAGGTACGAAGCGTCTGTGGTTGTGCCGTCTAGCTTGAGCCCTTGGCCATCGTGAATGTTACGACTGTAAATGGCGTAGCCTGAGATACCCCCAGCGTGGTTCCAGTTCAGACGGATAGTGGTAGCATCTATGGACTCGGAAGTAAAAGATGACGGCTGCGGAGGTCGCCCTCCCCCTATGTAAACATCCCGACCAGTGCCTGGGAGACCGCCCGGAGCCTCGGGCACGTTGCTTAGAGTGCCGTGGGGGATGGTGGCGTGAGTGGCCACCCAAACAGAGTAGCGGTGGCCAGGTACCAGCCCGCCGATGGACCACCTCGTGCCCCTGCAGGGGTAAACGCCGGTCCATGACCCTTCGGTATCGCGATCCCATAGGTAAATACTGTAGCGGTCTACATCGTAGCCGGTCACCGAATCCCAGGTGACTACAACACCGTCTCCGCCTTCAGGGTTAACAATGATATTGGCCGGTGGCGGCGCCGTCAGGGCGGCGACCGTGGCTGTTCTTGATAGGGACCATTCCGACCTGTCATCGTTATCGCCCTTAGTGCGGACCTGGACTTCCCAAGTTTGACCATTGAGAACCCAAGTATTGAAGCTAGCTGTCGTCTTGGGGTAAACCTCACCTGACGACCACCATTCTTGGGCACCCTCAAGACGCGTGCGTATCTCGTAGCCTCGCGCATTCTTAACAGTATCCCAGGTAGTTAGGAGCCCTTCAGGACGTGGCACGATTTTGACGCCCAAAGGAGCAGAAACAGGTCTTGTATCAACTCGAGATGGAATGTTAAGCGGTTCGCCATGAAAATGGAAGTCATGCTGTAGGACATCAGCAAAGGCTTTTGCAATGGCCCATTCACCGAATGCATTGGGATGCAATCCATCGTAGCCATCAGGACAGCTGTTAGGATGACAGTTGTATAGACCTGCAACATCGACATAGCGGATTGGGGAGTTCCAATCAAACCAAGTGGGCAGGTGTTCGCGAAGGATCTGGTTATACCTATCCGTTTTCACTGGCAGGTCGTCGCGGCCATTGATGTGAGTGCGGTGGACGACGTTACCGACGAGTATGTTGATCTTGGGGTTGGCCTCGCGTGCGTTCTTCACCAGCGTTCCCATATCCATTATCAGGCCTTCAGGCCCGCTGACGAACCACCCTAGGTCGTTGAAGCCTAAAAGGACCAGCAGGTAGTCGGCTTCATAAGTCCTTATCCAGTGGTACACTTCTCTCACGCTTTCCTTCGCCTGCCGGCCCCAAAAGGCCCCATGGCCGCTGTCAATGAATGGTATGTCATCTCCAGTAAAAGCGTAGTCGCCTCGTCTGAACGTCGAAGGCGGTGTCTCCTCCGGGAATAGAGGAGCACGAGGCTGTGCTGCTTCGATATCCGGGATACCGTAGGTACCAACCCAAGGACCAACGAACTCATACTTGAAATAGTTGCTTTGGACTTCATGAGAGAAGAGAGGTCAGTCCAGAGGAGAGAAAAACGAGAAGGGTAGCTAATAAAGGGTACGTACGCCATCTGTCAAGGCGATAACGCCACGTCCAGTCATCTTGCATCCCATGGGAGATGGAATCTCCGGCGATTAGTATCTTTCCCTTGGGCCTTGGCCGTTCCGTCCAGTCCTCTGGCCTCTCGATGTCCGTCACTACCTGATCGATGCAAAGGACGCCACACGAGCCTCCCCAGCGGTTACCGCCTGCCCCTTCACTACTTATACCTGTTTTACACAAGCCTTTGCAGTTCTTCCCTTTGCTATATTGACACGTAGTACTGTCGCCCTCGGATTCTTCGATAGCGTCCGCATTAGCCAGGGCTGTAAAGATAAAGCGGGATTGGATTGATCGGGTGAAAAGGTAGGGAGAGTAGCATGGCGAAAGACCCATGGGATGAACTTACGCCACGTGTTCAAGACTAGCTCGTATTCTTGTCGGTAGATCACGATCTGAGGGTAGCACAAGCCGGTAAAGTAACATTTTTTGGTGTCTTCGATGCCACTCCAAGCAACTTGATTTGTGGCAGTGTACTGTAGACTGAGCAGACCTACAGAATCCGTGCGGAAAAACAGTATTGGCGGGCCCGTTGACGTCGGGTTGTTCCAACCGGTACTAAATGATTAAAAATAAAGAGATCAGACTTGATTCTTGAGTTCTTTCTTTTTCTTTTCTTAAGATGCGTATTGGGGGGGGGGGGGCTTACTTGTTCAGGAACTCCTGCCTTGGGTTGTTATTCCTGCCCAAAACCGAGGTTTCTTCATTTCCTCCTCCCTTTGTGTGGAATTCAACTCGACAGTTGTTCTTGGACGCCCATGGACCAAGTGGATCTCCGAGTAAGAAGCCATACAATCGTTGCATTGCTGTGCTGAGTCCCGGGATTGCGCCTAAGATCGTGACGCCCGCCATACCGAGGATCGGAACCCGCTTATCCAGACCTGGAGAATCGAAGAGGGTGGTATTTTCCAACGAATAACCTTCGCCGGCTTTCAATCTCCTCAGCACGTCTGCGTGCCGAGCATGAAGAATCTCCAGCTCGGCAGGATCCGTGATTTGCTCACCCCCACCAATGATCGGGGCGCCATAGTTGATGTCTGGGAAAGCTTGAAGCGCGCCGTCTGATGAAGAGTCGGTGGGATAGGCACGAGCCCACGCTGGTGGCAAGAGCACCGCGACTAAGGAGGAGAGCCGCATTGTAGAAAGACACGACAGCAGGTATTACTTCCTGTACGGTACAGGCCAGGGAGTGAAGACGGCCTTGTGTCCAAGGTGAATTGTGAGACTTGGAAAGAACAGGACATACATTTATAGCCATGAGTGAGACGACAGACACCCTTTGCTTCTAATGTCAATTTTCCTCCGCCATCGGGAGTAGTTCCGTCAGTTGGTGCAAGGGGGAGAATTACCCATCTTTCGAAGGATTGTCCCGTTTGACTGAAGGATTTTAGTGATGCTACATCGGTAAGGATTCAGAGGCGTTATTGGGGCAAATGGCGCACTTTGTGCGAGTCTGGCTACCGCCAGGGTTACATCCATACCACCAAAATGCGAAGGATATCGCACCTCTGCTACCGCACAGGCGGGAGCAGACACCGGAGACTGATGCGCCCGAGACGCTAATGATCTAGATCAGCGCTGCAGGGGATTCTCCAGATAAGGCAACCATGGTACGCCTGGAGTCGCTTGATCAATGTAGTTTAGTTTATCTTCATCCTGTCTCGCGATTTGCCAGGGGTCATTGGCCGGGGTATGATGTACCATCACCCTTCTCATCCGATTGTTTTTACATTAAGCCATGGCATTTCAAGGATTAATTTAGGGCCCGTCTATAATCATGGCCACTTTTCCCCAATCGTGGCCACTAAACCCAGACTATTCCAGAAGAGGAAAGGAACCAAATACTACATACTTCTATACATACAAGACTAAGTACCTCTACTCTAACCTTTTATTTCCCATTAATATTCTCAAAGTCTTCCTGCACGATGGCATCCATGATATCTTCAAACTATAGGTTACAAAAAAAATCTCGATCTAGCTAATATTCCTCTATAGTACTCTCTTCCTTTCTAGTATTCTCTTCCTCTCTAGTATCTTCTTCCTCTCTAGTATCTTCTTCCTCTCTGATATCCTCCTCGAAGACATATCTCTGATATGTTGCTATTGGAATATTTCTTGATAATACAGAGGCTGTAGCCAGCTTTCATAGCCTCTTTGGTAAGGGCAGCTTCAGCAGACTTAAGGTTGTTTTCTGGTTCTTTGAAGGTATTGAATCTTGCCCCAATTAGAGGATGATATTGAGACGGAGCAGTGCAGCCTGCCCCCTCACCACAAGAACAAGGAAAGAAACAGTTGGTCAAAATGGTCAAGAATAGTTCCTGGAAGAAGTGCTGCAGTTCTTCTGGCAGGAATGGAAATCGGACGTCGGAATGGTTAATCAACGGGAATAGGGCCGTATCGCAACCAAAGGAGGCTTCCAAATAGGGGGAAGCCAGAGATCATGAAAGTGTCAAATAGGGGACACTTACACACACAAAACAATAGAGGAATTGTCCGGAGTCACCACACAAGATGATCCATGAGAAATGATAACAATGAAGTCAAATTGAAAGAAGAACTAATAACTATCATGCTTGAAGAACTTGAGAAACTTGTTGGAGGACTTGATCCTCCCCCATGAGGAAAGGAAAGAAAAGAAATAACCATGGCCATGGCCCATGGCAAGGAACAATATTCTTCCGCCCCCATTCTCGCGGAATCTTGAGAACGTCCCCCTTTTCGCCAATGCCCCCCTTTTCACCGTCACAGTGCCCCTTGTCAAATTTAATTGACTTTGTAATACTATATAATGTATGAAGTAGGCAGCCTATAATAACAAAAGACCTCTCCACATATCAACTCGCAGTCCCTAGTCAAATTCAATCGCACCCTACCATCGATTATAGTCCAATGCAGTAGTCATGCATCGCATTCAGAAAAAAGCTATCCAATCATTTCCACTTAGCACAGTCCATTCCCATTCCAGTCAACCCACCTTTTTTCGATTTCATCTATAGGGCTGGCTTGGTGGGTCCGCTACTTGACTTATGCTGTGAGGTCAACAATGCACACCGCACAGGGATACATTCATCTGACATCCCAGGGCTAAGTCTCCAGCCAACCTCGAACTTCAGAGCAAGGATAATAATAACAATCAATTTAATTAGGAGACATAGATACCGGTATTAACATTCTCATTATCCCTCCCCACGAGGATAATTTCTAAGACTATCTCTTTACTTCGAGGACAATACGCAAAGTGTCTAGATTATTCTTCAAGGGCAATGTTTCAATAATACAGCCTTAAATATCAACTCCTCACTATTCCTTTCGTTGCTCTCTCAGCAATCTAATCAAATCCCTGTCATATCCCTTAACATACTTCGTAGTCTACATCCTAGATCTCGTTTTAATATACTCCAATATCAGCGCAATATAACCGTACCACCCGAGGCATGCTTTCCAGATTATCTAGTCAACACAACACCATAACTATTTTAAACCCTAGCATTCTAGATGTTGCGTGCGATCGAGATACCAATAAGCCGAGTATAAAATAAAATAAAATAAACTAAAATAAATATATAAACGAATAAGTAAATAAATCATAAATAGACGATAAATGCAAGCTAGCGACAGCAAAGAGGGCCATGGTGTCAGAAATTCCCCAACGCGAGGGAAAGAAAGCAGGAGAAGAAGAAAAAACCAAAAAAAAAGTGCAAAAATCCTCGACCAGTTTCGAACCAAGAACCTCTCTAAGCTTCACCCCCTCACGCCAGCCAAGGACATCCCCAGACCTCTCAAAACACATCACAACCTCAACAGAGCAAGTAAACTAAGATTCTCTAGCTAAAGAAAAAATATTAAAATAAAATAAATAAAATAAAAAGAACACAATTATATTAAACATTAACCTAACAAAAAAAAGAAAAGAAAAAAAAATTCCCACTTCTCCCTCCCCAATAAATACCCAATTCCCTATTACAATCCTAACACTAGCCTATTAACAATATCAGGTAGATACAACTAGTAACAGGATTAAGATATTATCTATTAGTAGTAGAGTAAGGTAGTCAAGCAGTATTCACAAGATATAAATAAGAAGTATATATTCAAATATAAAAGTATAGTTATACTTAAATTAACTACTAGAAAGTCTTAAAAGATAAACTAAATACATAAAGTAAACCATAGTTTATATAGATATTTCCCTTCCAAATTCTCCCTAGATTACTTTAGCTTACTATAATCCTATACAATCTAGATCACTCCTAGATTATCATAAGTATAGGTAATCTAACATTCCTATAATCTTATATACTTCTATAATTTATCCTTTTCTACTAATCTTAACTACCTAGCCTTCTATCTTAGCTATATATAGCTATAATATAATACCTCCCCTCCTTTAGTCTTTATTTCTAAAGACCTATAAGTAGACCTTCTACTTATTAGTTCCTTATCTTATAAGTTCTTCCTTATTTTCCCTAAAATATTTCTATCATAATTATTACTATACCTAACTATACCTATAGAGCTTTTTCCAAATCTTCCTATAATTATTTAAACTTAGTATTACAATCCTAACACTAGCCTATTAACAGTATTAAGTAGATACAACTAGTAATAGGATTAAAGTATTATCTATTAGTAGTAGAGTAAGGTAGTCAAGCAGTATTCANAGATTACTTTAGCTTACTATAATCCTATACAATCTAGATCACTCCTAGATTATCATAAGTATAGGTAATCTAACATTCCTATAATCTTATATACTTCTATAATTTATCCTTTTCTACTAATCTTAACTACCTAGCCTTCTATCTTAGCTATATATAGCTATAATATAATACCTCCCCTCCTTTAGTCTTTATTTCTAAAGACCTATAAGTAGACCTTCTACTTATTAGTTCCTTATCTTATAAGTTCTTCCTTATTTTCCCTAAAATATTTCTATCATAATTATTACTATACCTAACTATACCTATAGAGCTTTTTCCAAATCTTCCTATAATTATTTAAACTTAGTATTACAATCCTAACACTAGCCTATTAACAATATCAGGTAGATACAACTAGTAACAGGATTAAGATATTATCTATTAGTAGTAGAGTAAGGTAGTCAAGCAGTATTCACAAGATATAAATAAGAAGTATATATTCAAATATAAAAGTATAGTTATACTTAAATTAACTACTAGAAAGTCTTAAAAGATAAACTAAATACATAAAGTAAACCATAGTTTATATAGATATTTCCCTTCCAAATTCTCCCTAGATTACTTTAGCTTACTATAATCCTATATAATCTAGATTACTTCTAGATTATTATAAGTATAGGTAATCTAGCATTTTTATAATCTAGTATACTTCTATAGTTTATCTTTTTCTACTAGTCTTAACTACCTAGCCTTTAGCTATATATAGCTATAATATAATATCTCCCCTCCTTTAGTCTTTATCTTTAAAGACTTATAAGTAGACTTTCTATTTATTAATTTCTTATCTTATAAGTTCTTCCTTATTTTCCTAAAATATTTCTATTATAATTATTACTATGCTTAATTATATTTATAGAGCTTTTTCTAAATCTTCTTATAATTATTTAAACTTAGCTAATATAATTAAGTTATTAGGTATTAAGACTAAAATACTATATATATATTATTTTAAAAATAATAAGGTGTATATAATAAATAAAGGGTCTTCCTAGTATATAGAATATATATAATAGGGTAGATTATATAATAGGGTTTTTATAGTTTTTACTTATAAGTTCCTACTTTCTTTTAAATTTCTCTAGTTACTAACTATTTCTTTAGTTATCTATTTTCTATAAGAGTAGAAGAAACTAGAAAAGGAGGAGGTTAAGGTAAAGGAGGTATTATTTATTCTTTAGATGTAATTATTAATAGTAGTTAATTATTTAGTATATATCTACTAAATAAAGAAAAATATTAAAGTAAAGAATTCTAAGATATTTAGGAAGGAGATCTAGGACTTAGATAAAAAAAATAATATCTACTTTTCTATCTAAGAGTCTTATATAGTAGAGGATCTTTAGTCCTTTAGGGTTTCTAACCCTATTAACTAGTCCTCCCTAAGCTTAGGGAATGATTTTGTAGACTTAGGTCCTTTAGTTAACTTAGGTTCTT